GTGGGATTTTCGGAGGGGGACACAGAGAAAGAAAGAGGGCAGTGGTACTCAGTCACACAGAGCTGAACACACTCACATGCGCACACACACTGACACACTCTGTGTTTCCTCTCAGTGGGCCCGTCACTTCATTATTTCTGTGTGTGTGTGTGAGTGTTTGTGTGTGTTTGTGTGTGTGTGTGTGTGCTGGACGGAGCTGCACACCGTCCTCCAGCTCTATGAGCCGCGGTAAGATCATCTCATCCTCTCTGACCTTCATCCTCATTACTTCACTGTATTATTCTGATAAATGTGTGTTAAGTGTTTGTTAAAGTGTGTGTGGGTGTGTGTGTGTCTCTGGCTGGCTGTCGTCCGTCTGCTCTGCTCTGACTCTGGTCCATGGCCAGTTTGAGGCCTCCATGCAGCGCTGTCACTGTTTGCTTTCTTTTACGTCCATTTTGACCCACGGGTGGTGGACAGATAAGTTGAGACACATCCAAAGGTGGATTATTTTAGCACAAAGTTCATTTGAACTATAATCACTGTAACATTCAAAGGTCTGTCCTCAGTGTTGTTGGAGAAAATTACTTTTCTAGAGCTCTGTGTTTGAACAAAATCACTGTTCACTCACAGTCTGAGCAGAATCTGAGCGAAAAGTTGATATGTTTGGCTTTTTGCACTGTGAGTTGATCTAAGGACAACTTTATTTTCTGTTGAAATGGTAATTTAAGCTTTTTAAATGGTTTTCATACAGGGTAGTGGTGATTTTTTTAGTTTTTGAGTGCCAATCAGTTTGATTTATTACACCTCATGTTAAAAGTGCCATCAAATTCTTGCTACCATCAATCAGTCAGATATGTTTGAGCTCAAAGCTAACGTATCTATGATGTTATTTTAACTTTTGTTGTATTTATAATCTAAACCCCTTTTAGTCATCTGTCAAGACTGAAAATGAACAGTACATATTTCACTGACTTCTATTCAAACTTACTTACAGGTAACTTAATCTTGAATATCGAGCTTCATAATTCCTTTGTGGTGTCCAGGATTATATTTTAATGAAGCCTCCTAAATCCCCCAAAGGTGCACAAGACACTTGCTTGTGCTCACAAAATAGTTATCTTTCAGAAATGATTGATTATTTTGGAGGAATGAGGTAATTACCCTGTACGCTCATGATAAATATCTTGTTGGCATAGGCTTCTAAACGTGTGCACACGAGTTATCTTTCTTAAACAATAAAATTATATTGTAGATACAATTCATTATCTTGTGCACAAAAGTTATTATCTTGTGCACAGAAATTGTTATCTTGTTTGCACAAGTATTTCAAGAAACACACAAATGACTTGTGAGCTCAAGATTATTATTATGATGAAACAGGTTACATACATGTCAGAAAATGAAAAGTAAACACATTGTGCACAAGATTAATCATCTTGTGTACACAAGTATTTGTCGCATTATTAAAAGCTATTATCTTGTTGGAGCAAAGAAACTGACTTGTGAGCACAAGTTTATCATCTTGTGGGAATAAGTTAGAATCTTGTTCACCATAGTTAAATCTAGTGCACAACTTTTTTCAAACAATTTTTTTATGTTGTAAGGACATGTTTTAACATTGTGCGCAAAAGTTGTAATCTTGTGCACTGAAGTCGGTATCTTGTTGAAGTTTATTGACATGTTCACACAAGTTTATAATTTTGTGGGAAAATGTTATAATCTTGTGCACAAAAGTAATTTTCATGTTGGAGCAGGTAAATTTGTCTTTGGTGCACAAGATAATCATCTTGTCAAAATGATTTCTAATCTTGGGCACATGAGTAATTGTCCTTTGTGTACTCTGGCAGTACTTATATGTAAATGGTGTCTACTTGTGCACACAATATAATTATCTTGTGATAACAAGTTATCCTGTGGAAAATTGGCATTATCTTGTGCGCAGAAGTAAATACCTTAAATTTTTATGATCCCTTAAGATTATTATACTTCATCATCTCTGGCATATGTATTAAAATCTTATGCCCACAAGTTATTATCTTGTTTGGACATGTTGTTTAAGTTGTTTGCACATGATAATTAATCATGTTGGAACAAGTTCTTCAGTTAGGGTAAGGTACAGTAAACATCTTGCACACATAATTAATCTTCCTGTGAGGACAAGTTGAAATCTTGCAAAAAAGATGGTACTTACTTTAAGATACTTTTATATTTGCTCAAGTTTTTATCTTGTAATAACAAACTAAATATTTTGCGGGCACATATCAGCACATGGGGCCAAAAAGTTTCTATCATGTGCAAAAGACAATATTATTATCATCATGTGAATTACATTGATATTGAATTTCATATCCAATCAATTTTGACCGGCCAAAATCTAACAGTTTAGCTTAGCTTTTAAATATATATAATATATAATAAAGTATTATTTCCAGAGAAGTGTGTCACTGTTGTGAATATTACAGATATTCTTAACAGATAAGCAATACCTCCAATGATTTAACACGTTTGAAATGGAGTTGTGTAGAAGACATAGTCTTTGTGTTTTAAAAATTTTAGAACTTTACTGAAAATTAAAAAGTGACACTGATGTGTCTGCACGCCTGCTGCATTGATTAAATTTTAAATCGGTTTATGATTAATACACTCTTTTTACAGAGCAAACATTTCTGTATAAAGAAGAGTTTATTATCTAAAGTGACGGACATAATAATTCAGTTGAACACACATCATTCGGACTTTTAAATAAAAATTTATTTCATTCATATCAGTGAGTCTGTGTGTCTGGATTAAATACTGAACCTGTTGATAATTGGATTTTCTCTCTGTGGATCCCTCTGTCAAAAATGATTAAGCACTCTGAGTGTTGCACGTCTGTGTTCAGTCTGCGGATCTTTCTGGAATTATAACATGTTTTATCTATTGTATGAGTGTGTGAGAGAGATTACATCAGGGCAACAACCTAAAATCACTTCTACACACTGATGGATACAAAACTACAACACTTGGCAGGCAGAAGACGAGGCTGTTTTTAAAATACAGATTTTAAAATAGCACAAAATAAAGGCTGCTTTTCTCTTTTCAGGGTCTCTTGCAGTTTTCTGATTCGTCAGTAAATGTTTCAAACTTCTCCATGAGCATGTGGAGTGTGCATGTATTTTTAGTCATGTACATATGCATGTGAATCAGATGTTAGTCAGGTGGATGTGCAGCAGATTAGAGTCTTAATAGGAGACACAAACCAGACACACAAACTGCACATTAGGGAAGACCAAAGTCAGGGCTCAGTTTTGATAAATCGTCTTCTTTTTTGATTTTGGTGACTTTTTTGTTTAGTTTTCGTAAATTAACAAGTCTGCCTGGGTTTCTGAATTTATAAAGTAACTGAGCCCACCACTAGTAACTTTAAATTGTAGTGTAGTTATGATAACCTGTTAGAAATGCATTACTGTCATGAAATATTCTAATAAACTGTATATATGCTTTATAGATTAACTTACCGGTTAATTTAAGAGTTACCGCTCTTGCTACTTACAACATAAATCAAACAAATCTCTAATGTTGTGCTCACATCAGAAGCAAATTCATTTTGATTTTGTTTAATGTACTTAAACATCTGAGTGTCTTGTTTATTCACTTGATTTGTGCGAACTCACACCATTCATGTACCAAATCAAGAGTTTGCCAGTGCAAGATAGGAGGATTTTTTCATGCCATTTCAGTCTTTTTTCATTCAACATGGTTTAGTTTGTCCTCCATTTTCCAGATGAACGAACCTCCACTGGTCTATCATTGATGCATGTCACCAGTGAAACTCTACGCTGACTGGCTATTGCAGTGGGAGAGATATACTTGAGTTCATATTTTTTAACTCTCATGAATAAGTTAATGAAGCCAGCGGCAAGTTGAACACATTACAAACTTGTAGGTGTAACAGTACAGATACACCAGGAGTGGCTTTGCACATCTTAAAAAAACCTGACTTAACTGTGCATGTAATCATACTGTGTACTTTTTTCCTTCATTATGTCAAAATCCTGCATTTGAAGCGAACAGGGGTTCACTATAAAGTGATTATAAAATGTTGGAGTGTTGGCCTCTGATTACAGTCTCTTTGCCGCTAGGGCTGTCAGTTTTTCTAAAAATCAACTTCTCACAAATAAGCGAACATAACATGCAAATCTTTGGATACTAGCAAGGGGACCTGCACAGCTCACTAGTGTATTGGTGCCTCCTCCGCTGCTGCCACTTCACGTGGGCAGCAAATTTGTCTTTGTTGATGAGTAAGACAGCTGTTTCGTACAAAGTCGACATCGAGCTCTGTCATTGTCTTTCATTTTTGTACCTGCTGTGTAGAATCCAAAATATTTCCACACCACTCTTCTTAGATGTTTTAATGTTGCTCAGTTTGGATTTGCTTGACCATGTCTCATTTTTATAGAATAAAGTTACTGTAGAAGGTTACTGAGGTGAGAGTGCATGGATTGGCCGGGTTATGATGCCAACGCCCTCTGCTGGATCATACAGCAAGCAACTCCAGGAACCCTAATGTTCTGGTATATTGTATTATTAGTGATTAAAACATCTCAGTCATGTTTAAATATGAAACCTTCCCCCATAGTTTGAATGAAGGTTTGAATTTGGGATTAATAAGTGACAGCCCTATTTTCTACATCCATACATGCCATTTGCTCTCAAACACACCCTATTTCCGTCTATTTCCTCCGCTTCCTTTTTGCATCTTCAGTTGGTTGTGGCTCCACTGGGTCAATTAAGGATTTTTGTAATTAATGAGGAGGTTTGACCCCTGAAAAACTGTACCAAACCTTTCCTGTCTCTTCCAGGACTCAGAGGACAGCGACAAAGACAGAGGAACAAATTGTTTCTCAGAGAGGAAACTCAACAGCCAGTCCACCTCCTGTCTTTACTCCTGCTGCTGTCTATGAGCTGCAGCGAGGCAAAGCAGAGGACTTCCCAAAGATCCTGACACGAGGAAAAACCCTGTTGAATCAGCAGACAGCATGTCCTCTCCTCCCCTCCCTATGCCCTCCCTCCCTCCCAGCCCTCTGGCCATGGAGTACCTGAATGACTTCGACCTCCTGAAGTTCGAGGTGAAATCTGACACTCCTCCTCTTCCTCCTCAGTGTGCGTTTCCTAAATCAGGCCTCCCTAATGACCCTTCCAGTTCCCCGTACACTGGCCATCCTCCGCAGGACTCCAGTCTAAGTTCCAGCCCGTACAACTCACTGCCCCCCTCACCGACGCTCAGTGACACCCACCCACCGCCATCAGGCTCCTCCTCCCTCTCCTCCTCGTCCTCCTCCATCTCTTTCCCTCTCTCCATCCCCAACAGCTTTACCTCCAGCATCAGCTCTCAGGGGAACGTGGAAGGCAGCCCGGCCCACGGCGGGCCTCAGGGTCCAACCCCAGCCTCCCTGGAGGACCTGATCTGGCTGGCAGCTCTGCAGCAGCAGTTTGGAGGGGAGGTGACAGGACCCGCCACCCTGCTGGGAGCTCTGGGGGGAGTGCCAGAGAGAGGGGACCGCGAGAGGGGGCCGGTTAATGGATTTCTAGGCTGTGAGGATGCTGTGGAGGCCCTTCTGAACTCTGCTGCAGCAGCCGTCAGTTCTCAGGTAACTTTCACTGACTATATACGGCATAAAATAAATGTAGACACACTGACATTGCCTGCTGGTTTGTTGTGCCTTGAACTCGGCTGCCATGTTGGTTTCCAAAGCATAGAGTGACCATATTTGGTGAAGGGGGCAGTAAAGAGTTAGCAAATGTGACGTTATCTACACTTCATAATTTTGGGTAATCAAATGGTAACCTGTAGTGTTGAAAGATGGTGTGCAAGAAAAAACAAAGTATCCACCTGAGGCTGTCTGCAAAAGCACAGAATTTCAGCAGAGACTGCATAGTGTTAGTTCAGGTCAAGCTAAGTCCTGACAACATCAGCTGATCTTGTCCCAGGCCTTATTATCAGCTGATTACCCTCCACCCTCCAATTGGCAATTGTCAAAATGGTCATCTCATTAAAATCACTTTATCCTGCCCACCTTTCCTGCTTCCTCAGCAAACTGCTTTGCTGCCCTCCTCCATCCTAGCTCCTCCTTTTTTATGTTGTGTCTGATTTTACCAGTAGAATAGAATAGAATAGAATAGAAGAATGTTCCTTTATTGATCCCCCATGGGGGACATTTTTTTGTCACAGCAGCATCACAAAGTGCAAAAATGCAGTTATAAAAATAAAGATCGTATATTAAGAACTTAAATAAATGCTCTAATTAGGAAAAATATAGAAAAGGAAAAGGGGAGAAGAAAATAAAACTATATACAATATACACTATTTAAGTACCAGAAAAAAGGTGGTGGTGTGAGTCCAGTTTTATTACAGTTCGTTGTAAAGTCTTATTGCAGAAGGGAGGAATGACCTGAGGTAGCGCTCCGTCTTGCAGTGTCATATATATTGTCACAGCTGCCTGCTTTTCTCTGTACTCTTTGCTGCTGCTCTCCCTCCCTTGTCTTTTGCAATCATATACACACATGGAGGTAGAGGGAGCGCACACAACAGAACCAGACCCACAAATACAGCCTGTTTACAGGCTGGAATAAACAATAGCCTTGGTCTCAAAAAGCTAATTTCATTATTTTTTACTAATGTATGTACTGTACGTTTTTTTTTTTTCTTACCTATTTTATTATATTAAGAATGAGAGTTACGCATGAATTTGCATGATTAGGGCCTGTAGTCAAAACAATAGGTTTACGCCTACTGGCAAACAGCAAAACAGTTTTTTTTCCAAACCAGGCTGAACCACTGACTTTTTGGTCTCACTGTATACGTTGTTTCCAGTGTCTCTACAGCCGGTCTGTAGTGGACACAGTGAACTGCAGTTTTTAGCCTTTTAGCTTCAATTCTCAAGACCTGAGGTTGCTGCCTGGGATTAACTCACTTTTGGAGTCAGCCTCCAGTGGACACTTGAGAAACTGCAGCTTTTGATACTTACACATTGGATTTTCTTTTAGTCCAGGTTGTACCTTGATAGCTATCTGTCTTCTCAAAGAATTAACTTCAATTTCCTCCTGTCTCTCTATTTCTTCATTCTCCCCCTCCATCCTCCAGTTTCCGGGTCTTTCTCAGAGCTCCAGCAGTAACCTGGGAGACTCCAGCAGTGACAGTGGAGGTGATATCTCCTGCACCAAAGGGACAGATATGTGCCACCGCCCACTTGTCTTTCTCTCATCAGCCCCTCCATCACTTCCCAATGCTGCCCCCGGCTCGGCTCCATACCCCCAAGCCCTCAGCCCGACGGGCCGCCTTCATCACCATCAGCATCACCATCATCAGCACCATCCTCACCACCCCATGCATGGCAACCATCATCATCACCACCATTCACAAGTCTCTCAGGTACACAGCGCATCACCAACACGCATCAATTCATTTGTTTTCATTGACAAGACAGCACAGAGGGAACTGCTTTTTGACAGGGCATGGCGATGTTGTACATTACATAAGATCAACTTGGCTTAAATGAAAATAACGTGCAGTAACTTCCTAGGAGTGGTTTATCAAATGTGGATATTTCAAGTAAGCCTGCTGCTATTTTCCTCTGAGGTTCAAGTTCAGCTACTGACAGACAAAAGATTGTAAAATTTCTGGAGGATACTGGACCATAAATTAGGGATCCCAAGCAAACCTGTAACCCCATTGATAATCCAGGCTAGCATTAGCACTTCAATCATTTCTTTTTATAGGCTGTAATTAAAACTGTGGAATCTGTTATTTCAGCAAACTGAACTGAGAAAATCACCAGAAACTGTGTGAAGATTACGCATATGAATGAAGCACATGTGTAACCTACTATTAACAGTGAAACTGAGACTTAGAACAAACTGATATACCAGCACTACTTGGAGGGATGATGAGACAAGTCATGTTTCCATTTTTAGGACGTTCCTAAGGGGGAAAATTTCACTTTTCTTTTAATCTGAACACATAGCTGCTTCTTATATTGCTAATTAGACATTGAACAATGCAACATATGAAACTGGAAACCGAGTTTATCTGAAGCCACAAACTTTACCAGAAATACTCAGAATTTTGCCATATATCGACATCAAAAGATATCAGATGGCTCCCTGAATTGGCATTCAAGCACTTGCTGGCTAGTATCACATTTTGGTGTTTTTGCACGATATTTTGAGCAGGATGTCAATTAGATGTTACATTTCTTGTTAGACCTCACCTTTACACATGGCCCAGAATTCATGATCCATTGCCTTCACAGTTGCTGATTAACTAACAAAGCTTGAAGCTTAATAAGAAAGGCTTTTTGTTTCATACATCCTCGAGTACCAAAGTTTAACATTTTAAAACTGTTTAAAGAAAATACAGCATAAACACTTCTAAATATACACTGAATATTGTATTTACATCAGCCTGTTTTGTCCTCTGGACACCTGTTACAGCTAAAAGAAGTTAAACCATGATTGGCGATGTTTTTAACAAAATGAGGCTTATCATCGTATCCTGTCTCATAACAATATGGAACAGGAGAGAAATCAGAGTGACTTGTTTTGACTTCTTGCATGCATACTTTTATAGTTTGAAGACCCTTGTTTAGAGGTGAAAGACTTGATGTGACACTTGTCGCATTAGAGGGCTGAGCGGGTGGAGAGAGGGATTGAACAGTGAAGGATTAGGATTAGGACATTAGAACATGGTTATTAATGTCTGTGCAGATCCAAAGTATCACTTTAAGTAGCTATGTCTGTGAGGAAACAATGAGACGAGCTACATCTTTGTCTGTGAGGCCACAGAGGATTAATTGCAACACTTCAGGCTTTCCGTCATGTAAATATCAAAGAAAACATAAAGTGCAAAAGTATTCTCCACTTCAGTGATATATTTTATATGATGACCAATATGTTTTACTTTATTATTGTTTGTGCATCAACCTCACAAATGAGAGCACAGGACAGGAGTTTAATTCATAATAAATACAGTGCATTGATTAAACTTAAAATCAATCATTTCAATCTGTACTACAAGCTATGTATTACATGTGTAATTGCTTCTTGAAATTACAAAGAGGTGAGGTGATTTTAAGTGCCCTTTTTTGCAATTTTAGATCTTTCCTATAAGAAATTGCAGCAAAAAAGTATTGAAACAACTTTCTACATTCATACAAGTCAGCTGTGCTTGAAGAAAACACAATTACAGCATGTTGGTGTGATTATTTTTGTCGGTAAACTTTGTCATCTGGTCGATCAGGATGTCTGTGAGGGTCTTTATGTGGAGCACGCTGTGAGCTTATGATAATATCTGCTATTATTGCTGCCTGTAATCCTGATAACTGTCACCCACACTCAGTCAGATTATGCCACAGATTATAGACATGTGGTGATGAAATGTGTCCTCACACGTCCACCAACCATATTGCAGTTTTATACGTTTAAATCAAACACTTTACACTCAATCTCAGCATGTGTTTAAACTTATTTTTCCTCTTTTTTTCCTCCGTCTGTTCTTCAGTGTGGCGTGAACGAACGTTTCTCTGACGAGCAGCTGGTGAGTCTGTCCGTGCGTGAGCTGAACCGACACCTGCGCGGCGTGAGTAAGGACGAGGTGGTGCGTCTGAAGCAGAAACGCCGCACACTAAAGAACCGTGGCTACGCCCAATCCTGCCGCTACAAACGTCTGCAGCACCGCCATGCTCTGGAGTCAGAGAAACACGTGCTCACACAACAGGTACACCAGATCAAAATTATGATCGCTCTTCTTAACCAGGCTCCAAATTAGATCCTAAATTTTTGAAATTATGGGTGCAAAGGAAATATATTCACTGTGTGACAGTCCTAAAAACCATGAGGTTACATACCTGACCGTTGCTGAGTAAGATAAAGTAAGTATGCAGACCCCAAAAAGATCACCTTTGAACAAGAATGAAGCCTGAACACAGAGTCAACATTTTCATCCTACACATCTGGTAGCTACTGTATCGACCTTTGACATATCTCACAAAACCCCAATCCAGAAAAATTGGGAGGCTCAGTTAAATGCCCCAATTTTGTTAAAACAATTGATGGTTTGAAAATCATTTATGACTACAATCAATTGCAAAAGTTTCGTAGCAATATATCAAATGCTGAACTGAAAATGTTAGTGCTCTATAAAGGTTTGTTGATGTTCAGACAGTAAAGATGTCTGAAACTGGAGATATTCTTTAAATAAATAAGGGTATTTTACTGATCTAACTGAGCATCAAAACTGAAATCAGACTCTACCATCACTCTGCATTTCGTGACTTCAGTTTTGACCTACATTAAAAAGCATAAATGCTGTTTTCCTCAGTTTGCACAGGCTCCTGTTAAAAAAATCACATTTTTCCTCATTTAAGTTCTTCAATGTCTGTAAGTGAGCATCTCAGCACTCTGTAAAGTGAATCTTCTCGTCTTTCCCCTCCTCAGTTGGAACAGCTCCAGTGCGAGCTGACTCGAGTGCTGAGGGAGCGAGACGCCTACAAGGCTCGCTACGAGAAGCTCCTCAGCACCAACCATAGCGTCGCCAGTGACGCTCCACCAACCCGCACCAGCAACCCACCTTCACCACCCCCTGACTACTTCCTCTGAGTGTGACCCAGAGGGAGGGCCGATGAAACGAGAGCAGCCAACACGGAACAATCTACGATGAGTAATCCTGACAAAACAAGGACGTGTACATGTTCAGCATGTTTGTGTGTGAGGGAGGAGGTGAAAAAAAGAGACATCAGCGGGCTGTTTCTGAGGCGCTACGACTGTGAAATCCTCCCTGACTAATTAAAGAGGAACTGACTTTGAATTCAGAGAGTTAGACTCAGCTGTAGGCTGCTACCAGGACTCAGATTGACTTTACTGTGAATGACTGTTGCACAAATCTGGCTGAGATGTTTAGTTTGACATAACAGCAAAAAAAATATCTAAAAATGGGTGGAAAAGCTTTACTTTAAAGGGGATTTTAAAACCTAGGCTCTATTTCTACATGTGTTGGGTCTAAATAACAAACAGGTGCAAGTTGAAAAAGATCTGGATTTGCTTTAGTATGTTTGTTCAGCCTGTAGCTGGGAAACAGGCTGTAATGGTTGCAACGTAATCAAGCTATGTCCACTGGCAGTTCTCGTTTTTGTAACTGACAGGCTCAGATTGTTATTTCCACAACTCTCACTTCGATTATGGTGTAGATATTTTGCACCACTATCTTTACTTTTATTCAAAACAAGCTACCAAGATCTGTTGTCAGAGAAAGCCATTGGAAATCAGGAAACACATTCTTCATGAAGGCCTTGACGAGTCAGCTGCCACTTTATTTACATTTTAGCAGAGAAAAGAGGAGGTACCATAGAGCAACTCCTCATCCCAACTCCATGAATTAACCAGTCTTTCTCTGTGCAAGTGACCGGAATAAAAGTACAAATCAAGTAGCAACTTGCTGTGTTGAAAAATGGAGCCAGTGCAGAAGTGCAAAAACTGCAGTGTCTCCATTGCCAACAACCAGGGCCTGTTGGAGAGACAAACAAAAACTTTCAGGCCTTGTTTAGACAAGATCAGCTCTAAAGATAATGGAACGGTCTTTGCTTCATATTTTCAAAAATACTCACGTTCATAAGACAACATTGCGAAAACAAACCATGTGCACACAGATCTGCAAAAATGACTGAAACTCTGAAATGAAGTTGAACTGCCAGCTACACCAAGCCAGAAGTTAACAGAGTAACTTTACTTTGAAACCCTACCGAGGAACACCAGGCGACTTCACACACAGGTGCTAAACAACACGGCAGAAAGGACTAACAAGATAATGATGGAAAGTGTGAAATCTACTCTTAGCCGGAGAAGCTGCATCAAACTTTACACAGTATTCAGTCATCAACGTTATCTTCTGACTTGTGCATAGCTATTTGACTGGGAATGTTATATGCATGTGGGAATGGGGCTGTGACATCGCTGCTGTTTTCAAAGGATCTGCATACGCCAGTTTACTCAGTGACAGAAATGTTGGCGTTTTTGAGGGATTAAACACTAGAACCTGGTTTCTATTAACAACATTTTCAGCCATTTTTTCGGCAAAAACTTTGAATAATTTCATTAAAATTCCTGAAGCTGGATTTTATAAAAATACACGTAATCATGTTAGTCCAACTGAGATGGCACTTAATGCAACTTTTTATTGTTGGACCAATATACCTAAGGGATTAAGTAGGGGATCCATTTTTTCTCATGCTTTTATCAGACTGAAACTGGCTTAAGCGTTTGGAGCATGCTCAAAAATTTGACCGTAAAATTTAACAGAAAGCTGGGTAGTCAACAAAACCTCGACAGAAGAAAGGCTGTAAAGATAAAGACAAAGGTGTTGTTTCATGTCGTATCTGTAAAAATGATGTGTTTTCATTGTTTCACCAACATCCAGTCAGCCACTTGCATTTGTGTTTGCTGACTGTTTTGGTACATATTGTAACAAGTCAACAAGGAGACGGTCTAGTATTGACAAGCTGAAAGGGGGGCATGACACCATCCTCTGTAGCAGAGGCAGACATGCTTATATAGGTGATTTGATTCTAATCCCACTGTCCACCAATTCCTACCAAATCCATTAGTGAGGCGAATTTCGTGGCGGATAACAGACAGCAGTAATGGCGAGAACTCACAAGAACTTGCGGATTCACCTTTCACTTGTTCGTCCCCGCCCGTTTGCATGGTGTGAAATCCAATCTGAAGTGTTTTGTTTCGAAAATAAGACGGATGTTTTATTTTGTGTCTGTGCCAGACTTCCTTTCCAGCACGAGTTAATCTGTGCTGAATTTATCCGGCATGCTCAGCTGTCCAGAAAAAATAGAACTCTTGCGATCAGCTGCAGAGTCTGGAAAAGAAGCAGAACGGAAAGAAGCTGGTGGAAATTGAAACATTAACTTGAATGGTTACGATCAGCTACGATCAGCGGCGGATACAGCCTTTTTTAGCCGTTCTGGATGCGATGGAAATTGGGGGTAACTCTGTGCTTGAAAACCAAAAAGTAGTCCAGTTAGTTTGAACTATAACCATTACTTGATTTAACTGTGCATGTCAATGTACTGTATCTGGCACAAACTTTTAGAGGATATGCTTTAATAGACAACGATTGCCCTAACAGATCATACTCTTACCAATAAGGTCTGTTTCAATGCTGCAGGCTGAAGAAATCTACTGAAGCGAATCCTCAACCGTTCCACCTGGTAGTCATTCCTACTATGAAAGAAATAGGGCCTGGTTTTAACAAGCAGGAAATACTTAACAGTCCCAGACACAGCTGATCGTGTTTTCTATGCAATATTCAAAACTCTCCAATGGTGTGGCTCAAACTGTAGTTGTTTTTTTTATAATAAGCTGCTGAAGCTGCAGAGGTCTGAGTAGTGCTGTGGTGCTGGATATGGAGTGGTATGGGCTTGGATAAAGTATCCACGGCATGCGGTTGTATTTGCCAGCTGATATTTCACAGTTGCCTACCCAAGTGTTGAAGCTCACAGGACTTGTTCTTCTTTGTAAGACTAAACATCATATAGATGAAAGAATGTACGAAGATACCTTTAAACCAGGATCTTACAGTGATTGTGCTAAATAAATAGAGGGGATATTGCTCTTGAAATCTATCTTTTACCAGTCAGAAAAAAGCTGATTTTTACGGTGTTTGCTCTCCACAGAATGAGTTTTTATATACAAACAGAGTGAAGCTGCTCCTGTGTGACTGCAAATAAACCCAGGCATAAAGAGTGTGGCCTGATTGTGTGGTTGTGTCCAGACTAGTGAAGCTATTTTCAGGCAGATTGGACACCTCTGTAGCAGGGACCATCACTAAATTTATGCAACATCACGGAGCTGCATGCAGGACTCTGTGGGTACAAAAATAAATAGTGCAGGGATTTAAAATGCAAAAAAGAAAAAAAAAAAAAAACAAGACTCTTGATGGAGACACTTTCTTAGCTGTCTCATGAATTCATTGCCAGGGTTCATGCATGAATTAGAGCTATTTATTTTGTTTGGGTGTAGGTTAAAATAAATTGTTCTTTTATTTATTCACTTATTTATTCAGTATTTATTGTTTATTTATGTACTGATTTACTGGTTTTATTCCATTAGCGTGTATTTTTACTTTCCTACAGTTTCTTATTTATCCATTTGTGATTAGAGTTAACAGAAAATGACGGCCGTTATCATGGTTTCCTGCTCGTGTTGTAGTGTGGTTTCATATGCATCTGAAATAAACAGAATTCTACCATCCCTGTGGCATGCTGTGGTGTGTTTTTGTGCAACGTGCTCACAGGTTTTAACCTCTTCCATTCACCTATCTGAGCATCTCCCACGTTGCTTGCCCGGCTCCACGCCTCCCTCTCTCTCTCTCTTTATCTGTGAGCCTCTATAGTGAGGCAGTGACCCTGGGTGTGCTCTGTTTGGGATGACCTCATCTTCGGCTCTACCTCCCTCTCTGTGTCTCTCGCTCTCTCTCTGCTCTGTATAATAGGAGCAGGATTAGGGCTATAATAGCGCCCTGGCTGCTCACTGCCGGAGTCTATTGTGGCTTTGTGTGGGAGGGACACACCAGCGCTCAGGGACACACTCGCTTTTTGACAGAAAACATGTCCAAATACACTCCTTGGATCTGGCACTAAAATAACTTGATTTCATAAATGAGGGATGTGTGTCTTCAAAGGGAGATGACACACAGATGAGAGCTCGTGAAGAGATTAAAAAAAGCTGTGAAGGTAGGTAGTAAAAGTGTCACACTTCTATTTATGAAAGGAAAACCCCATCACAAAACGTTTTAGACAGATATCCTCCATGGAAAAACACTGAAACTCACCCTCATACAAATCCAATTAAACACTGTCTTGTGCTGCCCCCTTCTGGACACTTTTCAAAAGGCCTCTGTCTTTCCAAAAGCAGTCAGGATGGGATGTACAGAAGCCATGCACAAACATTTCATGTATACAGAAGAAGTTTAAATAAACCCATAAAAAGTGCACCGAAAGCTGAAAACTCCATAAAATACTTTTTTTCCCCCTTTAACACAAAATGATGTGTTTCACAATTATAAACATGTACATTTTTAGGCAAAAAAAAAAAAAATGCTTAAACCATAACATTTTTGTAAGTTATTTTCTGGAAACCGTCTTGCATTTTTTAAAATATTTTTATGTTTTGTAAAATGTTTTTAGATTAAGTGAAATATTTTTGTCTGTAAGTCAGATTTATTATTATTATTATTATTATTTGTCATCAATGTAGAACTTTTGCATTTAGGGAGAGATTTTTGTGTTTTGTAATTGATAAAAAAAAACTCAAATTTTTTGTGGGCTGTTTAGTTTTTCTGTGAAATACGTTTCATGTTTGCTTAAAATTCTAGACATTTTTCCCACTTTTTGTTTTTTGTAAAGTATTTTTGCATTTTTTTGAGATATTTTGTGTTGTGTGATTTTTTTTTGTTGTTGTTCTTTATAAATATTTCTGTGTTATGATTTTTTTTTTTTTTTTTTTTTGTTAAACTTTGTAGTTTTTTCAGTATTTATACATTTTGTTAAACACATTTTGTTTTCAAATTTATGGACATTTAACAGATATCTTTGCATTTCATGTTACATTTTTTAGGTTTGATCCTTTTTTGTGTCACTAAATGATTATTTAGTCTATTTTCAAGGCCACCACAGCAATTCGTGACACTGACCGTATTTGTACTCCACCTTTACTTCATAGCTGCATGCACCTGCAGGAAAACACCGACAACGCGTGAGGCTGATGGGAGAGGGGGAGTTCGAGGCTGGGGGAGGGGTCAGGGCGGCAGGTTTCATCCTCTCCTCTGCAGGAAGTCCAAATCCTTACTTGACAAGTCAGAAAGAGGGGGGGCTGGAGAGAGAGAGAGAGAGAGAGAGAGGTGGAGGAGGTGGAGAGCGAGAGAGAGAGAGAGAGCGAGGAAGAGGAGAGAGAGAGGGAGGGAGAGAGAGACGGTGCTGACTTTGTAGTTGCAGAGATCCGCGTGAGACAGGTGAGATGATGCTGCTCGGGCTGGGGTTCTCAAAGTGAGTGGTCTTTGGGGGGGTAGAGGATTTGGGCTGAGGTTTCTGCTCTCTTTCTGGGTCTGTTGGAGTCCTAACCCCGGTCTCAGTTTGCAGATGCCGACAGATGTGCCGACAGAAGATGACAGGCTCAACGCGGAGGAGAAAGAGAGCAAGGTAGGAGCACAAGGCAGCGCGAGGGTACGCGCGCTCGGAGATACACACCCTCAATGTTGTCAACATCCTGACTGAAATCAGCCAATCAGATTTGGGGTATAAAGGTGATGTTTGATGCTCAGGAGGGTTCATTGGACTGCCTGTGTAGGTGTGTTTGTTTAGGTGGGTGGAGGAGCAGAGTGGGGGTGTTCTGATTTACTACATGACTCTTTTTCATCCAAACTCCTAGCTAACTGTGGACTTATTTCAGCTCCTTTGAAATCATGAAAGTATCTTCCATCTCAAATATGTGTATATTTTTTGTGGGTACAATGAAAAAAAAAACAGATAAAGCCAATATCAGGGTTGTTGCACTGCAAAAACTCAAATGTTTGTGAGTGTATTTGTTGTATTTCTTGTCAAAGATATCTCATTTGACTTTGATTGCCTTGCTGATTCAAAGACTCCAGAAATAGCATCTTATTTAAAGGTAATTTAAGCCAAAAAATAAGTTCTGAATGCATGCAATGAGTTAATATATATATATATATATATATATATATATATATATATATATATATATATATCTGACAGTAGTAAAGCAAGCAAAATGTACCTGTTGTTTGGTGTAATGTAGTGTAAGACCAAGCGAGTTACTTTTGCTTACTGCACTGAGGAATAGATTTGACTATAATTCCTATTTGGCTCATAAAACCTTAAAATAAACTGTTATATCTGGACTCTTCAGGGGCCTGTGGCTTAAATTAAATCTAATGAGATATTTTTGACCACAAACAAGATAAACACGCTCAGGAGGAAATGAGAGCTTGTAGTGTAGTTTGGACCCCCGCAAATCTAAAATTCCCCTGAGATCTGAGTTGTTTCCTGCAGCCGTTTCTGTCCTTTCATGATTTTTTTTTTTCCTAGATACTATAAACCAGAGTCATGAAAAATGTCCACACAGACTACTTGATGAGGTAGATTCACAGATCTAAATGCATTTTTACCCTTGAGACAAGATCTAAATTCCTGCTGGAGATCAGTGGGAACACATTGGTTCATCATTTTAACCCAAATAACAATATGTTCTTAAACTGATAACAACTTTTTTTAACATGAAATAATCATTTAATCTCATGCTCTTATGCAGTTCTGTCAGGTTTTGGGAAAGAGGATGCCTTGAAGATAAAATTATATGTTAATGTTGGCCTTTATTTTTCACCACCATAGACTGGATCTGAGACATCAAAGTCATCATCCTAAATTTTTAGATGAGCATTTTAAGGCGTAGAGTTTTGGGAGCAGAGGGGATCATGCTGGGAGGAGAGAGTGAATATGCATCGCTAAACTTCAATCCTTTAAGGGTGGGCGTTTCAAATAAAATACTATTTTATGGTTACTTTTGCCAATTGATTTGGATTCAAATAGCTCAAAACCGAAGAACCTGATTCTTGTTAAGATGTTCACTCCGTTTTAAATAGAAGTCTTTCCTAAAACCTGCATCCAAGTCGTGGAGAGAATCGTGAGAATCGATTGCACATCAATCTGCAAAAAACGACTGCAAACACTGGAGTATGCATGCCGGGCCATTAGATGGCAATGCACCTGGTTTTACCTTCATTTTACACATCAACAGAAAGGGTGGTGTTTTCTAAAGATCTCAGTCTGGAAAACAAAAGTTTGTGAAGTTTGCATTTTCAACAACCCAAAATGCTTTTTCTATGTAAATGTTTAGGATCAGCCAAAACCAAACTATAGGGGACTTTGTCCTGCAGATGTATGCTTGTGAAAAGCCTCTTTTGCATTGTCCTTCTCTTGTTGTTGGCTAAACCATGTCAGGTCATTAATAACATGCAAGTTGCAACAGCTAACTCTGGATATGCAGTCAGAAACTTCATCCCTTTGGTTTATGAAGTTTCTGATTCAAAAGAAATGTATACAGAAGCCCTCAGGTGGAACAGCAAGTGCCTAACAGCATGTGTAGTAGTTTCCACATTGTTTAAACAAGGTATCAAGCATTTAATAAGAATTCATATCAAGGTTGGCAGTTTTACACTTCTGCTGGTTTGCTTGTTTATGTTATTTGTAAATGTTTTTATGAAATGCTGCAAATTTCTATGTGTACAATGTCTGCCGAGTTCATAAAACTTCCCTGAGAGAAACATAAATGTCTTACAAGCTTAGTACTCCATGAATTTCTGCACTCCTGTTATCTTTACACCCTGTTAGTCACCGGGATTTCCTCCTGACGTTACTGCTGCTGCTGGTTGAAAAATAATAATCTAGAGAAACATTTTTGTGACTTTCAGAAAACAAAACGTAGAGTCAGACTCAGATTGGTATTCAGAGACGGCCCTGACATCAAGCTCCCTTCAGCTCTTTTAAAAAAATTGCTTGAGGTGTTTTCCCGACCCTTTACCTTTACTGTTTTTCTTCACTCTTAGCTCTCTCAGAGGATCTTTTTAAAAGATGACTGTGCTCTGTCTATTAATAAACAGCAGATAGACACAACTGCAGATGAATAGTGGAGATACATATTTGAAGCAGTAGGTGGTAGAGACCAAAACCAGAGCTGTACTAGAGCACATGGTGGACTGAAGCTGAAAACCCACAGGATGTGTGTTGGGTGGTACCATCACTGTCACGTCCCGGCTCCATCGGGCAGCATGAGTCATCGCCCATTGGACACATGTTTGGAGCGTAGCAGCAGCCCTGGGCAGCTGAACTCAGTAAACAGAAAACAACATACAACAGGTTGCTTTGCCTATCTGTTTCCTGCTAATCTGGATATTTTTCTGCGACTTTTGAGCTCCTACTATATGTCAACTAACACCTTAATTTTAAAGTTTGGATTTTTGCAGGTTTACTCGTGTTTGGTAAAGTGAACTATGACCCACTTTGCTTTGCTATAACCTTCAAATAGGGTTATCCGCTGTTCTGTTGTGGTCCACATTTTTCAGGGATAGACCATAGGGTTTTTCTGTGTTAACGATAAATCCATAACCAGGGAGTATTTCTCATTTACACCAACTTAACACCAGCCAGCTACATATAGTGTTTTATTTGGGAATTTACTGGATGACATGCATCTCTCTACTGTGCATGACATTCTGTCTAGGATGATCTTCTCTGTGGAGATCACAGCGTGGTAATAGACTCGGCACGCATCTTTAGCGGAACAGTGCATAGAGACACTTCTGGGACTGAGCTGAGATGAAGCTGCAACGCAGCCTGTGTGCGCTGCTGCATTGATTAGAAGTGGAACATACTTGCTGTGTAGCACGCAACACTGATGCAGCATGCTCAACATGCATCTTGTGGGTTTTGGGCTTAACAGCTCATTTTCATTGACACGCCTCATGAAGAGTGGAAAGGGCACAAGGGGACAATATCATCCAGTCTTGATAATCATATTTTTGTGACTGTGGGAGGCAAGAATTGTTATCGAAATTGAATCGAAAACAGTTTGATTGCCAATTCTATACCCAACATTTTTTTCTAGTGATTTTTGGGTGAATTTAGCCTTTTATTGATAGTACATGGTGAAATGTGGGGAGATAGAGAGAGAGGGGAGGACATGCAGCACATGGTCAGGGCTGGACTCGAACCCATGGTCCTCATACATGGGGCGCACTAACCCGCTCAGCCATCTACGTGCCCCATACCCAACATTTTCTGAACTGGTTCAACTAAAACAGAGCTGAAATCAATGTTTTTTTAGTTGGCACCAATTTACACCAAATGTTATCTCAAGAGTTTTGAAAAGAAGAAGGTCAAGAGCTGCTAGATTTACAATGTCACAACTTCAAAATAGGATAAGATTAAGTCTCATCCTGTAGGATCAGATCCACTTATAGCCCATATAAATCCACCATGAGTGAAATACTTTGCAGCATTTAACAAGTTACAGTGGAGAGCTAAAACTTCCTTTAACATACAGAAACAGAACCAGACTCATGTTTGACCAGTCACCTGCTGAGACTGTGCTGGGATCAGAAAGAGAGGTGCAGAAAGACAGAGATGGATAGAAATGAACAACAACAGTTCATACATACATATATGTGCCAGCATTGATAATTTATCTGGTTTCTGCTGCACTAAAGTGGAGAGAAAAACGCCTGTTATTAAAGACATAAAGGGGATATTAAACACAAAGGTCAGTTTAATCATCATGGGAACCATGACTCAGCTTGCAAGGGGAAAAAAATGCATTATTTCTTATGAGTCTGTGGAGGAGCTGTGTCATTTTAATCTATATTACCCTGATGAAGTCATCGGATTGCTTGTGTTGGAGCCAAAACTGGGTTGTTAAGTTTGAAAGATGGGCCAAGGGGCTGAGGTTGTTTACTGAAAGACACGACCCTCGAACTCTGGGAATTGTAGGATTTTATGTTTTTGTTGCTTTCCTCATTAAATGGACTGAAAGGGCAGTTAGTTTGTTTCTGTATTCAGAGATTTACGGTCCCCTCTGACTCTATGGAGGTGCATGAGCAATACTAAGCAGCCAAATTATCACGCCATCATGCAAATCTGGCTCTGGTTGCTGCCATTTTGAGTGTTATATAAAAGGCAGCAGACTGAATACAGACCAGCGTTAAATGTTACATAAAGTGTGCATGTCCCTTCATGTTCCTGTCTCTGCAGTGTGACAGCATGACTCTGTCCAGCACCCCGACCGTACGCAGAGGAAGCACTCCTCTGCCCATTAAACACCAGCTCAGACGAGAGGAGGCCGTCCATGATGACTGCGACTGGGCCTCAGGAGCAGCTGGACCCTCGGCCTCTCCGATCAGATTCAGCCCGGCACTGGACGACACCCTGACTGTGGCGGTGGAGAACCGTTTTGATGGGCCCCTGAGAATCGCCCTGTTAGGACAAAATGGTGTGGGCAAGTCCTCTTTGGCCCTTGCCCTCGCCGGGGACATGGACAGGGCAGCGTCTGTGGATTCTGAAGGTACAAAGCTTTGCGTTGAACAGCAGGTAAATAAATCCCTGCTGTCAGCTCCCCTGTGAGACCTAACTGCTGCTCTCTGTCCTCAGGGGAGGGTTACGTGCGTATAGTCACTGTGGATGACGAGGAGAGCACCATCATTATCTATGACAACTGGAGACAGGTGAGCCCAACAACAACCTGCTGCCTGCTCCCTCATTATCCTCCTCTGTACAGCCATGTGCTGTGGTGCATAAATATATAGGGCTTGTATATTTTTAAATGTATAGGAGGTCTTGTCAAAGGGTCTTAAGTCTTCTGACTCCTTGGGCTTGAAGCTCAAAGTAAGAACAGAGTAAATACAGAACCCAATTACAGCTGAACTAAAGGGTGCTTAACCTCAAGTGCACAACATTCAAGCATCCAGAGTGGTGTTTTTTTGCACCAGAGATAATGTATACTGCACAGTAAATAGCACAGTGAATTCAGTATTGTTCTAATGATAATGTTTAATATTCATAAAAATCTAATTATTGCAGGTACACTCTGTAAAGTGCAAGGTGAATAACGTGTGGTGGAATTTAAAGTGCATGTTTATTTAGCGTGGTTGATAAATTGCAAAAAAGGTAACATTGATCGCAGAGTAGATGTGTTTTTGGCACAATAGACAGAGTTATTGCAGAGTAAGTAATATATACAGATAGAAACCACATGTATTGACACCAACCTGCTAATGGGACTGGGGATGGAAATTAGCCACTTGACAATAATTCCATCCATTTACATGTAAATGTTCATTAATGCATATTGTCCTATTTACAAATAATTACATAAACAAATCAAATAAATCAAAATCAAAAGTATACTGCACAGTATACTTTTGATTGTTGCATAGAATATTACATGTGTGTAATAGTAGTTCATGTATAAGGCCTGACGGATACTGTATGTTACATATGAAAGGTTAAAAAGGTAAATAGCACCTTTAATAATGTATTTGAATGGCAGAGGATGTGCCTGATGTACAGTACAAGATAAAGAAAAAGAAGTTGCACGGCGGATAATGAACACTGCTAGATAGAGTGAATTTATTGCATGGTAGTTAACATACATTGCACAATAGATAATAACAAAGTAGATCATGCAAAGAAGTAATGGCATTGTATCCAGCGCAGATAATGTATGTTGGACAGGGAAAAATCTGTTTTATGATAAATTATGTTACACAGTTTACAGTATTTTGTGATCAGTAGATGACAGATACTGCACAGTAGATAATATCTACTGCACAGAGGTAATATATATTGCACAATATATGTTATTGCACAGAGGTGGGTAATGTGTTTACCATGGTAGATAGTGCATATAACACATTTTATATTATGTTTGCACAGTAGATGACATATACTACACTGCTGATTCTGAATATAATAAGGGATATGATTTTTTCCATGTTAAATAATGTATATCACACAATATTACCAAGCCATACGCTTGGGATTTCTTTAAAAATACAACCGTCTTCATCATTAACCAACAGAGGGTGGAACAAAATAAGATTCTCAACAAATCTGCAGTATAGTATGATAAGTAAAAGTTCATTTATATGACCTCTGAGGTTTGTCCTGGAAAAAAGTACCCTTATTAATTTGTTTACAAGTTCAATATGAAATAAATAGGACAAGACTTTGCAAGGTGCTTGTACTTTGCAGCTTCAGCTAACTTGCTGTGTTTACATGTCATACAGTAGCTGGTCAGAGGGCTCATTAGACTTTCAAATACTTTGCTCAGCACTATCTCAGCTAATTGGTCCTGGAAAGCATGACCTGACTACATCTAACAACACCTTATAGAAGCCTAGAATGAGAGCTTAAAAGTTGCAGGGCTACAGAAGAAGATAATGTGATTGCAATTTGCAAAAACATGTCGAACCTTCAAAACATCGGTGTACAAAATGATATTTGTGCAAAAAGGGAAAACAGTATCAGCAAAAAGGCAGTGCAGTGCATTATTTTGTTTGCTAAAGCTACAGTAGATAATTAATAATTGCAAATTCATTACTGGTTGTTTGTTCTTTACTCGTAAAGGGTGTCATCTTCGTTTCTCTGTTTCTGTAAGATTGCTGACTGAACCCCCGCAGTGTTTCTGATAAAGACTTGCATTAGCATCCTTTTACATTTGAATTTCCTAGAGGGGGGTCAGAACTGAAAAAAACGACAAACGTAAAAGAAAATGAACTACTGCCACCCATAAGCTGATTCTTGCTGCAAATGTTGCATATTTTATGTGTGTTTTATATGTAGCCTAATATCGGAAGCTGGGCTCAGAGGAACACAGTGACAAAAGACGACAATAAATCCTTTTTTTATCTGCATCTGGTCCACAGAGAGAAGCTCATTATGAGGTTGTTTTGCACACTTTTCCCTCTTTTCCCTTGAGAGCAGTTCAGTGTATTTGGTGTGTGTGAAAAACAGAGACAGAGAGAGAGAGAGAGAGAGAGAGCTGCCCACAGAGCAGATGTGTCAAACGGCTGTATCAATGTTGTTGATTTAAGGTGGATGTGTGAAAACAACTGAACTTGTGACACAATCTGTCTGCGTTGATGTGTTACTCTTTTGCATAATGAGTTCGATCTGTTGTGAGAAAAGCTGGAGCTGCTGCCTCATAAGGAATGCTCTTATATAATTTCAGCATTTCGTCTCTGCCGTCATCAGACTGTTGTTGTTTCCTTAAATTAAGCGAAAAGTGAGCGGACCCAGGCAGCTCCGGCTTGAGACAGATGGAGGTTTAGTCAGCTTTCTACAGCATGAAGGCTTCACACAGAGGGATATTTTCAGGGATTTTCTTTCTCTCTTTTTTGGAGTGGGTGAATGTCTGTGTGTGTCAGCAGGATTTTGAGGTGTACTACGGCTCCTGCTATCTGCGGGAGTAATTCTCACTAAGACACTGGGGATTTAGACAGAAAACTCACTTGTTGGCTTGGTTTTGCATGCTGCACCTCCACTATTTCTTTGCACACGCAAATGTGACAACAGTGTTTATGAGAAGGAAATGTTTGTGCTCGATCTTTGTTTAGAGTCTGAGACCTTTAAGAATTTAAGAGTCAAATGGAGATTAGGTTTTGGATTGAGTCCTGGTATTACAAGTAGGAGTGAGATGAGTCAGCATGATCAAGATGACTGCGTAACAATAAAGTTCAGTAACTTGAACGGTTTCTGTCCCTCAGGATCTGTCAGCTCTGCAGTGTGAGGTGTGTGTCCTGGTGTTTTCGGTGACTGACAGGCGGAGTTTCCATCGCACCGCCCAACTGCGGCTCCTCCTGAGGGAGAATCAGCCCCAAACTCCCATTATCCTCGTTGGGAATAAGAGCGACCTTGTCCGCACACGTGAAGTGACTGCTCAAGGTAAAATGAACCCTGCTATCATCTTTAGAGTAATTTTTGTTCAAGTATCACTAAAACATCACTGTGGTGTCTGTAAAGACTAAATAAAGTCATGCATGAGCCCACGGGATTCAGGTATGAGGATATTGTAGAGCTGCAAATGTAAAAATCTTTCATGCACACGTGATCTTTGCAAATGATGTCACAGCACTGGTATGCAGCATTTCTCTGCTCATTAAAGCAATTATTCAGCATGTAAAAAGAAAACTATATTTTGAATGCATGCAGTAACAGACTAAGCATGTGATTGTTTTCTTTAATTTCAATGCTCTGCAGCCTGGAGTGTATACTACTGTCTATTACTTACATGGTATCAGGCATTAAGAATAACAATCTGACCCTGTGTTTGACAAAAAGATTTAAAACTTTGGACAGAGGACAGGGTTTTTGTCAAATCAGTGCATTATTGTTTTTCTCAGTCCTGAAACTTAATTTAGTTCAATTAAGTTGATGTCACATCTGATTTTGATTCTTCCCCAGTTCTCATAAACTGAGACAAAGATAGTAGTCCAGTCAATTCACCTTATCAAACTATGACCTTAGCTTGACCTAACAGTGCATGTAAATATACCCAATGTTGCGAAGAATGACACAAGGCAGTCAGCAAGGATGACAAACAAGGAACCAAGGAAGCAATCATGGCAGACAGAAGACAGGAGTGTCCAAAACGTTGTTGTTTACAGCATAATATTGATGTGCTGCAATAACAGCTCTAAAAAAAATAAAACTGTACAACATACTGACTTACTTTGAAATCCACTCAGTCTGTAAGACTCAGCTTAACAACAAAGTTCTTGTGACATCTAGGAGCTTTTCTATACCACTGAGAAGATCAGCGTATTTTCAGATGTATTAGGAATCAGTTTTAGTGATATAGTGCGATTTCTGTTGTTAGTTGACAACCCCAATTAGAGGTGGCCATCTTCTTTATATACTGCAAGAATAGTCATAATGAAACTTGTGTAAAAACCTTCACAGGCTGACTTTAATCCACACAGAAAGAAATGATAAAGAATTGGATTGACGGGAAGCCTAGCTGTCTACGTGTGTATCCCATATACGGAAGAAAGACCTCAAGTGGTCATCCAGGTTGTGGCTCCCTTCCCCATGTCACTCCTCAATATTTCTGCCAAGTTCTTGCTCTGTTTGCTGTCCTGTTCTCTCCAAATAAAGGCAAAAAAAGCCCCAAAATGTAAGTGGACTGTTAAGCAGAATCAGTAATGGTATTGGTATCAACAAAATCTTATCAACTTCTATCCCTACAGCTGAGTATGGTAAACAAAGGCTGACATCTTTGTTTTGGTCTGTAAACCAATCAGATTTATTTCATTTAGCTGTGACACTTTCATTTTAACATACTGAAAACAATACTTTAAAGATGTAAAAAGATCAACCTTTTTTGTGATAGTCAATGACTCAATTTAAAATTGCTCTTTGTGTAAAAACAAAATTTGATCTTTAAAGGTCTTAAATTTGCTCTGTTGCATTTTAGTCAGGGCCATCTAATATACTAGTTAATGCGATATCTTGATGAGGTAAATTTGCCTCCAGGATCAGGTAATAGTTTTCTTGCATCCATTTTAAGAAATCTGCTGGAGAAATTCCAACGTATTTTGGTGCCTTTTAACCGTTTAGACTACATTTAATGCGAAAACTAGGCCAAGGTTCAGGAGCGGCATATTTCCTTGTTCTCGTTTTGTTGAATTTTGTCCTGACAGTTGTCATTGACATTTTCAGATTTTGTTTTCTGTGGGTAAACAGGAGCGTAGGGTGAAATATGTGAAAATGTAAATGCCAGTATCTCAGCTCTATCAGTGTGGGAGGAAGAACGGAGTCACTGTTACACTTTGACAGGAGAGGACTCACTGTGTTTGTTTGTTTGTTTGTGTGTGTTTGTGTGTGTGCACGCGTGTGTGTGTGTCTGTGTGTAGCTCCACAACACACAACAAATATTTTAAGAATAAAAGTTAAGGCTTAAAAAGACATTCAAACTTTTTAAAGAAGAACAAAGTCTTTAAGTGTGATTTCAGGTTGCCATGAACTTGAGGTATAAACCTCAATAAGTTAACCACAACTTCTAAAACAGACGCAAAACTTGTGTGTGTGTGTTTTGCTTAAAATGCTTGATAGTCATCATTATTGAACTTTTTTCGGTGAAAAAAACCCGAAAGGTACTCTATAGGGCTTCTTACAATTGTGGTGAGTTTCTGCCAAGAGGTCTGATAGGGTTTCATACATAATTATAAATTTTTTCATGGTCAAAAGGTGGGAAAGGTGCCTAAACAACTTAACCATACTGTCAAGCCTTTTGGAACCATTTTGTAGAGTTTCCAAGCATATTGATCCAACCCTAAACTGCAATATTTGAGAGGAAGGAGGGAAAAGATTATCCCTTCTGATCTAAGTTATTTGATCTGTGTAACATGATAATGTTTTATGTGTGTTTTATTCTTTTCAGGAGATGTTCTCAGGTGTTAAACACCTATCAGGACTTATGAATGTGCACTTCAATGCAAATGGTTATCAGCTGAGAAATGAGAGGGGCACAGAGATGCTGCAAAGGGAGAGAGACAGTTTGCAAAAGAGGAAATATTGACTGATTACTTGATTATGAGAACTTTCCTCAAAAGTTCACCTCAAGCTCAAATAAGGTAGAGCATAGTTGTCTCCAACACATCTTTAAAATAAAAGGATTGTGTCCGAGCAAAAGCTGTATCTTCGCAAGAAAGAACGAATTAGGCTTTTGCTTTGTAAGGCATTCTGGGGGTGTAACCACAGCATACTTTTTATGCTTGAGATTTAAACCTGGCTGATTCAGAAGTAAACTGTTTTTCTGTATGGTGAACAAAATAAAAGGCTGCAGATATGCATCATGAGCATAGGTTTACTTTGATAGCCCATGGGTGTGTTGTAGGTACACAGGTGGCGTGTTGCTATCGTGAGGATGCAGAAGGTGACAGTAACATGGACAAACTAAAGCCTGGTTCACAGCCTACTGTGTCATGTTTTCTTTCTGCTATTTAGGGAGTGCATTAGTTCCAGAGTGTAGCCCATGCTAAGTATAATTATATTTGCTGATACATTCAAACTGAGTTTTTTTCAAGGAACTTTTTTTGAAAATAACTTTTTGTTCGTATTACTTTCAGCACCTGCCGTGGCCAAAATAATACTTCAGCTAATCGTCTTTTGCATATGAGTAAGATGTGTTTCTTACAGAAAAATCTCAGCCAGATGAAACACTTTTTGAGAAAATTTGCCTGGAAAAAGTAACAGAAAGGTTTCCCTATATCATGCTGCAAAACTGCAGTTGCATGCATTAAAAATTACTACATAGAAACTGTAAATCTTTTGCAAATTGTCTTGTGTGCTTTCGTGGGTCATAAACGGGCCTCATTAATAGCTTTAGTCTGTCATAAAACTCCTCATCACAATAGCTTTAAATGGGACTGTGGGCCTGGAGATCATTTCTTTCCCTCACCTCTTACCCCGTGTTATTGCCTCCGCATGAAATCAATCCTGGGATACCAAAAGATGAGGACACCATCGCCTACCCCGTCTGCTTTACCCCAGCCCTGCAAAGGCTTAAAAGTCCAACCTTTTAAAGTCATGAGACCGAAACCAAGCTTTCTTTTGTGTGCACTCACTATGATGCACCCTCTCTCAATCAGACATACATGCTAAGAAAAAAGTATGTAAACCAGAAAAATATGTTAAAATTTCCAAAGCCCACACTTTTTGAGTCAAACACACAAGTTGATAGCTAGCATTATGGGTGTAACTGCAAACATTGTCTCTCTGCATGCATGAAATCATAAAACTCTTCTGATGGAGTTCACTGCTTTTTTTTTTTTTTTTTTTTTTGCGCTTTTTTTTATAATCATTTTGCTGCTCATGTCGTATCTTGATATACTGTAATGCTAAGTGACTGCCCTGTTCTAGTAAAACAATAACAACAACCTTTATCAAACTTATAGACTAAATCATGGCTTTTACAGTATTTACGTCTGGATGCTCCTTCTTTAAGACCCGAGGAAAAAATATCTGCATTTTCAAAGTCTGACGTTTATGATTGAAAACAAACCCCCAAATCTTTTGTCTTTGGGTTTTGCTCCATTGTATTCTGTCTCTCTCCCTGACATGTTTACAAAGGCTGACAGTTATTAGTCTTTGTATACAGGATAATTTTAGCTGCTCAAGAACGATATGATGGACACTGAGCACTGACACTTTCCTGCGTCACAAAGACACAGAAAATCTCTCTCAGAAATCTTTACAACCTCCTTCTTATTGCTAATAAATGTATGTTGGAAAAACTGGAATTTCATACATCTCACCATGTCTTCCCTCTATTAGAGACAGAGATAAAGAGGCTTTGAGATTACAAAGTTTGACCTACACAAGAAAGAGTTTTGTCTTGAAGTCAAAGGTCCCTCTGATTAACGCAGAAAAGCTGATGGCTTACCTAAATTTATAATTTAGTAGGCTGCAGACTTTTCTTTCCTGAATATATAAAAACACTGCCATTGCCACTGTGTTGTGAATAACTGGATTGCAGACAACTTTTTTTAAATTATTTTAGTTTAGCATTTTGGCTGTCACCATTAGGCTTGTATTTTGGAGCCAGAAGTGACCACTTTTGGATGGGATGCAGAATCTGTTGACACTTACCAGCCAATGCCAACCCTGTTTTTGGTGGCAAGGCAAAACTGCCAACTGTGATACTCACTGTGATGCTAAATTTGACAAGTTAAAAACAGGATTTGAAGAAACTACTGAAAAACTACGTCTAAAAAACAACTAAAATCGTGGTAAGTTGGCTACTCAGAGTTTAAGTACAACTGAACTGAATCCCTGTTTAAATCCTTCCACATTTCATGGTCTCTGCGACTCTAAATGAGACCATAATTTACCAAATAAACATCATGCTGTATGAAAGAAGACTTGAAACCACAGACCGAAACCATGAAGTCATTAGAAAAATGTTTACTGCGGGTATGAATCAACTGAGATGTGGCACCAGTTTAATAGACTTTCAAACACTCAACGCCTCATTTACAAATACATTGTGCAGCTTTGCCACTCACTAAACATCGTGTAATTTACAAAGAACACTCACAAGAGAAGATTCATCACAAAATGTACTGCAGAGAAAGTGATGTTTATGCATGAGTGTTGTTTGCATATTAAATGAGCCATTAAACATGCATTTGGAGCAAGTGAAGCTCGTCGCAGAAAACATCGAGGTCTGAAACAACAATGAAATTACGACAAAATGCTCCTCCATTCTCAGCTCTTCATCAACATGTGGATGGCACATAACACTGTTTGGTACTGCAGAGGTTGGAGATGCTGACAGCTTATCTCCATAATGACATGCAAAACAAAAGCTAACTGCACAAAACAAAAGCTAAAGTTGCAAACTTTGTGGGCTTTTTACGCTAAATCATCTGTACAGTTTGTTTTGCAATTGGAGCTTGAGACAAAACAGGGAGAGTGTGAAGATACTAAAAGCTTATCTCCACAATGAGGTGCAAAACAAGAGCAAACTGAACAGAGCAGCAAACTTTCTGGTGTTTTTGTGTTTAACTATCAGTGCAAATTTTTTTGTAAATTGGAGCTTGAGACAAAACAGGAGGATTGTGAAGATGCCAAAAGCTTATCTCCACAATGACATGCAAAACAAGAGCAAACTGCAGAGAGCAGCGAACTTTGTGGTGTTTTTGTGCAATTTGTTTTGTGAATTGGAGCTTGAGATGAAGCAGGTAGGGAGCAGAAATGCTAATGGTTCATGTTGACACAAGATGCAAAACTAGAACTTGCTGCACAAAGTTGTAGAACTTTACAGTGTTTTGCACTTAATTATTTGTGTAATATGGTTTGGTAATTTGAAGTACAGGACAAAGCAAGTATTTGGGGCAAATTATGTGCAAGTCTTGGTGCTATAATTAGCTGCAATCCCTCCTCAGACTTGTGTATTGACTTTACTTTCTGTTCTGGAGAGTGCACCCACTTCTCTAACACAGTCTATGGTCACACACTGCTCTGTAATGTTAAAAGTGTCCTGACTGGCTGGGGGCTGGGGGCTGGGTGTGGTTTGATCCCAGTTGGAGACTCTGCTTTCAAGCTTGGCCTCACACTACCCAACTGTGTTTGTTTCCCATTTCTCTACTATCAACCATGCAATAACTGGAAATACCCTCTATGTGTTTTGTGATAAAACTTGATTAAATTTACTTTATACAAACACAAAAAATATGACATTCATAGTTGCTTTGACTGCGGGGCTGCTGTGATGTTTTTGCTCCAAAAGCAGCCTAAATTGTAAACTCCTGTGTCTGGTTTGGTGACTCCCAGAATATGGGTTTCAGCTCACTGGTGTATGATGAGGGTGCTGTGGGTGGGCTATGATCGCTTATTTTCCCACTTTTTTGTTCCTGTATAGATTACATACATGATTTGAATATTTTTTTGCACAATGTTGCAGTAGGCCATCTGTTTACATGGAATTTCCATCAAAAGTTAGAAAGACAAATTGAACAAAATCCTCATTGGAGATATTTTCTTTTTGTCTCAAAGGTTAGTGCAACTTTTAAGATTTGGTGTTTTGGTGGGTCCCAGAAAATAATAGTTAAAAAAACGGTAGCTTGAAGAGAAACATGGAGTAAGTTGTTACAGTGTTAAAAACTGTGTAATGCGTTGTACAGAAAATGTCGAATTGTAAGTTTATGTGCACAGTTTTCAGCCAACAGTCTGTTATTGACCAATCATTTACACCAAGACACTAATCTGCTTGATGCTGTGCCAGGAAAAACAATCAGCGTTTAGATTTCCTGATTTCCCTGAATGTATCAGCAATGATGGCTCTGACCTACATTCAACAAACAAAGATTTTAACACTTGTTTTCTTCTCTTGAGGACAGACCTGACAAAGCTTGACTTTTGACTCTTTTCTGATCTGCATCATAATGTCATTATTTCTGCAAACTGAAGGCCAGTTAATTAGAAGACAATCTAAAGAAAATCAGTTTCTTACTGCTGAAACCAAAGTGAAGTCTCTGTGTAACTTACTATTACTGAGATTTACCACAGACAGAGAGGCAGCCATTCCTCTGGGGGGGATATCATGAGCTAATGGTTCATATTTTACAGACATATCTGAGTGGGAAATTTCACATCTCTTTTGATTCCAACACATGATCTCTTTTCAAGACGCCAATTGGACAGGAAACAAAGCATTGCATGAAAAAAGAACATCCAGACCCAGAGGTTTCACTAATGCCAGCTACGTGACAATGGTTGACCAATGTTCCTAGTGGCATCCCTGTATCCCTGTTTGACAGAAGCTGATAGGTTTTAACATTGGACACATTGAAAGAGCTGTAAAGATGTTGTACACTGTTTTGAACTTCAAGTCCCCACACAGTCAGGGGAGAATCTCTTACATTAGTGTCAACTTTACTGTAAACTTAACATTCATCTTTATTGATCTTTCCCCTCTCCTTACCTCATCCCTCTCAGAGGCCATGTCCAGTGCCGCCCTCTATAACTGCCTGTATCTGGAGATCTCTGCCTCTCTGGACCACCGTACACCTGAGCTCCTTGAATGTGCTGTTCGACTAGCAAGGGGTCTTCCCCCTTGGCCCCCGGGAACCACAGCGGAGGACATGATGAGCGGCCAACGAGAGAGTATCACCTCCAAGGCCAAACGGTTCCTGTCCAGCCTGGTGCCCCGGTACCCGAGAGAGCGAGAGGTCGGAAAGTTCCTGAGGCAGAAGTCCCGCTCGTGTCATGACTTAGGAGCGCTGTGATTGGATGCTGACTGGAGGTCAACGGTTAGATAGCAGAAAGAGAGAAAACAGAGAAAGAGAGGGAAGAAAAGAAAAAAAATGAAATGAAGAAGCCAGAGAGGCAGGAGGACAATGAGGGGAATTTCAGAAGAGAAAGCAATGTTAGTGATATTTATTTGTTAGGTAAATATAGAAATTTTGTACACAAGAGTAAACATAGGAGAAGACTAAATATTGTTGTAAATAAACTATATTAGTGATGCTCACCTGCCACCTTTAAAGCTTTGACAGATTAATAAAATTTCTTTTTTGAGTCTTGAGAAACTGTCTGTCTCTGCCTTTTTTATAATAACTTGGTTTATATTATGTCTTTAACCTGTTTAAAGTTCTAAGGCAAACAACGAACAGAGTAGGAACCAAAAAAGATCCAAGTATTAGGATCAGACACAGTTTGATGAGACTAGGTAAAGTCAGTATAGAGCTATATCAAGACATCATAAGAGAAAAAACAATACAGAAAAAAAGTAAAGAAATACAGCACTAGAAGTGAAAACAAGAAATGAGAAAAAGAAAAATAGAAACAAAAAAGGGAGGAAATAAGAGAAAGATAAACAGAAATAAGAGTGCAACATAAAACTTAAAAAATATATAAAGATATAAAAGTGAAAAGTACGAAAAAAGATGACGACAAATATAAGCAAACAATTTTTGAATTAACAAAAAAAGATGGGAAAAAGAAAATTTAAAATTAAGAAAAAATTCAATAAATAAAACAAAGACAAAAATAAACTGTAAATCATACAAAAGCAATCAACAAAAATAAACAAAGAGAAGCCATAGAAATTAATTACAGTGGAGGGGGGTTAAAAGAAATGAAAGACATAAAATTATAAAAGATATATGAGGAATTAAAATTGTGAAATTCAACAACATTAAATAAGTGATGAAGCTAAAATTAATTTTAAAAAACTACACAAATAAACCAAAGAAAAATGAACAAAAAGAATAACATTTATCTAAGCAATATGAGATGAAAAAAAGGATTAAAAATGCATCACAAAAAATGTTACCAACAACAATAATAATATGAAGGAAAACATAATACACTCACAAAAATAAATAATAATTAAAGGAATCAAAAAATAGAGGTAGAAAAAAAACAGAGGTGTAAAAGGAAAAAGTTATGAACTCAATAATAACTAGAGAAGGATAAAATTTGTAGCATAAATTTACAGGAACAGATAACTCCAGACATTATACCAACAACAATGAAAAAATAAAGAGAAGAATGAAGAAAAATAAAAGAATTTGAGATTTAAAAACAATTAAAAATGATGTCTTGGATTACTACATGATAGTGATAATAAGAATTATCAGGATCAAATCATTAAATTGTAAATTCAACATATAAAGCAACTAAGTCATGACCACACATATCAGGGCTCATCAGTGGATCAGACTTTTGTAATGATTTATGTTGGACTCATTTACTCGCACACATTGTGGTTTCTATGGTGACAGGAAGCATTAAACTAGTAAAATGCCAGTGAGGAAAGACAAGACTTAAGAGATGAAACTGGACTTACAAAGATCGGGAGAAAATCAGAGGCAGATATTGTATATGGGGGTATTGTTGCTATGTTACAGTTGTCAAGGAAACACGCATCATCTACTCTACTATGTCCACACACCTGTACTCTTTACACAGCATATATATTCACAGAGGAGAGGGCTGATCGTGTGCAGGAAAATGTTTCATTTTAACATTGAATTAACATGCAGAGGATTTTCAGCCTCCCTGCACTCATTTCTCTCTTTTTCTCCACGCTCAGCACTTCCATCCTCCCACTCACGCCCACACATGAACAAAGATTTAGCACATCATCACAGGTCTTTACACCCATCATTTGTTATCAAAGGCAGCGCTGTGCTATAATAGAAGTGGAAAATAAAATGGTGGCATGATATTCTGACTCACTCGCTTGGCTGCAAACTGCTGGAACAGATTGAAAGGTTGACTGTTTGGATCTTAAAGATGGGACACTGGCGCCCTCATGTGGGTGCCAGTGTCCCAATTTCCCACTTCTTTCCCCTAACCCTTTCTTCCCACTGTGCCATCTACAGCTGAAATACCTCAGTCAGTAGTATGAAAATGATCCAAAACCTTTTTAAATGTTTGATGGAAGTGATTCTTTTCATGTTTTATAACTTATTTGTGTCCTGTGAACCTGAACACGATTTAAAACAGTGTGTTGGCGTGTTCATATTCCTATCCCACATTACACTTCTCTAAACAGCTGTAGGGTACTTTCGTAGGTGTTACCCCAGACCTCACAGTGCTGAAGCATTGAAAATATGAGGTACATTGCATTGTATGAACCAGAATATGTCTTGTTTATGCGGTAGTGCAAAATTTCCAAAGAGTTTAGCTTGAATATTTCTTAAATTAGCTTTCCAGCTGATTATTTGGTCTAAAATCATTACGTGTTTTCCGTATGATCCATTTGTGTTTACAGAAATGGTAAACATAAGGGTGGTATTTCTGACATAAAAAGCCAATCCCTCTGTAGCACAGTGATGCCTAAACTGTGTGTGTGTATGTGAGGGGGTTCTTGTTTGTGAAGACGTACCATTTATTCAACTTGGATACAAGATCTCATGTTGGTCTTTACTGACATGTAGAAATATCTATGTACAGTTAAAAATACTACTAAAAGATAGGGTATTACTCTTTAGTATTTGAATGATATTTTCTAAAAAAACATAATCTGAATACAAAACTCAGGTTATCAGCTTTATGTTCTACAAAGCCACTTAGGTACATTTTGGCCTAACACACCTATAACACATTAATAACATTATTATTGTGAAAAAAATTACACACGATTAAAAACAAATACACACATTTGTTAGTGTATATGGTCTCATCTATCAATGCTGGGATTTACTAGGGTCCAAGTCCCTCCACAGTAATTCACTCCTTAAAACACAACTGCCACAAGCCAGCTATTCGCTATGGCTTTAAACTTCATCAACATAGTGCTTTGAATTCTTTCTCTGCAAGACACTATTGAACAAACAAAACATGAACTCCAGTTTAGCATGTCAAAAGCTGTGCATTAGTGGTACTTTTAAAGCAGCGAGAGCGCGTTAGACTTATGGACTTGTTATTTTAAGTCATGACTGAGCCCCTATGTATGGCACCAGAGGCTCAAACACTTTCAGACCGGGCCCTTACACACCATCAGTGAACTCCATTTGAAGTTGCACAAAGCTAAGAGAAGCTCCCTCATCAGCATGAGGCAATTACAAAGTTAAACAGCAGCCAGCTTCAGTGCAATCTCCCTTCACTTTATAATGAGAAAGAAAACCACCCTTCCCTGATTATTTGCTTCATCTTTCTTTTCACAAACTTCCAAAGACTACTCGCGTCTAACAATCATCCCTGTAAATTAAAAAAACTTCACAACCAAATAAATCTAATACTAGGATAGCACTTAGGCCATGTTAACCTGTAGTGGTTAATTTCAGCATATTTAAATGGCTTACTTCCAGTTTGTACATGTATGAGTGAATCCCCCATGACAAACAAGATCATGTTGCACATGCTCAGTGGGTCAGGATTAGTGTGGACTCATGTTGGTGGGTTTGAGGAAACACCTCCTACGCCACTCACATTTTTCTATGCCAGTACTGTGACATCTTCTTCTTGGGCTAACAGAGTAGAGGTGAGTAGCAGGGAGGGTGTCAGAGATGGTTTGAGAAAGGCCTCAGCTCACCTTATTGTATTACAGCCACATAGTTTCCTCCCGTGATTCTGCTTTTTTCATTTGTCAAACTCTTCCCAAATAAAAAGCTTTAAAACAGAGGACAAAACCAGCTGAGAGTTTAATTAGGAAGTTTTTTATTTTTTTTCCTCAGTGGAATGATTAAAGTGAAAAAGTACATGTTAATGGGGTTCTACGGTAAACAGAGACTGATGGAGCTCTAAGAGCTGAAGGGGAGCACTTTAGATGGTGCAGGCCTGCAGCTTCTTGTCAGCCAGCTTCAGGGACACCCAGGTGTTCAGCATGGAGGCCCGGAGTTTGCACCACACCAGGTGATCAGTCAGCCCAAAGATCTGTGCTGCAAACTGAGCTGCTGCCTCTGCAGAGAGGATCGTGGAGCAGCCAAGACCTGCAGGAGACGAAAAGGGGTGTTGTCAATGTAATGTGCATTGATATTTATCCCCCTATGTCTCTGTCTTATCCAATTTAACTGTGCCTAGCAAGATTATTGACAATAATACTAATACTAATAAATTACCACTTGGCATGCGGAGGGAGGACCAGACATCTTGTGCTCCCCAGTCTGGGGTGAGAGGAGGGCAGTTGATGACAGGATACGCAGTGTTTCCAGACATCACCGGGCCGAGGCCGTTACTCCTGCCAGCTACAGCCACGAACACAGTGGGCACACCATCACCTGAGGGTAAGATAATACAGTTTTCAATAGGCAATAGGCACATGTTGTATGAGGTGGAAATAACTTACATGAAAACCCACACATGTATGGGAAGATATACAGCACCACCAAGATGAACCAAAATCAGTTTTAAATGTAAAAAGGTGCAGAAATTCAGTTTGAAAGAGAGCTATACTGATGTGCGATTATTTTTTGTCAGGGGAATTTCGAAGCTCTTCAGTTCTCTGGTAATAACACAGAGGAATTAAATCTAAAATTCTCATCAGAGATTCATTAGACATAAGGCAAGATTGCTCCCTGATAGTTGATGGAGAATTGATCAACAGGTGTTTTGCAGAGAGGGAGAGAGATGGAGAACTCCTGCACTTAAAAGAAAAAAAAGGTGGAAAACACACCTTCATATTGAGCTTTGATGCGGAGAGTCTCATCCGGTCCTTTGTGAGCTGAGGTGACTCTGAGGATGCAGGGGATCCCATAGGATGTGCAGGCCTTCCTGATCTTCTCACAGTGAGCCATGTCTGAGGTGGAGCCCATCAGGACCACCACCCTGCCGCTGGCCTGGGGCTCCAGCAGCAGCTGCAGACAAAACACAGAATTTATAAACTCCAGTCAGGCCCTGAGCTCCAGGTTTATTTTCTCCAGATTTTCACAGTAAACAGTTTACAGCACGACTTCTAAATCCAGCAACCCACACACCCACCAGAGCTGCACCGCTTAATTATAGGTGATCGTTTTTCACACCTCCAAGAGTGCACAGACAATAATGTGCGGAAAAACAAACAAAAGAAAAGTCCGAATTTTAAACAAACTTTGGGTTTTATTTCCTGCCCCCCCAAAGAGTGTTGAAAAAGGCGCAAAAGATTTAGAAAATCTTAAGCAGAGACACACACAGAGAATTTCTACCCTTTCCTGAGGTGTTAAAAAATAATCACATACAGTACATCCATACAAACAATGAATAGCTCAGCCCTGCTTAATACACGTTAAAAAAGCAAGCTGACCTGATATCAGCACTTATAAATTCAAAAATAAAACATACCTTGACCCTTTCAGAGACCCACTCAAAGTTCCTCTTCACCATCTGCATCGCCTCAGGGGTGACTTCTTTCAAGTCACGGTACACCTGCAAAACAAGTGAGGTTACTTCAACTTTAAAAGTACTTTTCAAACCTTCCCCATATTAAAAGACACATAGAGAGAGGTCCTGACCTGCTTATCTTTCTGCTGGCTCCTGTCTCCAGCCGGCCACAGCCTCCAGGAATCATTATCGATCACATCAGCAAGGACGATCTCCTGGGTCTTCACATTCACGCCAAACTCAATCTACACAGGAGGACAATAACCTGCTAGTTTTGCAGAAACATAAAAGTAGCCACACTCCAGACTGACCAGCAGAGGGCAGCACTGCTGCTCGTACCTTCATATCCACAAGTGTGCAGTTCTGAGTGGCCCAGGCCTTCTCCAGGATCTCAAAGATGGCGACCGTACTGCGGTTCATGATGTCCACCTCACACTGACCGATGGTAAGTCCAGCCAGAGTGAACTTGGCCTCCAGCAGCTGCTCCTCTGACCACTGGGGGTCATTGTTGGCATCATCCTACAGCAGAAACATTGTAAAAATGAATTTAGAGTGTGTGGGCATCCTAAGTCAAGTATCAGTCCTGGCTGATGTGGGGGAAAGGGCTGCAATCGAATTTCGAACAAATTTGCAGCAACTTTTCTATTTGCAGATTGTTTTGACCATATTAATTGCACATTTAGTGTTTGGTAATATCATTTATGAACTAACAAAAATGTTTTGTTTAGATGCAGCTTGTTTGCATGATGACTTGCAAATCTGGAAGACAAAAAAAAAGCACACTGGAGGAGGTTGGGTCTCAGACTCACTTTAAAGAACATCTCCATCTTCAGTGGGGAGAAACGGTAACCCTCTTTGACTCCAGGATTCCTCTTGAGGAAGGATCCAGTAGCAACTCTGCGGCAGACCCACTCGATGGGAATCATCTCACAGTGAGCTGCGATGAACGCTGTGTCTGAATGCTGCTTCACAAACGCGGTCTTAATGCCTGGGAGAGAGAGTAGACATCAGATTAGACACCATAACCAGGACACCCACTCCTGAGAACGACACAGTCTCTGAAATGTGTCAAGTTTAAACCGTTTATTGTTCATTTCATTCAAGACTGACTCTGGATTATTGTGCTCTGTCAAACTCTTGACACGAGGGTTCTCACACATTATATTGGCTGCAACTGGCAACCAAATGAAGACACTGATAAGAGTTGCTTTTTATTGTCCGTTTATGTACTTAAAATGTTAGGAAAATACAGTGGCATTTTAATAGCAGGATTAAAATTGATTATTTAAGATCCATGTCAAAATTATTAAGAAAAATCCCATGGTAAAAAGAGACAGAATTAACCTTCAAGTAAGAAGGGACGTGGCTGATCACGCTCTAAATTAAAAACAGCAGTCACAAGACAGACATCACCCCTGCTCTGCCTTAACACACTTAGTATCCTTACACAATGAGCGGCATGTGGGGAACAGTTACCCAATTACTAGAAAATTAAAGCCGGTCGGAGGGTAATTTCAGGACATTGGTGCACAGCTGCCTGTCTGTTCAGTATACAGGACCAGTTCAAAGAGTTCATCACTTACTCCAGGGATCACGTGCACTTACAAATACTGTAGAAATATTTACAAAACACTGATCATTTAAGAGTTATTACTTTTTTTCCATACACAGTGATTGTTAACATGTTACTTAACCTTACTATTGCTTCCTTAAGAAGAAGAAATTAGTTATTTTTCTTGGATAACAAAATAAGTGGTGTTGTTCATGCTGTTCATGCTCCTTGTTCAAACCTGCTCCCACCTTCTCCTTGCCTCTTTTAAATGACTTGTTGGCTTTCCTCTTTTTCTTCTGTTTGCTTTATGTGTGAGTGTTAATATGTCAATCTGTAAAAAAACAGCTTTCTATGTCACTTAAGTACACAGAATAATGTTGGATTATGGGCAGAATATAATTTGTGAAAACACTACATCCAGCTTTGTTTTCACCAGTTCTGTCATTTTATGGACCAAACAATCAAAACATTTACCTTGAAAAAAAAAAATTGGTGTAAGCTAAAACCCTACTATTTTATTGACGTTTGAATCAATGTCACTGATAATATTTCTGGGATAAGATCAGGGGCTTAACCTCAAACACTCTGAATCGCTGAAACTGGCAGAAGTCTGTTTCCCAACAGCTTCAGGTATGTAAACAGGCCAAAGGTGGTCTTTCTCTCCGAACCGTCACCTCACTGACCCTTTAAACTCAATCAATAAGGTCACACTTCTTTGATGGCCTGTTTTTAGTAGGATAGGGAAATAAGATAAAAATTTAGCCTACTTCATTGAAACATCCCCATATAAAGTCCTAAAAATGTCATTAAAACACATAATTTAAAGCTCCCATAAGCAGTTTTTTTTTAATATTTATGAAACAGACTGAAACTCATATTGATGCCTTTTCATTAAATCTACAAGGCAAACAAGGCCTTATGTCTCAACTTTTAATGCCTTAACCAGTGTGAGGGGGTAGAGGTCAGCTAAACAGTAAAAAACCCATGTAAATAGAATTTTCATATAAAAAAGATATTCTTAATAAATTAAACATGTATTAGTTAAAAGTTAGCAGGCTGAAAGTTTTCGTCAAAAGTCGCTACTTACGCAATTAGTGGACAAGATGAGCAAAAACTGCTTTGCCCCCAAGGGGCCTTAAATTGAAAGTTCCTCACAGGAGCCCAAAGAAAAAAATAATTTTCATTTCATAATTTTACATTGATTATTTTGTACCTCTAATTATTTTGATTTACTTTTCAACTCATATTTATGATGTTCATATTCTAAATGTTGACTTTGTACACCTTACTTAAACGTTCTCTTATACTTTCCTTTCTATTCCATTATTTTGATTTTCTGTCCAGTATTTCAACTTTATATTTCCTTATTACCTTTTGTCTGATCATTTTGAAATTTCTCATATTTTTTGACTACGTTTAAATTTGAATTCTCTATTTCATTTTCTCATATCACAACTCTCTGCTTCATAATTTTGAGTTTTTTTGTATCATATTCTAACTCACTATTCCATTATGATTTTCTCTCATATTTCAAACTTCTGTTTCATAATATATTTTCTTTCTCATTCTTTAAGTTTTTACTTCATAACTTTGACTTGCTATCTCACACTGTATTGTCTAACTTCATTTTAATTTTCTGGGTGATATTTCATCTCTCTCATTTTACAACTTTGAATGCTATAGTTTTTGATGTCCATTTCAAAATCGGACTTTCTGTAAAATATATATCAACTTTGTTTCATTATTTTGACTTTTTTGGTCATGACCTCTGCTGCCTCCATTGTTGTTTCAGTTATACTGTGCAACATAAACTTGAATTGTTATAGGTTTGATATTTTATTTCAGTTTAAGGTCTGATCAGGACTTAGTGGTCTTTAATGGCAGTAATGGGTTTCCATACAGCATTGATGCCTTCAGGAACCTCAAAATAAAGGCAGTTTTTCACGAAAACAAAGTTGTGTAACAGGGGGGTGTTTTTTTTACACATTTTTTTTTACATACTGAGCGGTACAGTAAACACTTAGTAATTTTCAGCATGTGGTTAAGTGGCCTCGATGTGATTATGACTCACCTGCTCCACACCTTACTATCAGATCACTTTGTTCCTGAATGAATGACTTAAGTTGTACAAACCAGAGTCCTGCAGCAGCTTGAACACGCAGCTCGTGGTCTTGTTTGCGATGGCAGCTTTCCCCTCCATTTGGTCTTTCCTCACTGCATTCCCGGCGGTGATCTGGTCTTTGGACTGAACCAGAACCAGCCCCGGCTCGTCCACAAGCTCGAAAATCTGCTTCGTCTTTCCCTCATTCAGCTTTTGGCCGGTTTTCAACTCTATAAAAGCAACAAAACACACATTCAAACAAGAAATGCATCAAGAAAACGCTGTAAATTAAGTTTAAAATACTCGACAGAGTTAGCTTTCATTGTTTTATACCTTGTGGGGCTTCCATGGTGGAGTTATTCAGCGACTCGCAGCTCTGAAAGACAAACTTTGGAGAGTTTGAGAATGAAGAGACAGTGGGAGGCGTGCATGCAGCTCAAGAGGGAAGTGGAGTTTGCGCTACGTGCTCTGAGAACCAATCACTGCCCTTATCTCAAGGAGGCAGCCAATCACAGTGGCGCATTTTCACCACGTGAGGGGGAGATGCTCCAGCACCAAATATCTGCTAGACGAAGGAGTTTTTGTAGTTTATCCACAAAGTGAACCCGTTTTCTCCCCGTGGAGACAGTAGAAAAAAACAAAGGAAAAGATTTCTGCGGTTTTGATCGGAAGTGAATTCGATTAGTCGTCATCAACTTCCTCGAGGGGTACCACGTGCGTTTCACTAGATAACATGTTTGATTAAACACTTTTGGATTAATTTAAGTGACAGCAGAAATGGAGGCCTGGTGTTCCTCATAAAGCTGTACTCGGTGATGGTTTCTTTAACACCTATTTGTATTTTCCAGTCTACTTTGACAATGTCGACTAAGTTTATCCGGTTTTGAAGAGCCACGTTACACCGCTAACTCTACCCTGACAGCACGTGTTTGGTTGCTGCTTCTGTTACGCACGCGCTGATAACTCGCGGCAACCACGGCACGAGACGCACCGGTAGGAGCACCTGGACAGACCGCTGCGGGATGGAGTTTGAGGAGTCCGGTATTGGGGAGGAGTGCGGGGTTTTCGGGTGTGTGGCGGCCGGAGAGTGGCCCACGCAGCTGGAGGTGGCTCAGGTGTTGACTCTGGGACTGGTGGCGTTACAGCACAGGTGAGTCAAGGACAGGTGTGTGCTCCATGGGTGGCATACATCAGTGACAGGTCAAATCAAGAGCCTTTCTTTACAGCTTTGGGATGTAATGCACAAGAAGTATACTCTAAAAAAGTCTGAAGTTGCAAAAATTCCCAAAACCCAATATTTTAGTGACAAAATCATAAATTGTTTACTGTAAAAGTGGAATTTATCACATTATTGGGAAGGAAACAGGCCACCTTAAGTGTCTCATTCCGGACTCACATAAAGTCTTTGTTTTGGTGAGTATAGTGTGAAAGAATTTCTCGTGACTCGAGGCCACATTGTTTCTCATAGTTATGTCTCAATAACGTAGCAAGAAGCCAGGAAATTTTTTAACAAATGGCATGAAACCGGCAACAATTAATTGCCTTTTGGTCGACCAACAGATGAATCACTTACTAGTTCAATAATCGATTAACCAGTTCGACTTTTGTCCATGAAAATGGTGCCCACATTCTACAAATTAACTCTTTAATGCAAGAAAACCAGATATTTAAACTCCTGTATGACAATTTGTTGTCTGTCTTTGGTTGTGGACAGAAGACATTTTTATGGAAATATTCTTGGATGTTTGGGTTTATTTAGATAATTCTGGGGTTTTAGGAGAAGTTTCTTAGCTTCAAATGAAATGCTCTTGGTTTCTTCTGTGTTCTTTGGGTGAAATTTTTATGGCTCTGTTCTTATACTTCATTTCATTTGCAAATCGTCAAGGAACTCTGTAAATCACTGTTTTTGTAAGCGCTAGTGCTAGACAAAGTAATAAATTGGTTGAGAAAAATGTACTCTAACAATGGTAATTATTAGGCAACACAACAGTTACCTGAGAAAATACGATTTAAATGATTACTGTCAAGAGTATGCCATTTTGAAAATGTACAACACGTGTCAAATCTGGTTGAAGATTTGCATTTAAATATTTAAATACCCTCAACAGGTCAGATACTCGATTTTACTCAGAACAAATCAAGATGCAGATTTTTTTTCCTAGATTAAATTAATGAATCATATTGTTTCTAATGTCAATATAAAAAGATAAAAATAACCTTATAAATCTTCACAGCTCAAAGAGATAAACTATGGTCTCATAGTCTAAAGATATTTCATGGGAGATAATAGCAGTTATCACCTGTCTGTCAGGGGACTGGTCAGGAGAGGCCATTGACCGGACTGAATTGATCTTTATTATGGGGATGTGATCCTCCTCTTCTTTACATTGGACCCCCATGTTATCAGCAGATCCAGAGTGTGAGTTCAGCTTTTTCGATGCAATTTCAACTGCAGAGTCTGAAACAGAAGAAAATGCAGGGTGGTCATTATCCCCATTTTACCGACTAATGCGTATACAGTACTTCTGAGCTTCTTCATCTTTCACTGAACTCCCTCCAGACTCGTGCCTTATGTTAGCAGTCACCACTGTGTCCTTACTTCATTATCAGCCTCATCATGGGACTGGGTCACAATCTACAAACGCTTCAGTCAATGAGGACGACATGTGACACACAAAGTGATAACAGATGGAGGCACATTTCAGACCTTGATCCGTAGACTTTCTCTTTCTTCTGCTTGGTGAAACAGTCTTTTTCTCTGGCTCTTCACTGTTTTCTGAGGGACCTGTAGATAAAGGAAAGAACAGTGAGAAACCAACACACAAGGACTTTTCTCAAAGCAAAATATCAATGAAACAATGTTGAGATTATGTGACCCCCTCTGACAAGACAGATGTTCATATAGAGCTAGGATAAATCAGTGTAACATCAGAGACCCATTTGACTTTTTATTGTCTCCTTTAGTTTGACTCACTGTATCCCTACTTCATGCATCCTCATGGTGGTGCTAATGATTTAATTGCAGCATCTCTCAGTTGACTATGGTGTGACACATCAATGATTAATTGTTTTATAGTTATGTATCAGAAACCTTGTGTCACAATAAATTTGCTGTCCTTGGCCTTGTTAACTGAAAGAGAAAAGGTCTCACTTTTGGATTCCCCTTTTAATATTCTGAAAATAAAAGTGGAATTCTAAAAAGAAAAATGTCAAAATTCCATCCAAAATACATGAGAATCCAGATTTTGATCTTTTTTAAAAAAAGTTTCAAATCTGCGAAAAATTCGGAACACAGATTTTGCTCGTAAAATTATGTGAAAAAGTTGCATTTCTTAAAGAAGAGTTAGAACTCTGAGAAATAAGAAGCTTTCTTGATGTGTGGCCTTCACATTTCATGCTGTGATTGGGAGTTTTCCATCCCAGATTTATAAAGACAGTGGAGACCTTCACGTCTGTTCGTGATTTTGTGGTATGCAGCTCTCAGAGATTCTCAAACTCTCACAGAAAAATGTTTTTTTTTTTTCAAAATGCAAATTTCTACAGTTTCCACGGAAGCACAGTCTTACATTCATCAGACATAAATAGATGACTTTTGTGCTTACTCTTGAGTTCATGCCGAAGATCTGTGCGCTCCCCCAGGACCGGCTGGATTCTTTTTTGTTTGTTATTTGCAGGAACATTGGGGCCCTCAGAGGACACAGAATCCGAACTACAGGTCTTTTCCTCCATCTCTGATGCTGTAGTACTGTCTGAGTTTATCTTGGTCGGATTGACATCTATGTTCTCGTTGTCCTCACAGTTCTCAGACATGGAGTGTCTTTCTGAGTCTTTGTTATTTGCAGCAGGTGCATTCCTTGAGGAACCGTTTCTTGTGCGGTTCATTATCGCATCCACCTCGTTGTAGAACCTCATGATCTTCCTGGGGTCAGTTTCTTCGGTCATCCCTCTCTGGAGCGAGCGGTAGAGGTACTTGAGGTTTTTGTACTTTGTGTGACACTGCTTCCAGTCACGATCGATGCCCTGCTGCATCAGTCTGTTGGAGATCTGGACGAAGATGTCTCTCTTTCTGGTTGAGCTCTCCAGCTGCCGGCACACACGCTCGTCGGACCAGACTTGAACCAGAGCTCGGACCTCCTGTTCACTCCAGTTTCGGCCCGCATCTGGCACGGTGACCACGTGGAAGTGATCGGGGTGATCTAAAGGGTGAAAGATGAACCAGGATATAAAAGTTATACAGATCAGATAAGAGGATACAAGTAGAACAGTGAGGCTGAACAATCGATTAGAAAGTCGTTTTCACAAAAACAAACATTTATATTGAAACAAAGTCTGAGTTTATTGCAACAAATATGTAAAACTTTTATATAAAATGCAACATGTCTCATTCAGTGTGTGAACATTTTACCTGTTTGATGTAAGGCTGGGTTTAAACTTGTGACTTTACACCATTTTGATTCAGTCAAATACAGCCGAACTTAAGGTCAATAATACTCTGTTTAGTATAGAAGTTATATAAACAGATTTTGGATATTTGGATTTATGAGTGACAAACAAAAGTTTTGTGTCAGCTAGAAAATTTGACTTTGAACCAGCATGATTACAGAATTGCATTCCCTGTTATAATGAAGAACAATCCAATAGTTCATACTATTTTCTCATGTAAGGGCCTGTGTCCACTAAAAGCATTTTTTGCATTGGCAGCGTCACTCAACACCCTGAACACAATGTTAGCTGTGTTTTCTTTAGTTTGTTATTTGGTTGTTTTGTTACACACACTAAAAATATTTCAACTTTCAGAGCATTGCCATGCTCACCAGTGTCCCTTCTCTGTCTTTACCAATCATAATCAAGAAGGGGCGGGACCCTCAATATCAGCTTTGCCAAGAACAATTGCAAAGCAGAATCTGATCCCAGGTAACCAATCCAATTTGCCAGATCACTGAGGGGTTCAATTGAAAATTTTGCAATCATAACAGCTGTCTATAAGCCTTTTCAAACATCTTCTGTTTGATCCAGACTACTGCACTAGAGAGAAAATCATACTGTTTATAATACAGCGTTTATAGGTGCAGCTCAGTACCTGATCACCTTTCAACTAACCAAAGTAACATTTTCCAGTCCAGAGTTGCTGCTGACAGATTTTCCCTTTAAAGTTGCCTTACAGACCTACTGCTACAACCAGAAGTGAAAGCACTACACTCTTTGTAATCGAGTTTTATATAGGTGTGTTAGTTCACTGAAAATTAAAAAATGTAACTTTAACAGCACAAAAAAAAAAAAAAAATCTATTATTGGACTCAGGCCCTGATTAGGCTGCAAGAGGCGAAACAGCAACTTTTCAGACTTTTCTCCCTCATCAAGATCACGCATTTAAATTTAATGATGATATACCTATAAGGTAAATTAACCTTGCTGAGAGCTAGTGTGAGAGCAAAGACTCCTCACTCCTCAAGATAAGTAAACAGTAGAGACAGATGTCACAAGCTCGGCAAACAGGCTGTGCTCAGTTAGCATGCAGGTAGCCAGCTAGCTGAGGGGTTTGGTAAAAGAGACGGTCGTTATCTGCATAATAACTCCACCTTGCAGAACACAATGGTACACAATGGTCGTCTTCACACAAAACGCAGTTCACACTTCTTCTTATTGGGACCTTAGATCTTGACCAAGGCTTGTGGCTTTAATCAAATAGAAATTATTGTAAAATTTTGGAATATAGATTTTTGTTGGAAGTCTGTTCTGTGGGTCTTTTTTCTTCCTCCACACATTTCACTGAATAGTTTGGATTGCGCCCAAGACAAGAGATTTATGTGGCCCTCAAACCATAAAACCGTTTCGCATAAAAACTATGATAGTAAAGGATGTTTTCATGTTACATTTAGGCATTTATAACAGATTGTTGTCAGCTGAGATGCACTGATCCATGCATCATTACACTTGTAGTTAATGGTGTTGCATACCCGTTCTTTTCCACTTTGCTTCTCCATCTCCGTTTATGTCACAATCATTACTGTCTAAACAAAAAGAAGCAGAATAAAACTTAATTTTTCTGTCAGTCTAGAAAGAAAAACTACTGAAAGTCCTGCAGACTGAAAACTTACCATCATCGATTTCAATGACAACCTCACTCTCTGATCCTGGAGTCGGCAGTCTCTGTGGCACCAATTCTCCATCATACAGCCTCTTCTGCATCTCCACCATCCCGTCCTCCAGCCCGCGGTCCAGCAGGATGGCGTCCACCTCATCAAAGAACTTCATGTACTTCCCAGGCCCTCCTGAGCCGTTTTCTGCAGCAGCATGAGCGCTTTTTGCCGTCTTGTAGTCATACTTTAGGTTCTTGTATTTAGTCCGACATTGTTTCCAGTTTCGCACCACACCAAAGTTCCTCTGCATCTGATAGGACATTTCCTGGAAGATGCATTTGTTGCGTAACGTGCTCTTCAGGCGTTCTCTGACCCGGCGGTCGGCCCAGACACACAGCAAGGCTCGAACCTCGTCATCAGTCCAGTGGCGGCCTCCCTCCTCTGTCACACTGGGATTGTAAGGGGAAGGTCTGTGGATTTGAGTCCGGTGGCCTTCAAAAACAAAGCAGCTTGTTGGAAGTATTGATATGAATTCATCATTTATTGGAAATGTATTTTAAGTAAAAATTTTCTACTGCAAACTTCCGTGTCAAAAATGCCTGTTAATTTTCTCCTCCTCAATGTTTTTGCTAAAATGCTTTAGGCAAAACTCAAAATATCAAACATTTCTTTTAGAGGAAAGCAGCAACATTTGCATCAATTACAGTGTGACTATTTGAACCATTTGAGTCATCATCAAACATCTGAGGACGAGCAGAAATATTCACTGATGTCAGTTTATCTGGCTTATATTGTTTGAGTTGAGATAAAGAGTCATATCTAAATGGTACAAACTCCACTAAAAGCTTCTTTAACATGAACACAAAAAGACATCCTCATCGTAAAGTAACCTAAGTTTCTGATCTGCTGTGAGAAGCATTTCATCATGCAGCTCCCTCACTAAACATCCTATATCTTCTTAAATTAAAAAATTGTTCATATTTTAAGTTTTTGAATATACAGAAACCTTTGAAGTTTAAAAAATTGCCACTCATTTTTAGTGAGATTGGTCTCATGCAAAAGTGGCGGAACTGCAAGTTAAGGGCAAAGTACCTGCACAAGTGCTTTTCTCTCAACCTTCATTAGACTGAAACTCCTAAAACTGAGTGCATAATATAAATTAGTAATAAATCTTTGGATATAAATGCTGAAAAAATTGATAAATGAGACAAAACATACTTATTGGGTCTCAGCGCCCACCCCCTGATTAGCTGATCTGAGTCTGGGTTGCACTTCTCATTTACCTGCCTCCGTGGGGTTAGAGACTGAGGAAGGGTAGCTCCCTCTCTGAGTCCCCTCATCCTCGTCTTCCTCCCAGCCCTCCTCCAGCCTGTCCTCCTCTTCTTCTCCTCCTCCTGGGCTGTATTTTGTTGCTGCTGCGTCACACTTCCTGCTCTGGAGCCCCAGGCTCCTGCACTGGGCCTGACACTCCCACCATTTGCGCACAATGCTGAGCCTCCTCAGACGCTCTGAGATCAGCTCGTACGTGCTCCTGCTTTCGGATACGTGCTGAGCACCCACCTCGTCCCACACTGATATGAGAGCCAGCACCTCTGCCTCCTCCCACTGCTTTTCCACCAAGCCTTTGTCGTCCACCACCACCTCTCTGTCTGCTCTTTGTCTCTCTGCTGCTCTCTCCATGACTGAGCTGACCTGGAAACGCTTTCTTTTCCCCAATCCGCCTGTCTCTGCTGCACGGTTCCCTAGGCAACCAGGCGGCTAAGCCTGAAAGCAACGCCTCCATGCAGGAAAGCAGCCTCACCACTGGCTTAAGCTGTGTGCTGAGGGGGCGGGCCAGCAGTAATCTGAGAAGCAGCTTGGTGAAAAGGCTGAAGCTGCAGCAAGACGACTCCCTGTAACAGCTCTACGGCAGACATGTTGCTGTTTTTTTAAATCCTGATCCTGCCTCACATCAGCAGAATTAAACCAGTTTGCTTTGCCCCCAGGCTCATGTGGAGCTTCCACAGCTGAACAAGTTTAATCATGTTTACACCACCAGGGAACAGACTGAGATATCACTCCTTATGAAACCCCACTGATGTACTCTCCTTTGTGTGTGTTTGTGTCTGCATATAGGGGTCAGGAGAGCGCCGGCATTGTCCTGAGTAATGGAGCCAGCCCCCCCACATACACAGCCCACAAGGTAACACTCAGCATGATGTTCAATAGAGCTGCTTTTCTTGCAGGTATATCAGAAAAAACAAGAAAAAGTGCCCAAACACAGTGTGGAAAGGATGAAATCAGGTTACTTTTATTTGCACACATGGATGAATTTGTTTTAGGGTGAGTCAGAAAAGTTTTCACACACACCAGATAAACATGACAAAGTCACAATAATGCCTGAAATGGTCATTAAAAATTAAAATAACTAAAATTTTAAATATACCAAAAATCAGTAAAACAAATGAGAGCAAAAATATGCAATGATGAATAGTTTAAGTTGTTTTTATGAATAAGAATAAATGTGAGAAAGCTAATGAATAATCTATTTTTCCAGAACAAAAATAAAGAAATTCCACAGGCAAAATAAGCTTAGTTACAAAACACATGTTTAGATACCTCGTGTTTGTTATGTTTAATAATCTGGAGTGATACAGGAGTAGGAATGAACTTCTTTGAAATTGAAACTGCAGCATGGTCTGCACACTCAAAGGAATAACCAAATTCCGCTGTTGGATGACATCCAACTGATGAAGCCGATCCAAGTGAGCACAAAACTGCAGATCCTCCAGTGTCCACTCGAGGCTGAAGAAAGCCAAAGGAAACCAAGATGGAAGAACTGAAATCTTTTGATTTTTCAACGTATTTGCTTTGGAGATCCAGTCCACACAAGGTCCAGTCCACACATACACATATATATTTTTTAAACCTCAACTCTTTATGTCCATTTGACCTCCAATCCACACATAAACCAGGATTATGTCACTGAAAACAGAAATATTTTAAAAGTGCCTGTACACAGGGGAAACGCTGACGGATTTGTGCTTGGCAATCATTGTTCACACGCACCAAGACGGCAGGCTACATGTCTGTGGACTTATAAGATGTAATAAATGTTCACATAGGAAACCCTCCTGTTCATACATGCGTGCTGTTAAATAGTTTTTTTTTAATGTCCTACTTGGTACAGAGTACAAAAGCACTGTTTATGATTGCTGCTTGTCAGAAAGGATGCTAATCACATGCACACAATGCCACCAACTGGTCAGGCACAATTATGCAAGGATTTTTAACTGTCTCTGCACTGAGGTGTGGAAAGAAAAAGATTCAAAAACAACTCTACTGGTGTGGGCGAGATTTTTGTTTTTTGGAAAATGAAGAGGAAAAAGATTCTGTTTTTGAAAATATGCCTGTGGACTTATTACCTGTCCTTAGTTTACAAGTTTTACATTAAGAGAGGCACAGCTGACTGGACTGACAGGCAGGCATGCTATTCCTGTTAGGAGGCAAAAAGCTACTTTAACTCTGCCTCTTAGCATGTTGTTTGGTTGCCCCAAAGTGAGGTTCAGAGAGCCTTTTCTACATGGTGTCTGATGCTTATTGGCTCCAAAACTTCAGAAAAGAATAGATGACACCACAGAGACTACTAAGCAAAGTAGAAGTACTTTGATTCTTTGCATGTGCAAAATGTTAAACTGTGTGTGAGTGCATGGATTAGAGTGAGCTTGATGTCCTTCTACTTAAAACACACTCCTACACAGATCTGCCTCTGCACCTGCACATCACAGCCTACAGATCAGCTCCGCACAAAACGCCTGTGCAGTCATCGGCAGCTTTATTTGTAGCAAAGAAAATCTTTGATATTTTTACAGTATATAAAATAACCTTTACGAATTTGTATAGAAAGAAGTCAAGTATCAGAGAAATCAACACTTTTTTTTCCTGCAACAACAAATCCAACCATACAACTGTGACAATCCTACTCTAACTAAACAAGAATGAAGAGAAAATAAAGATAAGATGATTAAAATGATCCCTGCTAGTTTATTATTTTGTTTAAAAATCTCGTGATCATTTCCTCTCAGGGGGAATTTTTGTCTTATTTTAGTTATTGGAGCTAGAGAGGTGCAAAACCTCAACAAATGTAAATTCACCATTCACTGCAGCATCAAAGTGGTAATAGTCCCAAATTTTTAACAGAAACCCTTTTTTTTTTTCACACCATGAATGTCTTGCAGTTTTTACCCGAAATATAGAACAAGTTTAACCTCCACACTGAAGTCTGTAAACTTTGGGCCAGAAAAGGTTGTAAATTTGGATGTAAAGAGTAGGAACATGAATATTTTCTTTGTGATTTTAATGCACAGCTTTGTTGTATGTTTAGGGGATGGGATTAGTGAGCACGGCATTCCCTCCTGAGGCACTCATGAAGCTTCGGTACGGTAACCTCGGGATTTGTCACACCCGTTACTCAACCACGGGGATCTCAGAGCTGCAGAACTGTCAGCCCTTTGTGGTCGACACTCTGCACGGACAGATCGCCGTGGCTCACAACGGAGAGCTGGTCAACGCCCACGCCCTGAGGAAGAAGGTTAGAAAGACTGAACCAGAGGCCATATTCACAAAGTTTATAGTCTTAAGAGTTGCTCCTAGTGTAAGAAAAATTCTAACAGTCATGAATATTTTCTATAAGTGCAGACTACGTCTCAAAAAATAATTCATAAACATTTTGCTCTTAAGAGAGCTTATGAGGTATGAGGATGAAACAGCAAAAAGACGGTGAGGAAGTTGAGAATTCACTCAAACAATGAACGATGGTGGGCTAATTCAATGCGATAGGTTAGCTGTTGCTGTGATGATTACGCTCCCATGGCAACAGTTTCCCCCGTGATCTTGGTCTCCTAGCAGGTGATGCTCCTGTAAGAGGCCTGTTAATGAAGATGTAGTGAAACTCAGAGCACAGGATTACATCAATATCAACAAGCTGCACTAGAATACATTAGAGTTTCCTGATTACCAGAGAGAGAAAAACGGACATAGAAGGTTGTAGAGTGAGAGCTGATCACTCATCCTTCTTTGCTGATCATATATGTTAATAATGTGTAAAGGGTCACCCTGAACAGTTTCTATGATCAGGCTGATTAACGTTACCACCTCCTGTGTCCGTTATCGCAGAGAGAGCATTTGTTTTTCTCTTTTTGTGCATCAACCAATCACAGCTTTAAAAGAGTTGGAGAATAAATCTACTTCAAAATGCTGCCGTACAGCTAATGTGTGAAAGTCATCTTGAGCACTTAAATTATATGTCACTTTTTTGCCGATGGTTATATCAGCAGAAATGTTCATACCTGCCAATACAGACAGTTAACTTTTTTAAAGAATTATCTACCAATACCGACATTTTGCTGGTATTATCTTTTACCCCTAAGAAGAATATGTGATACATGTTTCCACATTTTCAATATCCACTTATTTGCTCAGTTGATTTTGTTGCATTTTCCATTTTTATGCTTTGAATCTGTGCCAAAATAATCTTCTCTGAAAAAACACCTGTGCAGGTGATGCGTCATGGAGTTGGCCTCTCCACCAGCTCAGACAGTGAACTCATCACTCAGCTGCTGGCTTTCACTCCACCGATGGAGGAGCTGGATGCACCAGACTGGGTGGCCAGGTCTGTGTTTTCAGTGAATTCTGTAAACATTCACAGTTTTTTTCCATCCTTTTAATCCCCCTTTTCATTGTTGTTGTTGTTTTGGTTTTGTAGAATAAAGAATCTGATGACCGAGACCCCCACATCCTACTCTCTGCTGGTGATGTATAAAGATGTCATCTACGCAGTGAGGGACCCATATGGGAATCGTCCTCTCTGTATCGGGCAGCTGGTTCCCATCTCCAAACTGCACAGCTCAGGTGTGTCCGTCCTGAAAGGCTCTGAAAGTCTGCTGCTAATCCGTCTGCTGCTTCAGTCTGCAGAGTTTGATTGGTAGATGGATTGATGAGCTTTCTGTCGTTTTTTTTTTTTTAGGTTCTGGAGAGGAAGACACAGAGGGTTGGGTGGTTTCCTCAGAGTCCTGCAGTTTCCAGTCCATTGGTGCAAAGTTAGTTTGACCTCCTGTAAAAGTACCTGCGCTGCAAAGATTGAAATAACCCCACCCTCCATCCTTTAATGATCCTCCTCCTCCTCCTTCCTCCCTCAGATACTACAGAGAGGTCCTACCTGGAGAGATAGTCCAGATATCTAAACACGGCGTGAAGACTCTGAGTGTAGTCCCCCGTCCTGAGGGAGACCTTCCTGCATTCTGCATCTTTGAATATGTTTACTTTGCCAGACCAGACTCCATATTTGAAGGTTTGAAAATTATTATGAAGTACCCTTTCTGCCTTTCTGTACATGAATATTTCAACACCCTTCCACCTGTAGATCTTGTTTTTCTCACAAACAAGATAAAAGCTTGTACAGCAACATGTTGTCATCTTGACTCGTGTCATAGATCTGTCATATTGCTGTTGCCAAATATTAATACTTTAATTAAGAAATAATTCATTTTCCTTTCCAGCTTGACTCACCACATTACTACTTCATAACCTTGTATTGTTGCTTATGACATTAATTCTTCTGAACTGTGAGGGACATTTTAAATTCTCAAGTTAATAAGATATCTTTATGTTTTTGCTTGATTGTCTTGCAAAATATCAGTTATTGCAGGATTCCTGAATTGTCATATTATCCTTATGATACTGTACCAGAAATCATTTCATAACATGACTTACTCTATGATTTCTACCCCAAATCTTTACAGAGACAGACCTCTTTGCAAGGAAAATGATTTTTCTTTATAAGAGGTTACATCTGTAACATCACTTTTTTTTAAGGCTGCCGGATTTTATTGACAAAAACAGGAATATAAGCTCACAGAAGACAGGACTTACTAACCCACTGTTAACTTTGGGGATATAGGGTCACAGTGTGGATGCTAAAAAATTTTGAGATCATGAGAACAAAATCAAAGTTTTACAAAAACAGTCACAATGAAAAAAAATCATCACTCTTAAAGAAAAAATCTTAAATTTATTACATGAAAATTAAAAATTATTAAATAAAGAGTTGAAATGTTAAACCTTGAAGTTGTAAAGTTACCAAAGTAGTCAGCAGATTACAAAAGTCACAAATTTACCAAATATGTTTTAAACAAATTAAAAGGAGTCAAGTGGAAATATTTCAAAATAAACCTGTAAGTTCTTACATTTAAGGTCATAAATCTACAGGGATTCATTTGTAACTTAACAGGATTAAATTCTCAAATGGTTAAAGTTGTAATCTTGTTGGAATTAAGTTTTAATTTTAAGAGAATTAAGTCACACATACAGGCTGTGATTATTCCTTTCCACATTAGTTAGCTCTTTGGTTACTTCATAGTGTGCTGCTGGTATGCTACCAAACTGAGTATTGTAGTCATTGATGTCCCCTACACCACGCTAACTGCAGACAAAAATTACAACTCTGTCCTCATTTTGAAATCTCATTTTTGTTTCTTCAATAATTTGGTCCCAACACAGCTTTAAGCATTATCCCAAACAGGTCGCTGTAGTTTTTGTGAATTCATCCCGGACCATGATTTTTCCAAAAATGTGAAAAAAAACATCTCTCATAGAAGTAAAAGCTCTTCTTATGCTCAGTATACCGTGCTCTACCCTCCTGCAGGACAGATGGTGTACACTGTCAGACAGCGCTGTGGTCGGCAGTTAGCCATCGAGGCTCCCACAGACGCAGACGTGGTCAGCACAGTGCCAGAGTCAGCGACTCCTGCTGCTCTTGGTTACGCTCAGCAGGTCAGTCTGTCTGATTCATGAAAAACACTGATATACTGTCCTCCTGACGGAGCTCAGTCCTCTCACACTGTCCTCGTCCCCACAGTCTGGTCTGCCGTATATTGAGGTTCTGTGTAAGAACCGCTACGTCGGGAGAACATTCATCCAGCCAAACACCCGCCTGAGGCAGCTGGGAGTCGCCAAGAAGTTTGGAGCTCTGACGGACAACTTTGCAGGAAAACGAGTGGTGCTGATAGACGACTCCATCGTCAGGGGAAACACCATCGCCCCCATCATCAAACTACTGAAGGAGGCGGGGGCAACAGAGGTCAGAAGAATGAGGAAATCAGGAAATGATACACACTTAAATTATATGTCAAAGTATGAGGGCTGCATTAAAGATAGAAAAAGATGATAAGTTATAGCTAGTTATATTATGACTTCATTCTTATATCATGACTTTTTCTAGTTATGAGACTTCATTTAAATATTGTGAATTTTCTGATAATACTGAGACTATTTTTGTAATAATGACTCTTTGACCTTCATTATGGTAACGTTGGGCTGTAACTTTTACAAACATGAATGAATCAAACTCCTAATATATTTTTTTCACAGTATGACTTTATCTGTATTTCATGGCATTATGACCTTTTCTCATAATTTTACCATTTTACTTTATTTATATAACTTTGACTTTAATTTCTCCTGACCTATTGCAACAGTTCTACTTTATTCTTTAAATCCAAAGTTGTTTTCCTTAATGTGGCCCCAATATTTGTGAAGTTTATTTATTTTTTCTTCATTAATTTTGATTTTGCTTGAAAGGAAGCTCCAGAAAACTAAGTAATAAGACCGAAATATCTGTATTTCCTTCCTGCCAGGTCCACATCAGGGTCGCCTCTCCACCAATCAGGTTCCCTTGTTACATGGGCATTAACATCCCAACCAAGGAGGAGCTCATCGCCAACAAGCCGGAGTTTCAGGACATTGCGGGACACATTGGTAAGTCCATATCACAGACAGAGGCTGTATTAACAAGGATGATATTTTGAGAACAGGATAGAAACTTCCAAACCAGGCCCTTTTTTAAACAAACTTTTGGGTCCAAATGGCTGAGTATGAAAAGTTTTGAAGCTGCGTCGACAGACTTCTTCAGCCCACAGCTACAAATGCACTACATAATGCTTTGGGTGCAAGTTTGGTCATTTGAAACAAAAGGTGTACTTCAAATGTGCTCAAGCACTCTCAGCTACCCCCTCATGTCCCTGCTCTCTGGTGTGAAACCACTGCAGAGGTCAGTCAGTCATTTTGATCTTGTGTGAACAAGATAACCTGAACTCGGTCCCTCTCAACAGAGTAGTCTGTCTGTCTGTAGGGATCATCTAACCTGAGCCTGACAGTGACAAAAATGAAGATCTCTCTGTGGATGCATTTGAAAGTATCATCAGGGGCATTTGCCGGAATTGTTTTGCAGACATTAAATGCACCACAAAATATGAAAACAAGGCCCCGGGTTTTAGGGTACCTGAATTCTCCTGCAGATATTTCTGAGTCTTTATCGGTCAAACTGTCTTCCAGGTGCAGCCAGTGTTCAGTATCTGACCGTGGAGGGTCTGGTGACGGCGGTGCAGCAGGGGATCAGCTCATTGCAGGAGAAAGACAAGATGATCAGCTCCAGTAACAAGACCAGCAGGAGGGTGGGCCACTGCACCGCCTGCCTGACTGGAAAATACCCGGTGGAGCTGGAGTGGTAACAAGTGTAGTAAAAAAAGACCAGCTGTAGGTGCTGGGAGAGAGAACTATAGTTACTGCAGCTGCACAGTGGAGTCACCTCCACCACCACAGCTGAAACACGTGAATAAATGTTTCTGTAGAGCGAAAGAGGAGAGGTCAGGCTTGTTCAAAATCTACCACTGATGTCTTATTCTTGTAGAGGGGCTAACATCCTGCAGCTCCTGCTTTTCTGACCTCCAGGCTGTAGAAACCTGCTGATTACTACAACCTAATCACTGCTGAATATTTCCACCACATAATGCTGATTTTGTAGGTCTTTGTTGTAAATGTAATTTCCAGAAAATGTCATTGAACTAGTTTGTAATTGAGCATTAGTTCACCTGTCAGCAAAACGCACAAGGCTAGAGACCAAAAAGTTAGTGTCTTCGTTTTCTTCATCCTTTGTAACTTTTTTACTTTTACAGAAAAATTAACAATGGTCCTGTTTCCTTTTTGAGCTGACTGTTTCATATTTTGCTTTTTGTCTTTCGTCATTTCGTGAATATTTGCAAAAGATAAATAAACAGAACTGTAATAGAAATAACTACTCCATATTGCTTTTTGAACGCTGCGATTTATTTTAATAAAACGTAAAACGGGAACATGAAACTGGGTTAAATTTCAACAGCACATCATAACACATGCAGTAAAGTATTAAATTAACATGGAACACTTTGAATCAAGCAGATTATTTATCCATTAAACAGGATGAGAACTGGGAACTTCCTGAGCTGGGTCTGCAGCTGCCGAGAACAATAAACTGTACCAGGGATGCTTGGGTTAGACCTTCACCGCCTTTTTCTGTACATGTGAGAAGAAGAAACAAAGAGTTCAGAGAGAAAATGAGCTTAAATGACCAAAGATGCCCAAGTCAAGCCCTTGGTCTCAAGTCTGGGCCAAGCTGACCTGTGTCAACCTGTATGTCTATCCACATGACATCTAGTTTGCAAAAGAGCCTAAGGGGGTCGCTGTGACAAGAGTTTTGCTTTCAAATGAATTTGAAGTAAATGCAGCAGGAGCAGAGCGACATGTTTAATATGGAGAAGACCAGGGAATGCTTTTTTAATCTTAAATGATCATCAACAAAAACAAAAAAAAAGGTGGGTCACGGACGGTCTTAACAGTCTAGGTGCGCCCTACACTTGCAGGCGACCTGGGTTTACTTTCACCCCGTGGTCACTTTCCTGCATACTATCCTTACTCCCCTGTTTTCTGCTCTATCCGCAGTCCTCTGTCAGTAAAACCCAAAATTTAACCTTAAAGTAAATAAAAAGATAAAGTTGTGTATGAATCTGTTACTTCACGCTCATCCAAATTTCATACACTGTTATCTTAATCAGCGGCATCCTGCGGTTAAAGCTGTCAGAGGTTTCTTAACAGTTGCTTCAATCTCACACAGTCATAGCTGGGCAGAGGGAGAGCACATTGCAAAAGAGGAAATCCTGTAACCTGATGTTATCATTTACTTTTTTAACATAGTATAGAGTCAATCCAATTTCTTCTCCCTTTCATTTTTTATTCATCTTAAGTTCACCTTTTGCTCGAAAAAAAGAAAAAAAAAAGGCGGTGGGTGCGATTTATTTTTTTCTCCAGCTGAAGAAAGGTTTGGTTTACTGAACTCAACTGAACCAAACCAGACAGAAACACAGCATCAGACCTACATTCAACTGTAGAACTCCAGACCTGACTTGGGCTTTTGGGTTTGGTGACTTGACCACAACACTGTTTGGCTCTGTACAAAGAATTCTGTATCAGTGAAAATATGAATCTTGGATACTTACTGCGGAGAGCCAGTGGCAGCATTCCTCACACGTGACCTTCCTGTTGAATTGAAGAAGAATGAAGTGAAACTGGGAAGAAAAAAAGTTCAATTCTTCAACTCCTTAAAGCTCCAGTGTGGAGTGAAACAAATAATTTTTCATTTCAAAAGCAAAAAAGACTTTTAGCAAGCAGAGAAATAAACGGATTTGACTTTTGAAGACAGCCAAAGAAGATTTGAGTCAGAAGAGCTATGTTAACATACAAGATCCGCACAAAAATTCAAGGCACATCTTTGTCTTCAGGGTGTGCCGAATCACCACTAACAAAAACTTCCTCACAGATGTTCACAGAGGACGCTTACCGTGCCCTGGGAACTCTGCTGCAGACTGACTGCGGTTCCGGCTCAGCCAGGTCTGACAGTGCTCTGCTGGTTGCTGCTGAGGGTTGAGGCTCTGAAACAGGTTGAGATTTTTAGGGCTGAGTTTACTGGGGCTGATTTTACTCGGGCTGAGTTTACTGGGGCTGAGTTTGCTGGGGCTGAGTTTGCTGGGGTCGTCACACAGCTGCTTGGGTTCAGATGGACAGAGGCGGCGCCTGAGCATCACGGTCCTGTAGTGGCTGGACCAAGGTGAGGACATGCAGTACTCTTCCCTGAAACGTTTGGACCGAGGGACACTCTCCAAGCTCAACTCCCGGTGGCGTTTCCTCAAGACAGAGCGATGCGGTGACAAAGCAAGGGCATCCAGAGCTAAGGAGGAGTGATCTCTCCTGGCCTCACAGTTGCGAGCACAGAAGCGACACGGAAGGCCTTTGAACAAGGGGGATTTGTTCTGACAGACATACTTGTGGTAGATTCTGGTAAATTCCTCGTCCACCTTCTGTGGTGAGTAAGAGCTGTGACTCTGTGACACCAGGGGGGAGTCAAAGGAAAGGTGGCGGCGCAGCCTGTGGCAAGACTCTGCTGCTGAGGCTGAACAAGGAGGAGGCGGTCTGGAGGCTTGGGGGGAGAGATTCCTATGTAGCAGGAGGGATCTCAATTGAGGGAAGCACGGGGACTCTGGTCTGGGCCTTGCCATCTCTCTGGAGACTTCCACAGGATTTACCTTTGGGCTTCTGGAGAAGGAGAGAGGGGATCTACTGAGGCTGCTCATTATCCTGGACTTATATGGACTCTGCCTGACAGGGGAACCATAGCTGTCCCGTCCCTCCTTGGCAGCCATGCTTTGTGATGTACATGTGTCAGTCTGCTGTGAATGGGAGGCATTAAAAAGCCTTTTAGACCTTAGAGACAGCTCCAAGGTGGCTTTAGGAGAAGAATATGGAGACTGAGAAGACCTGACAGTGTACGCAGGTGGCTGCTGATCTCTCTGAGATTCATCTGAGGATGTAATGACTATCGGGCTTGGTGGGCTCTCCTCCATTGAGGTGTCAGAGGAACCAGAGAAGTCCATGACAAGGATGGGCTTGTGTTGCTGCCTCCTCTGTAAATTTCTCCCCCTCCCAGGTGAATGCTGTCTTTCCTGCTGGTTTGTTATCTGCAAATGAGAGCAATGGGAGCCTTCAGTCCCAATAAAGGACCTCTTCACTGCGCTCCCAGAGTTCTCCTTGTTGCTCCTGTTCTTTGGGATCTGTTTGTGATAAGACACGAGGAGGCCGCTGACATTTAAGCTGTTGTTTGACTGTCTCCACCGGCGGTACCTCCTCAGCACAGAGCTGGCAACCTCAGAGACGTGCTGCCGTTGCACAGCGCTCTTGAGCCGGCAGATCATGGTGGGATAGAGCTCCCCTAAGCAGCTGTTTCTACTCAGAATCATCTTCAGCCCTTCATCCTGGTCCTCCGGCTGCTGCTCTATGTCAGAGAAGGTCCTCTGACTTTCATCCAGAGAGCTCACAGTCAGCTGAGTTAAGGCACTTCTAGATGTTCCTGCTGCAGAGACCTCACCTGGGAAAAAAAAATCAAATAGATCAGTTTTCCATCAGTTCCTTTAATGGCCTCTCCCACATTTAAAAAGTTTATTTTTCCCACTATTATTATTATTATTATTATTCTGCACAGAGATGTGTGCACTGGACACAGAGGAGACACTAGAAATACCGATAAAACTGGCAACACTGGAGCTGCAGGATCCATCAGCTTCATCACTTTGAGACGTGCAGTCCAGCTGTTGGAAATAAAGCTGCATAAATTTAAGATATTCTTGATTTTCAGGACAGAAGTGTTAAAACAAAAACAGAACTTTAACCTGAGAGTCTGTGGATGCGTCTTGTGCTGTGGCGGAAGAATCTTCTCTTAACTCTGCCAATCTCTGAGGGGAGACAAGAGTAGGATTATATTTTTATAGTGGTACACATGTCAAAAATGTGAGTATTTACTTGAATTTTGTGTCATGTTTCTGCAGATTATGATTAAAGTGACCCAAACCTGTGACTCAAACTTGTCCATTTCTTTTTTGGAGGCTTCCATGCAGTATTCAAGTGCTTTATTAGGCAGAAGAAAATCAAGAAATCAATTTAACTTAACTTTTATTTTTGTAGCACTTTTGACATAAAACTATGCAAGAAAAAGTGAAGAGAAAATTGATAAAACAGAGACCAGAAAAACACTTACATGACTCATGAGTTAGTAAGAATGGTCAGCCTCACCAACATTAATAACATAAAACTAGAGTTAACAGCCATTAGTCCTGCTGACTGTAATCACATTAAATTAATTAAACATGGTCCATAATTACTTATATCCTAATCCTGTAAACTGAATTTATATTGTTTCATCATTACTTGCTCTGCAACCACAACTCTGCATGAGCTGTTGTTGTTGTTTTAATGTTGCTGCTGTCCTCTGTCTCTCTCTCTCACCCCCTATCTCTCTGTATTCCTTCCCAACCCAGCAGCAGCTTGGTGGCTGTCTACCATGAGTCTGGTCCCCCAAGGTTTCTGCCTGTTAAAAGGAAGTTTTTCCTTTGCCACTGTCACTCATGTAAGATGAGATGGGCCAAATCCCATCTTGGGTCTTGATAATTCATCAAACAATGAGCGTGGTCTAGACCTGCTCTTTCTTTTAGGAAAGCATTTTGTGATGATGACTGTTGTGAATTGGCGCTATATAAATGAAATTTGATTGATTGAAACACTGAAAGCAAGATATGAATATTCAAAATAAAGACATACACAGTGAGAACATATATATATTTTTAAAAAACGGGAAAGGGGGGGGGAATATATAATATTATAAATCACCGAAGATAACAAAATATGATATGAACATGATCTAGAAACAACAGAGACTGTAACATTCTCTTTGGAAATCATAGATGCTGAGAAGGCTACCAGGCTTGTTATCATTATATCAGTATCATGGCATAGGCGTGTACAAAGGTTCCATTAAAGCTGAACACAATCTACAGCGTTTTTTACATTACCTTCATATTTCATGAAGACAAACCACATTCTGCTGCTAAAGTAACCCGCCTTAAGTCCTATTCTGTCATCCATTGAAACCGACTCGACAGTCATGAAACAAAAAGTGCATCAAAGTAGACCCTAAACCACAGGTGTCAAACCCAAGACTGGGGGCCAAATCTGGCCCACAAGATCAGATCATATTTGTACTATTATCGGCCCACCAGTATGAAGTCTGTAGATTTCCTCCAGTATAATAATGTAAACTTTAGCACCATTATTTGAAATATCCTTAATAAGCCATGAAAATCTGGGAAATTAAAGAGTAACAAAGATCTGATAAAAAGTCAAGAATGTGGGGGAAAATATATTTGGTGTTTTATTTCACGTTTTCAATTTTGCATTTCAAGATTAAAAGTGAAACATGTTGGATTTTTTTATTTAATGCTTCAATTTTGTTCAACTCAGTATTTAGACTTGTGTCACTTTTATACTTTAGATTCCAGTTTTACATTTTAAGTCATATTTTGAGCTTTTAAACTTGATTTCAACGTTCTTCTCATGTATTTGCTCTTTAAAAGCATTATTTTTCTTTTTTTAATATCATGCTCTAATCTTTTGAACTAATAAATAAAAACAAAATATTTTTTTCTATCTCAGATTGCCTTTAAACTTTTCTTTTTTTGAGTTTCCAAATGATTTATAATCATTGTTGTTTTTACTTTTTTTTTTTTAAAAAGAAGGTTGCCAGTTTTGGTGAAATGTTGACCCTCTTTGGCCCTCAGGTTAGACCTGAATCCAGATTATGGCCCTTGCTGTGGTTTAGTTTAAGACCCCTGCTCTAAAGCTGCTGAAATCAAGCAGGAATGGAACAACATTTCACTTTCCAAACTTCACTAATGTTTACAGAGAGTTGGGAAAGGATGGGGTGAATAAAGGACTTGAAACTAAGCAAAAACCTCCATAAACTCTGACGGAACAGGGGCTTCAGTCCATCATATTAACAATAGACTTACCATCTTCCTGTATGTTTTCGAGGTCCACTTCCGGCCCATAGTTCTGCTTGGAAAATCCTGAATACTGTGGAGAAAAACCGCAGAAATGAATACACTGAAGTTTCGGGGTCTCCGTCTGCTAACGGTAACCCGCTGCTTCATTTACTGCTAAAACCTCAACATTTCGCCATTTCAACACACCTTTTCTATGATTCGAGCCAGCGAATTTCTGTAGATCAGTTCAATCTGGGACAGATTCTCCTCAAAATCAACCGACATGTTTCTCTCGATTCGCCTGACAATGAAGAATGATGAAACGAACAGGATCCGCGAGCTCACTAAAATAAAGGCGCTCTGATGTTTTCAAAAAGTCAGGCAACAGAAAGGAGGCAGCTGATTGGATCGGAGTGCTTGTGTTGCCTTCAGGTGTACTCGGAAATTATGATTTCCAAAATTGTTCTGCGCGGGAAAGAATGTTTGTCGATATTTGTTCAAATTACAAGTAGGCTACTAAGATTTCTTTTTCTGATACTACAGTATAACGAGTGTTTGAGTGATCCAGTATGAGATAAAAATGGAAAATAGCTCAACGACATTTGCTCGATAGCATTGATTCACTGACAACACATTAAACTCTTGAAACACATTGAATGACTCTGATATTTTTTTTCTGGGGCCAATTAGTTTATCATCTCAATATTTCTTGTACATATTTTTGGTAACTATTTGTATATCTTTGCCTTTTAGCTATTTTATCACATCAAATTCCCGGTAGTGGTATGAACGAGGTTATCGGGGGAAACAGAAGCAGGCATAAGTGGGTGTGTTTATCGCAAACGTCATACGAACGCGCCAAACAGTGTATCCAATAATGAAAGTGGAAATAAAATATCACGATCCCTTCAAAACGGGCAAGAATATGCCTTTGACTCTGTGGTGTTATGCAGGATGAGCACCAGTCGTGAATTTGTGGACGGTGCCTGAACGTCTCATTGCGATGGCCGCTAAGACCCTACACGCGCTGGTGTCCTCCGCCGCCTTTCAGCACGCTGACCGGCCTGCTGTGACTTATCACAGTGGGTCTGTGTCCGGGAGCCCGATGTCCCTGTGTTACAGAGAGCTGGAGGAGCTGTCTGCTGATTTTTCTACTGCTCTACGGGAGAGCTGCTCTGATCATAACAGCGTGATCGGGCTGTACTGTTGTGATGATCTTTACATACCCGTGTGGATTCTGGGGTGAGTGTATCATCATCACCCACCACACTGACCACCACTGTAAGAAGCACCGTCTTTTAGGAGTTTTGGGGTGGCTGTTTAAGATTGTAAAGTATCCCATATTGTCTGTCAGGATCCTGCAGACCCCTGCTGCCCATGTCCCGTTGGACCCCGAAGCTCCAGGACTCCTGTCTGCCAGAGTCATGAACCAATGTAGACTCAAATACTGCGCTGTGAGGACTGACATGCTGCAGGTGAAGCATTAGGTATATGTATCAGAGATACATTCCCAAACTAGAGGGTTTGATGGGAAGCAAATAAAAAAATATGTACTCCATTTCAATCAAGTGGCTGCAACATGTTTCAAAACAGGTAGGGGTGGGGACAACAAAACAGGTAAAATGTTGTGTAATGCTAAATAAGCAGCTGAATAAACATGTTTAATTATGTATAGGGAAATGTAATATCCAACAGGTTAGTAACATGACTTGGTATAAAAAGGACATTTAGAAAGGCTGAGACTCTCAGAAGGAAAGATGGGAAGAGGTTCACCACTCTGTGAGAAACTGAGTGAGCATTTAGATCAACAGTTTCAGAATAATGTTCCTGAGAGTAAATTGTGAAAATATGAGTGGATTTCATCATCTATAGAACAAAATATCATCTAAAGATTCAGAGAATTTGGAGAAATCTCTGTACAAAAGGGGCAAGAACTAAAACCAAGTCTGGATGGTCCTGATCCTCAGGCCCTTAGAGGAAGCACTGCATCAAAACAGACTGCACTCTGTGGTGGAAATCAGCACATCGACTCAAAGTCACTTCCAAATCCATTTTCTGTGAGCACAGTTCATAACTGCATTCACAAATGCAGGTTTAAACTTAAAAATACAAAAAGAAGAAACCAGATATTAGACATGATCCAGAAATGTTGCAAAGTAGAAAAATGGATACCATGTCCTCCTCTCTAAAGAGTAGAGGGACTTCCCAGTTCCTTATCAGCTGTCTGTGCAAAGCCAGCACCCCTGATCATGTTAAGTCCATGGCATGGGTACTTTACATGTCTGTGAAGGCTCTCTTAATGCTCAACAATATAAAGAGGTTTAGGAGCAATATATGCTGCCATCCAGACAATGACTTTTTCAGGGAAGACCTTTATATTTCAACAAGACAATGACAAACCACATTCTGCAGGGATTACAACAGCATGACTCTGTATTAGAAGAGTCCTGCTGATAAACTGGCCTGTCTGCAGTCCTGACTTGTCACCCACTGAAAACATTTGCAGCTTCATGATGCAAAAAAATGGAAAAAGGAGACACTGAACTGTTGAGAAACTGAAATCCTTCTATCAAACAAGACTGGAACAACATTTTGCTTTCCAAAATCTGGGAACTGTACTCTTTAATATCCAAACATTTACAGAATGTAGTACAAAGACACTTGAATTAAGAGCTGGTGCAACACAATGGGAAACCTGTCCCTGTCCCATCTATTTAAAACATTTTTGCCTACATCAAAATCAAAATAAGCATAAAATAATCAATTAGCCTATGTATAGCCCAACCTTTGACATGATGTCTTTGCACCTTTAACGCTTAGATATAGGCTTTAAATGATTTGCAAAGCAACAAAATTAGTTCTTATGAATATTTTATCCAACTTTTTAGAATTGGGTTAACACTCCTGCTGAGTTTGGTTAGTTTTTTGTAGCTTTTGCTCCAAAATTTAAATAGATTTTCTTTCCTTCTACCATTTCAAAGCATTTCCAGAAAAACCTGGTCAAACACGCCTCTGTGGAGGTTTGTGTTGAGCTGCCGAAGTTTCGACTCACTGTGGCGCAAATCAAGATGCTGCTGGACACTGAGGAGAAACATGGGCCACAGCAAAGCAGGGCCTGGCCAGCAGAGGGCGCTGGTGCTGTATTAAAAGAAGCTGGTCATACAGATTTAGCCTATGTGCTGCACACATCTGGAACCACTGGAGTCCCAAAGACTGTGAGGGTGCCACACAGGTGTGTCCTCACTAACATCCTGCACCTGAGGTGAGCAGAGAACCCTGAAGTATTTCATGCTGACACATTTTTGAAAAAGCATCAGTAGGAGCAGCTTTGTTGGCTCAGATCTTTGTTTCAGATGAGTGAGGAGGATGTGGTTTTCCTGGCCTCGCCCTTAACCTTTGACCCCTCTGTGGTGGATATGTTCCTGGCTTTGTCTTCAGGGGCTCAGCTCCTCATCGTCCCCTCTCTGATGAAGAAGATGCCTCGTCGTCTGGCTCAGTTGCTGTTCACCCATCACAGGACATCAGTCCTTCAGGTAGGTGTGCTGACATTAAATCCCGCTCAGACGCCTTCCTGCTCGCTGTAACTCCTCCTGTCTCTGTAGGTCACTCCTTCGCTCCTCATTGGTTTTGGAGAGCGTCTCCTCAAACAGGAAGTGCTGTCATCTGGCTCCTCGCTGCGGGTGCTCGCTCTGGGAGGAGAGGCCTGCCCCTCTCCAGATCTGCTAAGGAGCTGGAGGCACAAAGAGAACAAAACCAGAATCTACAACATCTACGGCATCACTGAGGTTTCCTGCTGGGCCTGTGCCTATGAGATACCAGAATCTCTGCTGCTTCCAAACTGCCCGTAAGTATTAATATCTCGTGATATAACAGTTTAGTCCCAGGGAAACGAGTCAGTCATCAAATCCTCAGAGAGCTCAACGATTAAGCCACATTTTAAGGGAGTACCCCAAAAACTTCAAATAAAGGCCAGTACTCAATCTGTGTGCAGGTCCTTTAAAATGGACAGGATAACAAGCTCTACGAATGAATAAAAGTCAGTTTTCAATTATTGGCCAGGGCAGTTTCATATTTCTAATATTGAAATATGAAAAACAAGTTGCCAGTGAGTTCACATTGATCACACACCAACATCCACACTTTTATACTGCACTGTATCACAGGTCATCTCCACACAGTTTCTCCTCTTTTCTTTTTTTTGTATCTTAGATCATTGCTTACTGTCTTCATCTCCACTCAGTGCTGCTCAGAGCTGCACTTTGATCTTTAGTCCTGATGGAGATAAAGTCAGTCCACTTGCGGTGTATGTGGAGCTGGACGAAGAGGGAAAGTCCTGAGCATTTTAATGTGGAGTCTGTTCATGACTGGCGTGACAAATTTCAAAGTCTATCACCATTTTTTGGCCCATAAAGAACCAGGGAAGAAAGCATCTTTATATGTAAAGTATTGGTGTAAATGTTTGAATGGACTTTATCCTTAAACCATTTTTTTAATTTTAACCTTTCAATCTCAAGAGACAGGTGTTGAATCACACTATGATATTTGTACCAGATGGCTGTTCTCAGATTAACTATGTAAACTGCATCTATCCCTAACCTTGAATAAAAGGATCAATTTATGATTAATTTTTAGTTTATTTTACAAGCTCCCAACCTGCTATCAAAATGAAAACTACTAAAGGTGAAATTTCTGCCGGATCTGACTAAAAGCCCGAAAAAGGACCCTCTAAAAAAGAAACAGCTGTAAAGGTGTTGTAAACCTGTGACAAAAACACGTGGGTTAACGCCAGTAACAGCAGAATTGAAAAATGTATGGATTTTTCCTATATTTATTCATTTTTAAATGCATGACTTAGGGGCCGGATTGAGGTCTTTACAGGGCGATATTCAGCCCACTGTTAGTGTAATGGATGGGTCTTGTCTGCATCCTGTCTGTATATTTAAAGAAGCTGATTACACTGTCATATAAAATGATTTACTTGTCTTTCAGCCCCTCAGTGCCTCTCGGGTCTCCTCTGATGGACACAGTGGTGGAAGTCAGAGATGAACACGGCTGTGTTGTAACAGAGGGAGAAGGACAGGTGTTTATAGGTGAGGAGGAGCTCCTGACATAGACACATGATGTGTTCAAACAAAACTCACTCACATGAATCCCTCTGCTGTTTGGTGCAGGCGGGGAGGGGAGGGTGTGTCTCCTGGACGGTGAGGATGCTGTTGTCCCCGGGACAATGAGAGCGACAGGAGACTGGGTGAACATCAGAGACAACCAGCTGTTCTACCTCGGACGGAGAGACCGACTCATTAAACGCCACGGGAAACAAGTGAACCTGGACAGCCTACAGCAGGTAGGAGTGTGAATGAATAAATGAAAACCTTCACTGTTCTGAGGGCACCAGAAGCATGAAAACATGAATATGTCAAAGATAATAACAGCCGTTCAGGACAATGTATAATACGCTGTATAAGGATATATGATTAAAGCATCACTGAAGAGGAACATCAAGGTTTTATTCTGACTTTTAATAAAAAAAAAGCAAAGTATTAATCTTCTTCCTTCCCTCCTCCAGCTCATACAGAGTCTTCCTCAGGTGGAAGCCTGTGCTGTGTGTCTACATGGAGGCTCTCGCCTGATCGCCTTTGTCGTGGCGTCCACATCTGGAGAGCAGACAGGAGCTTTTCTGCAGAAACACGAGGATCAAACACGCCTCCTCTCTCCTGCAGAGAAGTCAGGGGCTGCAGACCGAGAGCTGAGCAAACTGATCCTGGACCAGCTGTCTCAGCTTATACCGTCTCACAGCGTCCCAGACACACTGGTCCCGGTCCCAGCTTTGAGTCTGACGAGTCATGGTGAGAAGAAGACATAGTTACAGTCACAGAGTTAGAATTAGTCCAGCTGTTAGAGATTTAGAGGTGGTCATTCACACTTTTATTTATTTTTAAAAGACAAGAGTTTTAGGTCACCAAAAAAGTAGCTCTTCAGAGCTCTCTTAAATGCCTTCCAAGGTGGAGATTAGTGAACTTCTTCACTTGGGCCAAAGACTTGGCCCTCACTTAGAGGGAGGATCCACCATTTTCCAGCATTCGGCTGCTAACCATCCCAGTGCCTGCTGGAGATGAAGGTCTGAAGCCTGCAGATGCCAACAGAACCACATCATCTGGAAAAAGCTGAGATGGAACTTTGAGGCCCCTAACCGGCAGACCCCCCACAGACTGCTCCTTGAGATCCTGTTCATGAATATCACATACTAAATAGCTGAGGGGCAACCCTGGCAAAGGCCAAGAATGCAGACATGACTACATTGTTCTTTCTGGATCAGAAATTCTAAAGGGTCTGAAACAAAATGAACTACCTTAGAGCATGTATTCGTTTTTTGCATTAGGGGCAAAGCCTGTGAGCTAGTTCAGGCACTCTACTTGAGCTGCACTGATTTCACACTTGACGTATGCCTCTGCTTTGCTGTTACCACTGCTGCCTTTCTTAAGCCCTGTAAACCAGATCCTTCTATTTCTGTCCGTACTGTCCCTGCTGTGTTTTTTTCCTTTCCTCTCTTTTACTGTTGTCTTTGTTTTATTGCAGGAAAAATTGACATGAACGCACTTATAAAGATATACCAGAAACAGAGACAGTGTTCAGGGTCATCACAGGGAGATTTCACCAAACTCAAGCAAACTCTTCAGTCCTCGTGGAAGGTAAATCCATGTTTAAGAACACAAATTCCTCTGTAAATGCTCCCTTGTTAAATTTTTGATTAAATCTCAACAGGAAACTCTCAGTCTTCCTAAAGATGCGACCATCGAGGACGACTCAAACTTCTTGTTGAGTGGAGGAGATTCTCTGAAGGCTTTGCACCTCTATGAGGATGTCCTCGCCGCTGCAGGAGGAACCTCGCCTGAGCTGCTGGAGGTTATACTGGACGGGAGTTTTTCTGATGTCCTGCATCACGTTGAGAGGATGGCACTGACACGTCCACTCGAGAATAAAACGTCAGCGCTGTCTGAGGGGAAGAAACGACCTGCTGAAACTTTATCTGAGGTGCCAGCAAAGAGAGGACTCACAGGACGTCAGCAGGAGGGGAGAAAAAGTTTTAGAGTGATCAGACGAGCAGGAGAGGTGATGAGGATCAGAAATCCAGAGACAGATATGAACTCTGAGGAGGATCACTCAAGAGGAAAGGATTTCAGGGAGAAAGACGGTGTCCTGGACTTCAGTCTGAGCTGGTCCTCAGACACAGGCAGGTGTGTGGACGCCTCCCCGGTTCTTCTCGTGGAGGAGAAAAAAGATAACGCTGTAGTGTTCATCGGCTCCCACTCCCACAGGATCCAGGCGTTAGACGTTACCACAGGGAGCCTCCATTGGGAGCGAGTCCTCGGGGACAGAATCGAAGCCGCAGCTACTGTGTCTCACTGTGGGAACCTCGTGATTATTGGTCAGAAACAGCTCTTTAAGAACAGTGTAGGAACATCACACAGCATGATTTGTTGAATTTGTTTTCGCTTTCTTGCAGGTTGCTATGACGGCGGTGTGTATTTCCTTTGTGCTGCATCTGGAGAGACTCGGTGGGTGTTTAAGACAGGGGACACTGTCAAGAGCTCTCCTGCTGTGGACCCTGTAACAGGTCTGGTGATGGTAGGATCACATGATGGATATGTTTACGCCTTGAATCCAGAGGTAAGTGTGTTTGATATTCAAAAGAATAAAGGCTCCATTGACAGCATTTTAAGATGTGTGAATTCAACTCTCTTCAGGTTTAGGCTTTTATTTTGAAGATTTAAAAGCTCAAAAGTCTGGGTTTACTTTTATTTTTGGGCTTCGTCTGCCTAATAAGAATAATAGTCTAAGAGATGCTCCAGAAGTTTATATCAGCCTGCCCTGCAGCAGTGAAACTGACCAAAAGGAGGCAAAAAATGTGTCTGATCAAACTTGTCCAGTGAAAGTTCTTGTATTTCTTTCCTGACATGCTCAGAGCTTGTGCTTTCACAATTTATATAATTTTATTTATAATTTAATATCAATTTACCGTTTAGATTCTGTTATTACATTATTGTATACACCTCCCACTGGTATCAAATTTAAAATGAGCACATATTTCCCATAAAACTGTAACATTTTTTTAGTTTCAATGTTTAAGATCTTGGCACTTATTTTTTTATTAATTAAATTGTGGTTTTAAATGATTCATGTCCTTAAACTGTGTTTAATTTAGCCAGTCAGGTTGCTGAGGCGCCTCACATTTGAGTGGAAAGGTCCTCTAGGCTACAGCTGTGAGAGTTGAATGACATGTGGCCCAAATATGTAATTAATGAGTTTTCATTCAAAATTGACGACCCACATTATCAGGCTGCTTTTAAGCCTTTTATTGATTGTATGAAATAATTAATAGTTTTTGTAGTGTTAAGTGTGTTTTACTGTGGTTGCCATTTTCAATACGCCTCACTGATTTAATAGTCTTTTTCTACCAATGTAATTCTGCGATGTTTTAGCATCGATGCAATTTTCATCCTAATTCAATCACTCAATTTTACGTTTGGCACTGACACTGTTATGAATGATGATAATGCAGGATAATCCTCACATTTTCACTCACTGCTTTTATTGTGTTTGTATATTTCATGATGATTTATTTCTTACATCTGAGAATCCGTACTGTGACCCACTTTTCCCCAAGTAGATCAATAATATGTTTCTGTTTCTGATTGAAATCAGTAAAAATGATAAATCAAGGTTTTGGTTTGTGTGTTTAATATGGATTTAAGGTGGAGCAGTGTGTGTGGAGGTGTCACTGTGGAGGTGGAGCTGTGTTCTCCTCCCCGTGTCTCCTCCCCTCCCCCAGACAGCTGTACGTGGCATCACTTGGAGGTCACCTGCTCTGTCTGAACCCTGTGAGTAAAAACACGCCTTTTTAAGTATAATTCAGTTATTTTTCACACTTAAACACACTCTGCTCTGTCTGTCTGCTCGCTCTCAGGACAGCGGGGAGGTCCTGTGGTCAGTCTGCAGAGATTTCCCGTTTTTCTCGTCACCAAACATGTCCTCTGGTCAGGTGGTGATCGGATCAGTAGATGGAAACATCTGCTGCTTCAGCAACGAGGGGAAACTGGTGAGGAACACACCTGAGATTGTGGAGAAATTCTTTTTATGATCATCACTACATCTGTTTGAATATGCAAAGAGCAGAACTGGTGCTATTCCTGCAGACAACAGGTTGTTTATTATAAACTTCAGCTTCATATGCTTGAAATCTTCTATGTTCTCAACAACGGGGTAAAACAGAAGTAGTAAACTGGGGTGGCAGTGTGCTCTAGAAACATCATCTGTTCATGAGTCTTACAAGAAGAGTTACTGCATTGACTTCATCATAGTCCATGTACAGGCTCAGGTTGTTGTTTTAACTGTCTGACGGCATTCCTGAAAAGAACCCCTGCAGATATAGGCCATCTGAAAAAGTGGAAGATTCTTAACCAGAGACGGATATCACATCTCCCTTTAGAGCCATCAGACTTCTGTTACAAAAACACTGTATTTTTGTTTTGCTGAAAACTGGAGCTGCTGATTTGCACCCGTCTCTGTAAAGTGTGTTACAAATTGTGAAATGTTCTACCAGATTCAAACTTTTCATCTAAAACACAAAGGTAACACACCGTTAAGTAAATTACTGTAATTCTAAAGAGCTTAGAGCAGGGGTCGACAACCCGCAGCTCTGGAGCCGCATGCGGCTCTTTCTTCCCTAAACTGCGGCTCCCAATGGATTTGGAAAATAAATAATAAATACTTAATTGCATTTTATTTTATTTTATTATTTTTTAATTTTTTTTGTAATTCTAAATTCAAAGATTATAATGCTCTTGTAACATTAAATAAACTATTAAGGCTGCAACAACGAATCGATTAAGTAGATTCGTCGTGACGAAAAAATCCGTTGCCAACAAATTCTGTAATCGATTCGTCGGGTCTTTATATATGTCCATGGACACCGGCGTGTAAACATCAGCAGGACGGACAGAAAAGAAACAGCCATGGCCGAGGCAGCGGCTGAGAAAAACATGGACACAACCCAACCCAAATCCCGACCTAAAACATCAGTGGTGTGGGAAAACTTCACCAAGACTGAAAAGGAAGGCGTTCAGTGCAACATTTGCAAAGACCGTTTTGCATGGCTCGGGAGTACATCGATGATGCGTGAGCACAGGGCTCTCAAGTCTCACGCATTCAGCGTATGACACACGCATTCCCACTCGTTCACACGCTCACACACCACACATTGTATTTCTCACGCATTTAAATGAACACGGTGATGTCCACCAAGTTGCACCTCTTCAACTATGGAACTGGGGGAAATCAACTGAGTTCCTCCAAGAGTTCAGAAGCTGCGTGCCACGCACAAGCCAATCAAATAAAGTATATCTACTGAACAGCCAATCAAAAAGCAGCATTGCTGTATCCGGGTAGATTTTGATATCTTGCAGTTTAACTACAGAAGAAGACAGACACTCGCCGAAATACTTCATTTATTTCATAAATGCAACTCGCTACAGTTTTTCATATACTTTGTATAAAGGTAAAAAAAAAAAGATATATGCAATGTTATCTTCATTTTAGATGTCAAAGAGGTTTTGTGGCTCCCTGTGTTTTCTTTTCTGTGGGAAACTGGTCCAAGTGGCTCTTTGAGTGTTTAAGGTTGCCGACCCCTGGCTTAGAGGCTTTCAAAATAACAGTATGGCTGTTTTTGTTTGAGCTCAAAGGGTTAAAATTGAGAACAACAAGAAGAGGAGATGTTAAGAATATCAGAATTCACAAACTCAATAATGATTGAATTTATTATTTTTAATCAAAATTTAAAAATATATATTTTAAACAATTAAGATACTAGAAATAATTATCAAAATTCAGGATTATTACATTTATTTTTCTATTAGTATTTTACAACTATTTTACACTTTTTGTTTAAAATGACAGAATTTTTATAAGCACTAGTATAATTATGATGATTATTTTCTAATTTATTCTAATTCTATTTAATTATACAGTAGTTTTATAGTAGTTTTTTTCATAATATAAGAATAGATTAATGATCCTTTTAAGAGATTACTTTTCATCTTATTTTTATCACTATAAATATTTAATCATTATTATTTTAACTATTAAGATTTTCACTAGTTATTGTTCAATGTTATGCATATTGTGTACATTTTTCTCTTAATGTGTGACCTAAAATTCATTCATTCAGAAATGTGATTACAGTACATCAGGTATTGATTTTATATGCCATAAGGATAAAATAATAACTCAGAGTGATTTAGTTTTAAATAGCTTTAAAACTGAAATGTTATTGTGATTTATTAAATATAAAATAACTCATTTAGGTATCTGAAAAGTTAATTTTCAATTGAGTTATTGAATTAATGTAAATGATGTTCTTGGACCATTATAGTTCATACTGTTCAAACTGATGGAGGAGAGGCGCTGCTCCCCCTCTCTAGTCTGGTGACATTTTGGACAATTTGCTCCATATGCAGCAGCAACAGAAGCAGTATATTTAGGGACTAAGTGTGTCCCGCAGCCTTGATTTCACACGTGTTTTTATTTTATTGGAACTGAACTCATTATTTTAAAAAATTGAATCACTCAGTAACATATTAAGTGTTTTATTACAGGGTTCTGGCAGCACTGCAAAGTAATCTTACAGCTTTTTCTTGTAAACAAACTGAGTTCCTCTTAAATCAAATGGTCTGTGTCTGTAGGGGAGCCTGTCTGATAGTTTTAAGACAATCTGAACCTGTGAGTGGAAAATACATGAACTTTTTGGAGTCCAACTTACTGAACGCATTTGCCGGGAAGGTTAACAATGCAGCCGTTACAGCCTGTTCAGTTTGTCTCTTTTTTTCTCTGCAGGTTTGGAAGTTTCTGACTAAAGGACCCGTCTTCTCGTCTTCATGTGTCACTCAAGACTTGCAGATGCTTCTTTGTGGGTCACATGATGGTCTTCTGTACTGTTTGAACTGTGCAGACGGCTCTTTGGTTTGGACTTTTCAGACCACTGGAAAGGTCTACTCTAGTCCCTGTGTGTTTGACGGCTCTGTGGTGGGCCGGCGGGGGCAGCTGGTGGCTGTGGCCTCCACAGACGGGGTTGTGTGGCTCCTGGACGGACATGATGGACAAATGCTGACCAAGTTTACCCTACCAGGGGAGCTGTTTTCATCCCCTGTAGTGTGGGGGTGCAATCTTTTAATTGGGTGTCGTAATGACTTTGTGTATTGTTTAAAACTGTCTGTAAAAGAGGAAACATAGGAGTATGAACTGTTTTTGTAATAAACTCTGAGGCCTTTAAATCTGTGTCAGAGCAGAGCGAGCTTTGGGGAATAACATTTAATCACACTGCAGGAAAATAATGAGTGTGCAGTCTTTCAGGTCAGACATCAGTATTTAATTTACATTATTCATAACAGTTTGTTTCTCATTAAGAATATTCTCATGAATATCTCTAAGTGGGACAAAAAAGTGCAAATAATACCGAACATTTTCCTTGTTACATGTAACACTGCGCACACTACACTATTGTGCACGACCAACGTTGGAAACAGAACAACAAAGTGACTCTTTCTGCTCCGTCTGACCTCCGTACAGTACATACTTACATACATACAGATCATTTAGTGAGAGGCAGGAGATGAGAGCTGCAGGGTTCGTCTTTTTTTATACAGGAAATGTTTGTAAGATCGTATCACATGGACGAGGAAGTGATGGCCTACAAACACAAGTGTGTTACAGGAGGACAGAAATGTTATGATACAGCAGGCAGGTGTGTGTCTCTGTTAGCAATGTCAAATAATCCAATTAATGTCATAAATAATGTGCAGCTCACTGGGATCTCCTCATTTCACTGTGCGCATCCTTGATTCCTTTCCTTGTGACTTAGCTCATCCCGCCAAAATACAAATGATGATTTATTGCAAATACTGTCAAGTCAAAAATGATTTAGGATTTGGTTATTTTGTTTTTGCACATAACTTTAGCTTTTTTAGTGTCTCTTCAGCCTGTTACTGGCTTCAGTCAACTCTTATGTTACTCAATATTCTCATTGCCTTTAATTAGAAGTGGACATTGTCTGTTGACTCGCAAAGTGAAGCCGATGCATGAGTGCCTTTAAAATCTGCATTCTTTCCATAGACTGTATAGAGAATGGACGCTGTCTGCCTCCTCGTTGGGTGAAGCCTCTGTGAAAACAGCACCCTCTGGTGGCGGGCTGCAGTATAGGTCATAAATCCCGCCTCCGCCAGCAATCCTTATGGAGCTGTGGACAAACTTTAGAAATTTATTACACAGAATATAATTTTTTCCTCCCCATGGTTACGATGTTGACATGTAGTTACTGTACAGCTCTATGATTGATACCTGATACAGCCTATGGGCATACAGAGATTGCGTAGGTCATTGTAAATTTGTATAATGGCGGAAGTCGGAGCCAAGTTGTCCATACTATACACAGTCAATGATTCTTTCCCATAACCCACAAGGGCAATTAACTAACACAAAATAAGTTTTTTAGAGTAATAGCCCAAAAAATAGAAAACAATCTGGAAATGATAAATTGCAGCCAATTTATATATTTTGTTTTAATTTTTTCAATTTATAAATAAATTAACATTGTAATGCTGTAATGTAAGAAACTTTTTTTTTGTTTTTCTTTAAGGCTTAGAAATCCTTCAAGATGGTACTCATGTATCAGTTTCTTCATCAGGGGCACAAGGAAAGAGGAAACAAGGATGCGCAAACTGAGGAGTAAGAAGCACCCTTTGTTGATGCCCTGTAACGCTTGTCGTCTTGGTGCCATGTTTAGGTTCTCCCTCTGTCTGATTGTGGTTACTTTAAAATGGCAAAAATGTACAAATATTCTCTCTGACAGCTTTCACAGTCATAACGGACACAGTGAGATTTGTTCTGCTTAAAGTATGAGTAAAAAAACAGTAGAAGGCGTCTTTTGTACATGACAAACAGGCTCAGAGAGGAGGTACAGTATCTTTTAACAAACAGAAATAATACCGAGGAGGGCAGAGTGGATGGAACACTTCCACCAGCAGTCCACAGGTGGCGTTATTGTTATCTGGTAGCCCTTTGAACACAGACAGATATCCCTCTGATTAAACACCGTCACATGTCACTGAACCTCTTCAAAACACAAGTTTCACCTGTTTCTGCAGTGAGAGGAGGATTTATTTACAACAGGGGGGTCACAGTTGGCTACAAAATAAAAAAAAAAAGGTGGGATTGGCCAGCCCTGCTTCTGATTGGCTGCTGAGAACTGCAGCGTGTTCCTTCTAACTGCATCTATATGTGTGTCAGTATGTGCATGCGCAGCTTTAGTTTACATATATCTGTGCAGCTGTTTGGGAGTATTTGGATGTGAAGCGCACTTTAACATGATAATAGTACCAGCCAGTGTGTGTGTGTGGTGGTGGTTGGGAAGTGATGGGGGGGTTACTTCACAGTCAGGTGTGTGCGTGGGGAGGGTCAGGTGATTCTGTGGGCAGTGTGCAGTCTCAGTGCAGGTCAGAGCCGGTGTAGAGAGGGGGATTCAGTGTTATTTGATGATCTGAGGACAGTCGCTCCATGCTTTGGCCTTCCGCTTGGCGAGGGCCAGCCAGGCAGGCTCAGTGGACACCTGGGGGGAGTCGGTGGACGGGAAGCGCTTTGACACCTCTTTGACCGCAGGGGGCGATGGTGTAGAGTCCGCAATCTCCACTGAAACAACGAACAAACAAAAAAGGCAAGAATTAGACAAAAGAGATATCCCAAGCCGTTGACAGACTACTTCATGCAGACTTCCGCATTTCTCTGAGGAGGGTCTGCTTGTCTGGATGTCTGAACAAATATTATGCTTACATTTGGCAGTGTAGCTCTGGAAAGTATCATCAGGTATGGCATGGCAGGGCAATAAGGTACTCAGAATGTTGAGCTGAAATAAATAGTTTGCTAAGAACAACCATGAAAATCATCTTGAAAAAGGGACAGTTATCCCTCTAATCCATTTGTTCAGGGTCAGTTATCAGACTTGAACTGAAGAGAAACAGATTTAAGATGTCTTTCCTTCCAAACTCAAACCCTCTTTTATATAAATAACCAGCCAACCTTCTTTATATTGAAACAGTCTGAGTCTCTTTGCTTTCTTTGCTTTTATTTCTAATTTCATCATAGTCTTTTACGCTGATTTAAGGTTTTATGTTGCTCATACTTCTCTAACTTGTTAATATTCTGGCATTTTTATCTTGGTCACTGTCTTGTGTGCTGCATAATCATGTGTTCAATTAATTTGCATGTAGCTGTATGTTACTTATGCACTATTGAGAAGGACAAAAGGCATTGTCCTAATTTTTCTTCCTTTTTATACGTCTTTTGTGGCCGTGCACCTCTTATTTTTCTATAGATATTTTGAGCGTGCAGTGACTATTGCCCATAAGACTCTATCCTCAGAGACAGAGTATCTCATCCCATCACATACAAGACAGATTGTCACGCCATGGAGTGATTTTACAGCTTCTTGGTTATCTATGTAAGCAACTCATTCTTTCTGCGACACAAACATGGTCATATAAAGTTCCTCTTTCTGTAGAAGTGAAGGGAGTCAATTCCAAAGCTTGTTGCTGTACCCATCCACTCCACCTCACCTACAGAATTTCTTTCAGTATTTTTGAGCAACATCTAGCAGGACTCACTCCATGACAAAGTGTGAGTGAGCAAGGCCCGTGGATGTTAAAATTCATCAAATGACTGGGGCCTGAGTCACTTTAAGACTGCACAGCTATTGCATCTTCTAAACTTGGGCAAAGACAACATTGTTTAATACATGAAACAAGCGCCAAGGATTGCAGTGCCCCACAAGCTATGCTGCAGATCAAGTAGCTTAGTGTCATCCGCAGACATTTCAGTGAGCCATAGGTGATCAATTTGATAAAATGATGCCTCTCTTTACCTTATCCACAAACACCAAGGCCAATAGTCACACACCTGAGAATAATTCATCTGTTCAGTCCTAAACTTACTTTGACATTTTTTTTCAGAGTCCTTGTGGCACTTGAGCTTCATAAATAAATGGAGACAATCTCTTGTGTTTATTTTTAGATAATAATCCTCAGCATGCAGGCTTTTACCGGTGACAGAGCTCGGTAACGTGTTCGCTTTCTTCAGCTGTTCTCGGCGTTCGAATCGTCCCAGCAGGCTGTCAGGTCTCTTAGGCTCCTCTGGTGTCTGAGGTTTGGAGGAAGGGCTGATGCTGCCGCTACCTCGACTCTCTGTGGGGCTCACCAGAGTGACCTGCAGAGGAAATGAGGGGAATCAGAGGAGGACAACCCAGGAGCTTTTGTGAATGAAAGTGTGTAGAAACAGAATCTAGGGCACGTACGTTGTCTCTGTCCCGAGCCTGTTTCTCTGCTAGCTTGACCTCTCTTTGGCTGCGGCGCTCCTCCCGGCTCTGCTGCTGCTCCCTGAAACCTTTCTGTTTCTGCAGAGCCAGTGTGATCCACAAAGGCCCTGCTTCCTTCTCCTGGACCCTCGCACTGTCCAGGGAGTGTCTGCTCTGCAGGGATGGTTTCTCTGCAGAGGGACACATCACATGAATGTCAGCTTTTTAAGAATGGTGTTCAGAAGCCTTTATTTTGTTTGCTCCATACCTGAGAAACAAGATTAGTGCAAACATGCAGCCTGAAAAAATTTATAGAAAAAAATCTACATGCACAGGGGGTGTAGAGAGCCAGTCCTCACCTCTGTTTGTTGACCTAACTGGATCCCACTTTGGACTCATTTGAGCCTATATTGTTTTTGTGACTACCGTTTAAGGTTAGAGAAACTGTTAAGTTCATGTTTACCCTGGCTGAATTGTATGAAAGAGGATTATGGCCACATGAGGAAAAATAATAATTACAGGAAGGAGATTAAAGTTGACATTTCAACATTAAAGTCAAAAATTTGAGAAAAAACAAATGAAATTATGTCAATAAAGTCGAAAACTTTTTAGATTGAAAATTGAAATTTCGAGATTATAGTCAAAATTTCAAGATTATGAAATGTCATTAATAATGTCAAAATTTCAAGATTAAAAAAACAAAATTTTGAGATTAAAGTCGAAATTTTGAGATTAAAGTCAATACAAACAAAGTCGAAATTTCAACATTTTAGAATTTAGACTCTAATCTTGAAATTTTGACTTTAATCTCAAAATGGAAATTAAAAAATCTCCCTCCTGTAATTATTATTTTATGTGGCCCTAATCCTCTTTTGTAGAATTGTGATACACCTGCTGTGCTTGAGGAGACAATTTGTACAGCTACACAACAGGGTGCTGTACAAAGAAGGTTCTGGGCCATCACTGGAGCACCAGATAGCAGACCTCAAGTTGCCACAGAGTAACTCACACATTAGCCTTGGTAGAGTAGGGAGCAGACAGTCAAACATTCACTAGGCTTTAATGTTGAAGTTCACTGCAGTTAATTTAAAAAGAATTAGCTAATTAATCACTACCTAAGTCAATGTTTTGGTGAATGGAGTTACATTTTTGATGGACTGTGCTCACCTCTAGCTGACCGAGGGTGACGTTAAGACACTCAGAACAGTTATGTTTGACTCTAGATGAGTGTAGCCCCTGAGTCTGCAGACTACCATGAACATATATAAAAAGAGGGCACGACTATGCGGGGGAAGAGTCACAGAGTTGCACGTAGGAAATTTTGAGTTTTTCGGGTCGGGTCGAGTGTTTTTTACGCACTTCTAACTCGGTAAGTCCACACAACAAAAACTCAAAACTTCCATGCAAGACAAGACCGGACAGCCCCCCAAAAAAGATGACATGTCCAGGTAAAAGAAGACGTATCATCACCCTACTGCAGACACATGCAACTAATGACAATGGGGCTGACCTCTCCTGATGAGCTCTGTCTTCCTGTCGGTCTTCTCTCTCCAGGGGATGTTGATAGAGGGGAAGAAGGATCTCCTCTCCTTCGGCTCCTCCTCTCCTTGGACGGGACTGCTCAGGTGTGGATGAGCCATCGCTGACACTTCCTCGCTCCTCGTCTGCTCCTGACTGGATGACTCTGCAGCCCCCGTCCTCTGGTTAAGAACATCACTGGGAGGCCCAGGGGAGGCTTTTGGTAGTGGCGACTGGGGAGGTGTGGGGACTGGTTTGGGTGACGTGGTTGGTCTGCGGTAGATCGGAGGTCTGGAAATCATTTTCTCAGCGTCGCTTTGTGCTGTGGGGCTGGTGGGCTTGCTCGGTTTACCTCGAAGAATTGCAGGTGAGGAATATCTGCCAGCCGCACTGTCTTTCTGAGGCGAGGCGGGACTTGATTTGTCAGAAAAGACAGGAGAGGCATCAGAGTCCGGCTCCATGGGGGTGAGAGGTGAAGGGACACCGTCAAAGCTGTCCCCTGCGCTGTACCGTTTCTTTCGTTTCTCAGAGGACTGCTCGCTGTGGAAGCGCAGTGAGTAGTTTGTCCTTCGCAGTTTGATGCCAAACGGAGAGGGCTTGTCCTCGCCATCCTGACCTCCATCCTCTCCCTCCATCCTGCCCTCATATGCTTCTGTCTCACTCTTAGCTCTGCTCTTCAGATCTAACCCCTCAGGTCTAGATCCTGGATTAGGAACCAGGAAGGACGGGAGGTCTTTGGCAAACATGCACTCTTCTGTGCCTCTCTCTGCGATGCGGACAGTTTTACTGGTCCTGCTCTGAGGTCGGCTGGCTGGAGGAGTAGGAGAAGCTTCGGGTGGAGCTGCTTCTTCTGCTGCTTCTTCTGTCCCGAACACCTCAGAGTTTCTGTTGGAATCTCCAAATTTCTTCTTCGCAGGTGTGATGGAGAACTTGGCGCTGGCAGACATGGTCTTCCTTAGGTTGGCGTGGGAGAACGCAGGTGGTTCTTCTGGACTGGGCTGATTCGGGGTCTTGCACGGCTCTGGGTACTCATCATACTTCCCCTCCTCAACCCCTTTGAAAATCTTGGACCGGATACTGGCCCACTCTGCGAGCACAGCTGCGCCAGACTGATCCATGGGCATCGATGACTCGTTGAGTGATTTGGTTTTTCCAGACTTGCGGTCTGGCGAGGTCTTGGTCTTTGTTGGTGGCGTCCCCTGAGCCTTCCTGTCCTCTCCCAGACCCAGCAGAGACTTGCAGGCCGTGTCCTTGATCTGATCCAAGTTGACCGCCGTCCCACAGAGCTGAGCACCCGTAACGAGGATGGCAGTGTGGGGGACATAAGGAGATGTGGTCAGGTTTGGAGAGTCTGCTCCTTCAGAGGAGGTGGAGACTCTGGTGCTCTCTCTTTGTTCTGCTCCAGCGCCACCCTGCTGGCTGGAGGCCGGCGTTACAGGCGACAGATTCACCTTCTGGAACAAAATCTGCTTCTCTCCAGAAGAAACTTTGAAAGAGAAAGGCCTCTGTCGCTCCTCCATCTCTCTCCATCGCAGCTCCTCTGCCCTCCTCTTCCTCTCCTGTGGATCTGAGCAGCTGTCAGCCTCCTCTAACGCCAGCCTCGTCTCCTCCTCCTTCTCTGCCTCCTGTTTCTTCTTCTCCTCAATCTCCTGCAGCCTCTGCTTCTCAGCCTCCTCCTCTTCTCTTTTCCTCCTCTTTTCCAGCTGCCTCCTTACCTCTTCCTCTTCTTCTCTCCTCTTCCTCTCCTCCTCCTCTTTCCTCCTCTGCTCCTCCAGTCGTCTCCTCTCCTCCTCCTCTTGCTGTCTACGCTCCTGCTCCTCTCTCATCCTTCTTTCCTCTTCCTCTCGCAGCCTCCTCTCATCTTCCTCCCTCCTCCTCCTCTCAGCCTCCTCTCTGAGCCTTCTTTCTTCTTCCTCTTGATGTTTACGACACCTCTCCTCCTCCAGCTCCCTCAGCCTCAGCTCCTCTGCCGCCCTCCTCTTCCTTTCCTCTTCTTCACGTTTGATCCTCTGTTCCTCCAGCTCCCGCTTCCTCCTCGTCTCCTGTCTCTCCTCCTCGTGGAGTCTCTGTTTCTTGAAGCTGTCCAGGGAGTCGACAGAAGCTCTGCGCAGCTCCTCTGTGGAGGAGCCGGCAGCCTTGAGCTCCTCCTGCAGCACACTGGGAATAGAAACCTCCTGGAGGTCCTGCGGAGGTGAAAAACTCCATCAGTTTCTACTTTTTTGGGTCACAAAATTAATCAACAAGGTTCAAGCTCAACCTGTCCCATAGCTCACCTGTGTGAAGCGTCTGTGTTTGCGGGAAACCCTCTGGTTTTTGGGTTTGACAGACAGTTTGTGTTTGGCAGCAGTGTTGTCCAAGCAAGGGAAAGACTGAGGGACAGCGTCCAGGTTGATGGACTCGATGGTCCCGGTCGGTGGAAGAACTCGTTTGGACCTCGGAGACTTCACCGGGGTGCTGTGAGGTTCAGCTTGATGAGCACCTTGAACCTGTTTTGGACACGTTTACACAGTTTTTATTAAAAACTGAAACAAATTTGAGCTCTGAGAACTTACTGTGCTTGAGTGTCTGTCTGATGATTTCAATAAAGAAATGCTGAAACATTTTAGTAGAATCAAAACAAAATATTTTATGAAACAATTACATTTGATGAACTGCAAATAATTTCATCAAAGACCCACTCAGATGAAAATCATGTCTCTCTTGTTGTCTACATGTTCATATGGCATTTTTCTGATGCTACAGGCCATATGGAAAAAATCATTCAGAAACTGTGTTTCTGAGTATTTCTGCAGTCAAATCTCTGTGAATCTCTGGCAGACCCTAACAGCAGGTTCAGACACAGTGAGATTTCCTATGTCACAACTGCAAGCTCCGCCCCTGGAGCTATGCAGACCTTCGGAGGAGTAGAGAGGACAATTGCAGAACAAGCGTGTGCATTGGCGGATTGCAATGCTCGTATGAAAGCTAATTATGATATTTACTTTTATCATGTCCCAAATGACATTAGTGTCCGAGAGCTGAATAGCTCCTACATTACCTGCTACTTCTACTACACCGGCAATGTTAGGCTACAAGCTAGCGTGAAGAGGAGTGTGCAGAGCAGCGCTGTCTCTGCCCACGACTCAGAGGCAAATTGCTAATGAGCCACTGGAGCTCTGCAGAGGAAAAGCCCCTGAAAATGAAATTAAAATTTAAAAAGCAAAAAGATTTGAGATATTTGACCGAAATAATAATATTTCAAGATTAGCAAGGATTTTTCTAATTGTCTGCAATATGTTGAGCTTTGTGAAATGTTTAAACCATTTTTTACATTGAATGAAATATTTTTGGTTTTCGTTAAAATATTATTGCCTTACACTAATTTTTTCAGAGCTTCATTAATTTTTTTAAGTAAGCTTTTTGTGTACTGATGGTTTTTTTAATGTTTTTGATGTTTTTAATAAATATTTGTGTGTTACATTAAATATTTTTGGTGTGAAGTGAAGTGATTTTGGGACTTATTACTCAATTTAGAATCACTGACATGAAAGGGGCTTCGTAGTGTTTCATCCCTCCACAGGGGGTGTCTAAATCCACACTGACAGATTTCTAGATGTGCTTTAAATGTGGTATTTTCTGTTTGATACTGATGCTGTTCGGAGAGAAAATAAAGAGGGTAAAATCCTTTTTTACAACCCTAACATCGGCTTGTTTAAAAAAATTGGGAAAAATGCTTCAATGCTTGAAATGCTTGAAAGTCTTCTGATCGTACATGTAGCTCATGTAATCCAGTCTGAGTCTAGTTCTCTGCTGAGACCAGAATAATCCTGATTTTGTTATCAAAGTTATCTCAGTCCTACTTAAAAGTTTTACCACAGGCTGAGGTTTGAGCAGGATAAAAAAGAAGAGTGGATCACCCGTTTTAATCTGATCCTTTTTTCTTTGTACAACCAGTTTTTAAGGTTCAAACAGATAAAATCTGACCAGACTGCTTCCTCACTGTTCACTAAAAAGGCATCAGGTATACTGACAGTGTAAGTTCCTAAAACCCATAAAGAGACTTACTGTTACCTTTGTCTCTGCATGATCTGGCTCATTTTCCACCTGAGCCAAAACCCTCAGAGGACTCCGGGGAACTTCCTCCTCATCTGAACTCCCCTCATCTCCTTCACTTTTCCTCAGAGAAGGAGGCCTCTGACCAAACTTGATTCCTTGGGCAATCTGCCTCTGTGTGATGGACAGAAAAGGAGAAACATTTTGCTTGCATGATGAAGGAAAACAGCTCAGAAAATGAGTGCACACTGCTTTGAAGCTCACCTGCAGATTCCTGACTTTATCCGAGACGTTTTCCTGCGACATGCTGTGATCCAGACCGGCCTCAGTTACCGGTTCCTCTGGAATGAAGATGCTGTCGTGGGAGAGAGCTCGAGATCCAATGGGATTCAACTCCCTGCAGGTTAAAGAGAACATGGTGAGGAGACGATAGAGGAGGATCAGGGGGAGAGTCTTCAGCGCTGCACTGTGTCATTACTCTAAGTCTTTCATTCATCTATCACGAGCCGGCTGCAGCGTCGCTCCGTTAATCATTTTACAGAAAGAAATGAATGACCTCTTTACACACCAGCAGTTCCAGCGTTTCAATTAAAGGCGTGTCGAGCCTTTTACAAGCACGTCCTCAACTGTCTCTGCACAGATTGTGTAACCACTGCTTTTATGAGCATTTCTCTGACTTTTACTTTCATTTTATGACAGAAAACCTTTGATAAGAAGGAGATACGTCAATCCTAAGTGTCTGTATTCATGCCCTATATCACTGATAAGACCTTTTATTGCAGCTTCATCAGTGACAAGAAACAAAAGCAAAAGTTTAGTCTCATTATGTGTAAATCAAATAAATCTTGCTCTTACCTCAGATTTTGATTTGCCTCCTCATCGTCAGATATGACTCCATTACACACTTCCCCGGTAGAAAAGCTCGCCTTCAGCTCTGCTCCATCAAACCCCCCCTGCGCCTCCCTCTTCTTCTTCTTCCCAAAGAGTCGTCTGAAGGGCTGGAATTTGCCCTGTCGCCTTCTCTCTGCCGGCCAAAAGAAAACAGATGACAACCACAGGGACATGCAATCAGGTCATCAGTCCTCATATCTCCCACCTCCAGCTGGGTCACGAGCAGGACGGTGCCGATGGGTGTGTTTGTGGTGTGTGGATGATGAAATGCCAGTGATTGAATTAAAAGAGGATAAATCAAAATAAAGCAGATGGGATGAGGAGAAAACCTTGGCTCTTTGGTTTGGTCTTAGAGGAAGAGGGGGAGATAAACAACTCGCTTAAAAAAGGAAACACCCACAGACACAGCAGCTTCGGAGAAGCTGTAAAGAATCCCTGAGATATTGGCTTAAAACAGGAAAAAACAGACCCATGATTGGTCTCCAGAGAGAGAGAGAGAGAGAAGAGTGGGGACTAAACCGCAACGACATCCTGTCTCTACACATGGCTTTAAGAGTTAAAGGGGAGGACTTGTTTTAAATTGAGCCTCATTTTTACATGTTTGTTTTGGCCGCAGCAGTTCAAGAGGCTGTATTAGTTCGGTAAGATCATCTCTTAAGGGTTCATTGGAAAGACCGATCACACTATTAAACACACCACCCTCTGCCCCCCTCACTATTTCATATAATTTCTAAGCTGTGCTAAATACTTGATTCTGATCGGTGAAATCTCATAGCAATTCTCAGCAGCCAAAGGGACACCAGGGGAAACCTGATCACACTTGTCAAATCAATCCAGAGGAAGGAGTCCAGCACACTTCCCCTCTGCCTGTTGACACTGTGGCATAAACATTTGTCTTTGGAGAGTCAGGAAATGATGACAGTAAGTGGGAACTAGAGATGATATAATTCTCAATATAATACTAAACAAGTCAGTAATTCATCCACGGTTCAATACTTGCTTATGAATTATGTCTTTTTTCACACAGTTTTACTACAAAAAGCTTCCCTGCATTTCTTCCCCAAGAGGAAATGTCAAATCACTAAGCGCTCAACATATGTGTGGTCATAATAGGCAAAGTCACTGCAGTCACATAATTGAGTAGCAGACTGTAGACTTCATAAAAAAAATTAAGATGTTATATTTTCAAAGTCAGAGTTTTCAGAGTCAACAAACTGGCTCCATATAAACCAGCCAAAGATGACCCTGCAAAGCTAACCTGGTCGGGACCAGGTGATTTTCAGAGTTTCATCTTTCACATTGGCTGAAAAGTGCAGTCCTCTTCAAAGTTTTACCTTCTATGAAATTAGGCAGCACAGTCACAGTGACACATGGCAACTTCCTGCATAATATCACAGCGATAGAGCCTTTGCATTCAGTTAGTGAGCTTATTTAGAATATTTACATGTACTGATTTATACATTTGATATCATATAAAACCCCCTATATATACAGCCTTATAGGTGCATCTATATGGCTTTAAAGAAACCCTTATGGATGATTATAAGCATGTATTTAAAGCATAAGCAGTGAGCATAATGCCTCATAAAGGTATAATGTGTTATGTATTATACCCTAATGCAAAAAAAAAAAAAAAAACAGCATCTTTTGAACTGGTGGTTAATAACACATAACTCGCACATCTTTACCTGATTATGAAAGTTCATCGAGGGCTTATTCTATGTTTTGTAAAAAAAAATAAAGTGATAACGTTTGTGGTTCTGAATTCAGGAAATGTCTTATTAAAACTCACAACTTGCTAAAGCATTACCCAGGGTGCTTTAAAGTGACAGCACTCTATGAGGTTATTAACAAATATATGTTCCTCTAAAATGTATGAGCAGTATTTTGTGGCTGTAAGTGAAGTGTTAGACAAAAATACTTCATAACAAGACTACATTTTTATAATTTTTTCTCTCTTGTGCATTTAAGGTATGATAAATTATAAATCAATAACCTTATAGGGCATTATGCTCACTGTTTATAACACTTTAACAATGGGATAGTAATTCCCATCTCTATAAGTCTGTTCATTTAAGTATTCAGAAATACTGGGAGTTCCCCTTTAATATCTAATGTGTTTCCTGTACCATCTAAATCCATGCAGAACTTTAAGATTTACAAGTTTATCTGTTTAAATCTGAAGGAAATAACTTTAATTAATATTCAGTGGCACATATTACAGCTAATTAGGCAGCTAAATTCTGTAATTTAACAGTAAGAGGGCCAATCCCTTTATCTGTGGTGAATTAGTATGAAACAAAGGAGGAGGCCTGTCTCTGTGACAACACAGTCAGATAAAACGAAGCAGCTGGAGCAGCTCTCAGCATCAGGAAATTAAGTTATGTAACCAACTTTGAACTCTTGGTCCCTGTCTTTACTCCTCCTCTTGTCAGTAAGTTATAAACCCTCAAATAAAAGAGGCTGGATCTTCCCTGGGGATTAGTCAGCACAATGTTTTTTAAAAGTCTGAACAGACATGCTCATTTATCCTCATAGCATGACAGCTTTGTTGGTCTGTGTGTTGTATTTGTGTGTGTTGTGGGGGTCCGCTGGCTGAACTAAGGTTGCATGGCTACTTGGCCACTTTACACCACGGCACAGACAGCGTTCTCAGGCTCCGTGTATCCCTTTCAGAGCTATAAGTAGCATCTGGTGTAGGGTTTCACTCTACATGCAAAGCATCATGGGAAGTGATACAGTAAACTAATTCCTCCACTTTTCAAAAGCATGTCTTAACCTATTATAACCCTGTCTTTAGTTTATAAAATGTCCCTGGTTTCATTCTGAAGGAATGATTTTCCCTCCCAAAACCACATCAGTTCTTTTAACAATCGATAAACATCAATCAACAGTAACTACAGCCCCAGACTGAACCATATCTCCTCACAGAAACTAGAGGGCCTGATTCATTCAAAAATTGAGTGGCTTTTGCTCCAGTTTAACCTGTGCAAATAAACCAAGACAACATTATCTAATCCACAATGCATGCACAGAGGGCTAGGCACTTCAGACTGTACCACTGTTGTTTGCATTCATTTAAACCATGCATTAAAGTGGATCTCATCTCCATGGCTGAGAGTTGGCAGTAGCTATGGCACAATATTTATAAGTGTGATTATGCCCAACATTTTTGGTGATCCGGACAAGAATTCAACCTCTGGATGATCTAGAAATAATATATTTGTACATAAAGTCTGTTAGTGATACTTTGACATGACTGAATTTATAATATTCAGGGGTTATAGCAGTCAGGGGCTCTCTGAACCCCTGTCATGGGTTGTCCTTTTTTTTATCCAAACAAGCCTCATTTTTGCTAATTTGCTCCAGGAGGAAGTTTGGTTTAAACTGGAAGAGTTGACAGTGACACCACATCTGGACTTGTCACTGACCTCTTAAAACATGCTCCCTCCTCATTGCTTAAACTGATGTGCACACTACCAGATAATAGTGTCATTGTCGCTGTAATTCCCCTTTTACAGTAAAAGTCAGCGAATTAAAGATAACTGGTTAACTTAAAAGATTATCTTCCAAAATAATCCTGCAATGTGAGATTTGCTAGAAGAGATTTTTCCCCTCTAATCTGTGCGGGAGATGATTAGAGCCTCTAAAATGTGTTTAATATTTAAGATCAGATACTGTATATGTGGGGGGGATCCCTGAGGATCCAATCACACACAGCCAATCAGAAACGGAGCTGACCAGGCAGCACAACAAATGCAACCAGGACAACGGCTGTAAACACAAAGTATAAACTGAGACAAACATCAGGAATGAAGAACTGGCTTGATGATAACACGAGTGCTTACGTGTTCGGTAAAACACATGACCAGAGGAGATGTTGAAAATAAATAACTTCTTCTACTACATCTGCTACTTCAGCCGATATACCCAGTAGCTAAGCAGCCAGCAGTGGTTGGCTTCCATACTCTACTATGTTTGTTTACTCTAAAGACTGTGAAAGACTTTATGAGATTTCACATTATGAGAGTTTGGATTCTAGTCTTTATGGTCTTTGAGTGTCTTTATGTGTTCATCACATTGCTGCCCATCTCACACAACAGGAACAGAAGTGTTAAATGTGTCATTGTTTGTCATCATGTGTGGGCTCTCTGATGTTCTCAAATTTGGTTGAAATTTTAGAAATATTTTTTACATATTTTGTTGTGCCAGTCTTTAGTGACAGGAATTTAGTGCTGTCAGGATGAGAGCGCACAGGACAGCTCTGTGCAGCAGAGTAGTGATGCTCACAGCTCATCTCCATACTCAGACACAAAACAAGAGCAAACAACACAGAGCTGCAACTGTTTGGAGTGTTTTTTTGCACTTCAGTACTGACTGCTTTGTGTCCTTTGAGTATTTGACTGCAAGACAAAGCAGATAAGTCAATGATGAGTAAATCTTGGTGCTTTTAGCCGCTGCAACCCGTTCTCAGTTTATCATTACAGATTTAAGTTGCACCTTACAGTATGTGCAATTCAAGATGGGAACTTTCTGTCTGGGCAGACATACATGTATGTTATTGATTGCTTTTAATAAATTTGAGAAACTGCATTTCTTTCTTACAAAGTTTATACTTCTTGTATATTTTTGTTTATAATAAGGAGCTGAAAGTGGAGGATATTTGGCGTCTCTTTCTCTTCAGTGGTGGCTTTAACACTTCTGCCTCTAAGTATCTTTCTTCCAGACTGTATTTAACACACTCAGGTTGGTAGTTTTCAGCTTTTATGAGATGTTATTTCTGAATTTAATCCTGTCTTTCATATTTTTAATCCCTTTTTCCACTTTCAGTTTTATCCTTTTTTTTCTTTGAGATTGTCCAGCCATATTTAAGACCTCAGTGTCTATTTTAGGGACAAAGACCTCATACATATATGCTATTTATAAATGTGTGTGCTTTATGCAGGGCTACAACTATTGCTTAATGCTGTGTTAAAATAAACTTGTAAAGTTTTGACAATTCACCAACTGCTTCACTCTCTCCCATCAACACTGAGCTGTTCCACTGGGTGCTCCCTCCTGGCCTGGAGCACCTTTTGTGATGGCTGATAGGCAGCATTTGTTTTATGTAGGGATGCATGATATTGGATTTTTGATGATATCTGATATACAGATATTTTTGAACTAATTTCATCTGAAAAAAATATAGAAACCAATCTAAGTACACTGTACCCTTCAGCTGATTATCAAGCATAATGAATTCAATGATTTTCTCTTTATGTGTCCCTGCTATATTTCTAAACTGAATGACTGAAGTAAAGGCTCCTGACAGGTTTTTGTTCCCACTTTTTTCATCCACAACTTAAGAGGAAATTTTTGCTGCTGTCCAGAGGGATAATTGTTTACAATTTAATTGGTATTGTTAAAACAGTGTTACACTGCTTCTCCTCCCATCACATGCATTTCAAACAACTATTTTTCTGTTTGCTTGTGGCACTTCCAACTACATTCAGTGTAAACATTATGCATAATAATAAATATAGTAACATACTTCATCATTTTCTAAATTAGCTGGAATTTACATATCTGCTGATACAGATATTGTGCATCCATTGTCTTCTGCATGTGTTTTCTGGATTTGTATGTTTTGCATTTTTGATTACATTTGCAACATTTTTGCTGATAATGCCGTTGTTTTTGTTTTCTACAGCAGTTTTTTTAATTTTTGAAATCCATTAATTGTTTTGGACTTTTGCATCTATTTTTACATCTGCAAAGGTTCCACATTTGAAGTCTGTTTCTATCTAAGGACATTGCTTGATTGCTCCTGGCAGTCCATGTAGTTTTAGGTGAAAGGAACTGCACACTAACAGGTTTTTTAAAATGTATTTAAAATGTCAGCGAGCCTTTCTCATAGTGTGTTCAAAAATATATTTACATCTGTTTTTAGATATTGCTGAAGTCAAATAAAAGTCTCTCATAGAGACTCCTGACTCTTATCCTCACTGTGTGCAGTGAGTGATATTTCTCTGTGACACTCATGTTCTGTTTCCCTGCAGCACGCTTACCCAGCATCACTGTTTTTACTCCAGCACAAAGCACATAATGCATTGCCACGGGCCTGCACACACACACTCAGGCGTGAAACCAGAATGGACAATTTTTCCTGCAGCGTAGACGACTGAGCGAGGCTAACTCTGACTTTCTGTGTGTGCTTTAAGTGCGGCGTGTTTGGATTGTGATCCTCTGGACTAAGACCCTGCTGGTGTTTCAATCTAGATGTCAGATCAGGGAATATTTTGCAGCTAGTGAGGGCAGATTAATAAAGTAAGAAACAGCAGAAGCCTGACTAATTTATAGCACCTCAGTTAGAATGCAGCAGCTACAGTCCTCATAAATGAGTTAAATTCAGGACGAGTCCATAAATGGATTTGATAATGGAAAGTTTTTCATCTTGTTGAGTGCACTTGTTTGCTTTTATAGATGAGTCTAAGCAGTAAATCAATAATATCACCGTCTGTTCAGTTTGAAATCACCCCTTACCATAGCCTACATTAGAACTACAACGGAGGAACAGCTAGCCAAACCACTTTTACATTAACAATTTTTTTTTTTTTTAATTTGGGGGGGCGAGACGAAAACAACGGAGAAATTCGACCATTTACTACTTGACTTTTGAAGTTGCCCTCTGCTGGACATGAGAAATAAGACACTTCCACTTTACCTTTACTACTAAGAGAGTTGGGTTGACTTAAAATGAAGTCAATAATTTGCAGTTTTGTTTGTAATCTTTAGACTAATATGTTTCAGCTCTGGATATGGTCTTAACCACTGTTGTAGCTGACAAGTGCAACATGCTTTACTCCGATTTTCAAGAGGTGCAAAAAGTGAATTTAATTTGTGTAGTACACTGATACAGCTGGACCTGTTTTTAAGGGTCCATCAGTGTCAGTGCATTTATCATGATGCAATTTAGTCCAAAATTAACCTGCTAGTTTTATAATTGTTTATAATTTTATTTCCATTTTGGCCTTGCAGCAGAAGATAACAGCACCACTGCACCTTTGAACAACAGACTCTACCTTTAAAAGCTCTATGAAAGCCAAGTTGACAAAGTGATCTGCATTTTGTGTCAAACTGTTTAAAACACAACCAAAGTACCACCTATGAACTATTCTACAAGGCAACTAATCAGACTGACATTAAGGAGCAATCATGTCAAAAGCTGACAAAGCACCATTTCAGAGATGATGACTCACAGACCTTTTGCTGAAACTAGTGAACTAGTCCTGGCTAAGAAATCCAAAATATTTTAATAAACCTCTTCAAAACACTTTCTTTTACTTATTTTACTTTTTTGCGCAGCTATAATTAGTGCAGCAGAAATATTTCCTCTATTGTTTTAAATCAGAATTTTGTTTTTTGTCGTCTTTGTTTTTAACTCCTCATCACTATGCGTGTTTTTGTTTTACGCCTCTACATAAAAGTGTCATTGCCCCTTTATTTACTCTGCTGATGACATCTTCCCCTTACAGGTTCGTATCAGCACCTGGTTAAGTTTAAAGCACAGAAAGATTACATCTTAAAGAGTCCAAAAAGTGATCACAGAAGAAGACACAGCACACCTCTAATCTATGCAAACCCATCACCACAGCAAACACTTCTTAAAGAGACAGTAACATATCACACTAAGGTCATTTCATCCTTAGCATGTGACTCAGTTTTCATACACTGTCTCTTTAAGATGTCTGTAAAAACATTATTTTTCCTATTTACCTGGGCCTTTGGATTCGGTTACCTCTAAAAGCATGTCATGCTTCGTTTCCGTGGCGTCAGTTGCCATGGTCACTGCACACCTTGGCTGTGGTGAGAGAGGGAGGAAGTGAAAGTGATGCGGGGATACTGTTATTTTCTTTAAAGGAGGTGAAAGAAGTGAGTGTGAGCAAAGAAGAGAGAGAAGAGAAAAGGAAAAAGCTGCAGTCAGCCTCTGAGATCTCTCTTTTGTTATTTCGCTCTTCATCCCCTCTGGCATCATCATCAAAAAGCTTGGCTTCCAGAATAGCTCATGGTGATTGGCTCGATAAAGACGCTACTGTTTTAGAAGGAAGATGAGCCCTCTGAGGCGTCTCTGTTTCAGCTTTTTGGTGTGGCAGCAGGGCCAATGAAAGGTCAACTGTACGTCTGAAAGAAGGATAAAGATCTGAGGGGATGGGGATGCAGATTTCTGCGGCAGATCGGACTGAGGTCTAGATTCACAGCAGGAATAATCACACGGACCACATAAACCAGCTCTTGTTTAGATCTCATAATCCAACAACAAACCCGAGACTGCCTCCTGAAGTTTAAAACACATGCCTGCAGCACAGCACATTAGTGGAGCCAGAGGTTTTCTAATGTTCTGCAGAAACAAACAAAACCACAAGCAGCTAAGGCCCCACTTTAAAAACCCAGAGAGAGAGACAGTACTGAGGGAGGAGGAGAGGAACCAGCGCGCCATGGGCCTCCTTCCTGAGCTGTACAGACTCTCTCAGAAATGTCTCTCCTCCTTAAAAAGGCTCTTTGTCCTGCGTGACTCCAGCCAGCGCAGAACAAGGAGCGAACAAGCATGTTTGGTAGTGTGAAAATAGAGAGAGTGTGTGACTGTCTGCTGGTGTAAAGAGAGGCACTATGATTCTCCTCTGTTTGTTTGTTTGTTTGTCTGTTTATTTTCTCGTGTTGGCTGCAGGTCCAGATGATGAGCGAGTGTCTCTTTTTTGTGTTTTTGCTGCAGAGGACAGACTTTGGAGCAGCCTGAGATGGGATGAGAGAAGCACGAGGAGCGGCCATGTGCTCAACAAAAGCAGAGAGAGACGTCTTTGACAGGGATACAGCTGCATCAGAGCACGATGCTGCAGCCCAGCAACGTCTGATGGAGACACAGCTCTGCACCCAGCGGCCCAGACAGCCACCAAATCCCAGCAGCATGGCTTTAGCAGGCGGCTCAGTGCCATAACTGTACAGCACATGTAGCTTGCTGACAAAGCAGACAGACGGACGGTGTAGCTGTGTTAGGGTTTACCTATTTCAGCAGCACAGCTCGAGATGGCTGCACACCACTGCAGTAAAACCTTAGGGAACATCGATCTGCTCTTTTGCACAGAGCTTGTTTTAATCAGATCCTCCGATGTGGCTTTGGGAGAAAGCGTGGAATAAATACAGAAAACAAAAGCAAGTTTGGGTTTGTTAGGGCTGTTAGCATCAGAGTGAAAAACATGAGCAGAATGGAGAGCGACACATGGAGGGGATGGATGAGGAAGCAGAAAAATGAGATATATCAGGATGAAAACAGAGAGTAGACCAAAACAACGCCTCACAGACACCAACGACTCTGGATACCATCACAACATGTGAGCAGCAGCCGACGCCGGAGGAGACAAACACGATACAGAATCAGTTCACACAACAATCCTTCATCACCACAAACAGACGGAGACAGTTCAGCTGGAGCAAACACCAAGTGATGTGGACACCAGGTCACGTGCACAGGGAAGAAGACGCTACATACAAATACACCTGTTATTTAACACACTTTACTGTGCAGAGACGGGCTGATTAAAAACAAACATGGAGGATACACATCAGAGGAGTGTGGTAATTAATCATCAGTCTCACCACTGCTGCACAAGCTGTGGGCTGGTCTCCTCATGGCTGTATTACAACAGTAATCCTGTTTACGTGCTCCTGACCGGTCTTCTGATTTACTGGTAACATTACCTTCCTAATACAACCCCCATTCCAATCAAACTCAGATTTAGATGGTTTGCAGATCAATTAAAATTTAGTCAAAAATAGTACCAGACCAAAAAAATCAGAGGTTGAGACTGAAACATGTTCTTGTTTAATGAAAAATATATATCCTCATTCTAAATTCAACCCCTGCAACAAGTTTCAAAACAGTAGAGACAGGAGCTAAAAATGCTGAAAGAGTCGTGTGATGCTTAATAAACAGCTGGAGGAACATCTCACAGCAAATGAGGTTTACCTTCAACAGGTTAGTAACATGATCTATAAAACATAATATCACTCAAAGATTCAGAGAATCTGGAGACAAGGACCAAAACCAAGACTGGATGGACCTGATGTTCAGGTCCTCGGGCAGTGCTGCATAAAAAAAAGACAGGACTCTGTAGTGGAAATCTCTGCATGGGCTCTAAATCACTTCCAAAAACCATTATCTGGTTAAAACTGAACAAGAGGAAACGAGTTATAAACATGATCCAAAAACACCAGAGACTTCTCTGGACCAGAGTCCATTCAAGATGGACTGAGGGGAAGAGAAAAACTGTTTCTGGGGTCTAATTCATCAAAATTTGACATTCTCTTGGAAATCATGGACACTGGGTCCTAAAATATAGAGAGTATAACAACCATCCAGCTCATTATCAGCTCTCAGTTCAAAACCAGTATCCCTGATAGTACAGGGATCATAAGTATCCATGTCACGAGTGGGTGACTCATCTGTGAAGGCTCCACTAATGGTGAACAATATCTCCAGGTTTAGGAGCAACATCTGCTGCCATCCAGACAAAGACTTTTTCAGGGAAGACTTCCTTTTTTTTAGAAAGACAATGACGAAACACATTCTGCAGGGATTACAACAGCATGGCTCTGTAGTAGAAGAGTCCTGCTGCTAAACTGGTCTGACTGCAGTCAACTATTGAAAACATTTAGAGCATTACAACACAAAAAAATAGGATAAAGGAGACCCTGAAGTGTTGAGCAGCTGAAATCCTCTATCAGGCCAGGGTGGGACAACATTTCACTTTCTCAACTCCAGAAACTGATCTGCTGGGTTCACTAACACTTAAAGACTGTTGGTAAAAGAAGAGCTGATGCAACTATATGGCAAACAGGACTCTAAACCAACTCCTTTGACACATTGCTGACAGCAAATGTAATATTCATACATTAAGAAAATTCAGTTTCAGCATTCGACATGTTGTCTTTGGACTATTTTCAGTTCAACTTGGGCTTTAAATGATCTGCATATCACCAACTGTCTACAGTTCAACTGCAGGTCTTTATAGAACCACAAACACTTTTTAAAATTAAAGTGTTGACTGGCAGCTAAGTATTAACCAAAGTGTTTGTTCTTATGCCTGCAATGTTATACCACTGACAGACACTTTAATTATGCAGTTTGTTTGAACCTTCAAATTTTGCATAAAGTGATGTAAAGCTGACAGCAAACTTTGACCATTCACGTCTGTTTTCAGAACTAATACTCAGTTTTCACTAAAGCACCCACATGTCTTCATGTTTTACTTGTCAGCCCCTCCCACCTTTGTACCAGACAGATTGTACAGTTCACAGAAATCGAACATGTGCAGGTTTTGTTTGAGCTAATGCTAACCATGTGTCAGTTCGTCAGAGTCAAACCTGCATCAGCTTCTCTGTGAGCTGAGGCAGGATGTGAGGATGAGATTAAAGCTGCCTGCAGACTTCTCACATCTGCTTCTTTACAGATCAAACTCTGCTCCTACACCTTTCTGATGTTCAGATTTATGTAACGAAGAGAGGACCGAGCTTGTAAATTGTCTGCTGACAGTTTTGCGTGACTGTCTCTGCCACCTTTTATTTCTAAACTAAGAGTGTTAAGAGACTCTTAATAAGCTCCACTTGGCCTGTATTTACACATATCACCTCCAACTCCATCAGTGAAAGTCACCCTCTTACTCTATCCTCTCCCTCCACATGTGGGTCAACCCAAATGCTTGTAAAAGTTTTGTTTTGGTTTCCTGTTAACAATACATGCATGCAGAACCTGAAGTTAGTGCAACTACTTAGACTCAATTGCTTTTTCCGTCAAGATAAGGTCTAAAAACTCTACCAACTAACTAACTCTACCACTGAGCCACAATTTTCCTTAAAGTAACAGTCTTTTTCTGAACTCAACTTCTGTTTGGACAATATTTCACTGGAAAATCTTCTGCCACAAGATTTGTCACACATTCAAGTTCATTTTAGTTTCAATTTTTAAGAACAATTTGTATGTGAGGAATCTGCAGGTTTGCTGTCTGCAGGAAAAATAGTATGTATGGAGAGCAAAAGCAGGAGGAACACGGTCCATCGTGATGGTATACCAGCTCCCATCAACAATAATCTGTGAAGCATTTATTTACCTCTATAAAGTGATATTTTGGGCACAGATGGCCAAGTAATCTAAGCCAACCACATACACAGGCTATAGACCTTATTCGACCGGGTAGCAGCTAGTTTGATTCCCCCCCCCCCCCCCCCCCCCCCCCCACTCTCCACTCCCTGCGTTTCCTGTCTCTTCAGCTTGAAGGGAATATTGAAATATTTTCAAATGCAGCAGTACGCTATAAACGCACAGCTGAGAAAAAGCCTCTTCATAACTATATATCAGGTACCTGCCATAGTTCTGGGAATGTATCCAGACATAGTGGTTGCACTTGCTGATTGGACCTTTGGCCTTGGCAGAGATCTGCACCCTGTTAGGTCCTCTCTGGTACCTGATATATTTTTGTTTGGCTCAGACTCGTGGACAGTCCCACTGAGCAGCATTTTCTACCCTGGAGCCGCACTGCAAGCATGGCTGCAAACATGTTTAACTGCACAAAACAAACAGCGGCAGCTATCAGAGCATTACTGCAGGTCCAGCAGGCCTGCTGCAAACATGTCCTAATGAATCATAAAATGTTCCTCTCTGTTCAGACGTGATGCTGTAAGATGTTCTTGGCATTTGCCTCCGCTCTGCATGTCAGCAGGGGAGAAACAATGGATTTCAGAGTGACACGCTACATGTATCACATGACCGTGGTTACATTTTCCACATTAGCCACAGTTAGCTGACAGCGCTCAAGTCTGCAAACAAAGAACAGAGAGCCCTTCTTCTCCCACCTGAGCATCTCAGACACAAACACTGAGTGGTGATTTCACAGCTGATATAAACCACAGAAACAGAAGTAAAGTCATATTTTCACACTTCACTAAATCAGCCTGAATAACACAAGCTGCTGTACACAAAGAACAAGTAAACACACAGGAGGAATGAATGCAATCTCCAGTTCAAGTCAACCTACAAACATGACAACAGTGTTTGTAATTTTCTGTGTAAGAATGTTTTCTTACCGTTGTGCAGCCGCTTTGGTGCGAGGGGATCTGTGAGTGTGTGGCCGTTCCACCTGCCTGCTGTCACTGTGGATCTAGGGCATTACCTGGAGTCAGGTGTCAGATGCAGAGAGGACTAAGGTGTGTGTCTGTGTGTGTGTGTGTTGATGCATGTGTGTGTGAGGGCATAAAAGAGAGTGGCGGAGGAGGCATCCCTTGATATTCTCAGTTTGATAAAAATTTGATCGCTGCAGTGCCGTCCTCAGAGCTGCTGTCAGTGTGGGTCCTCGGGTGCAGATGTATGTTGGAGGAGAGCACATGCGGCATGTGAGGGAAGGAGGTGTGTCTGCAAGGAGCGCAGAGTGAGGAGAGATGGGCGTTCTCCTGTGTCTGTTAGTGCTGCTGTGCTGAGGAGGCACAAAGTGACACTTTGTTTCTCTGTCAGAGAGTCGGTGCAGAGGAACAGAGCGGCATTCAGCATTTCAACCGGCTGATGCACACAAAGGCTTTCATTGTGGGTCAACTGTAAGCAACCGTGCACATGTTTGATTATAATGGTCTGTAATGTGGTTCACCACAACTGTTCTTCAGTATTATGGTTACAGATTCTACAGAGCTCTAGGACCTACACACAGGTGGAGACTGTAGCTGAAGGATGTGACAAAGAATATCGTTCATTTTTTGTGTATCAGTCAGAATTTATCTGTATTTCCAGAGCAGATTATATAATTATGTTGCCAGTTTGAAAAGTATCCTGATTAAAACCAGGCTGGACTAAACTTACTATGTGATTAATTTGTCTTCTCAGATATTTCAGGCTTCCTTTACTGCTGTTTTCTTTTTGTTCAAAAAATAAATGGAGGGGGAAAAAAATCAGTCTTTTGAGAACGCAGGGTGTCAGGAGGGGCTGCGCAATGAGCTGCCACTAAGAACATAGCCTAGGGTTAAGTTAAGAGTCCAATTATAATTGTTGGCAAAAGTCACTGTCTCTTAGAAACCTATGTTGTTAGGTTAGGCCTTTGGTTTTCATCCGAATTGTGGGCAAATGTCTCCTCCACTTCAAAACTATTATGACTAGTGTTGAAATAACAGTCAAAAAAATGTAGCTTTTTGCAGATAAGGGAGGGAGAGAGGGGCTGTGCACTGAGTTGCTGCTTACAAAAAAAGTTTTAGTTTTAGGCCAATATTACATCAGTGTTCATCATAATTGTTCCCAAAGGTCTCTACCTTTCAAAACCCATTTTTCTGGGCGTGAAATAAATCATAAAAATAATAAAGCCTTCTGAGTCCGTGCGCAGAGCTGTTGCTCGCATTCCCACAGTTTTAGGTTCAGATTCTTTCAGTGTCAATCCAAATTGTTGGCAAAGGTCTTCTCCTCTTCAAAGTGAATCCCCCTGGTACTAAAATAAGTTTAAATAATAATAATAACAATATAAAGAGGAAGAAGGAGAAGAAGAATGCTAGCTGAGCTGCTACTATGGCCAGCTTTGTGTAGAGTTAAGGCTCACGTTGGGGTTCAATGTTTACAAGGCTGAAATTTTGTGATAAAACACAGCCCTGCATTTGATTCAAAAGTTCATGTTTTTTACAGCCCTCCCATGTTGACGAACAGCATTCAGAGGGGCTACGATCTGAGCTGTACAAAGACATTGATTCCTTTTTTAGGTAAAGATTCCTTGAGTATTTATTTTTCACATGCTTTTTAGTAGAAGTATCATCCCCATCTAGCAAAACAGGGCAAGAAGTAAACCACTGTAATGCAGTCCTGACATCTGCAGTAATCTGAAGACAATTTAGCTGCATACAGACATCTGCATACATGTGCAGCAAAGAATCTGCTTTCTGACCGTGTTTGTCTACTCCAACTCAATTTCTGCATCTGAGGGTCTCGGTTTTGAACATGGGCAGTGCACAGATGTAGGGGCCTTAGCTAGGAGTCCTTAAATGCTAACTGCTGCTACACATGGAAGCCATGAAAAATCAGCTTTGGCTGCCAGATGCTATAACTTATTCTAATGACAGCTGAAGAATGTAGAGTCTGACTAAAGCTCCTCAAAGGTTTCCACTCTCATACAAAAAGACTCGGTATTTGAAGTAAAACTCTCAATAAAACCATACCCCACTGAAATGACTCTGGTGAGATCTTTGGTTTTAAAGCAGTAAAACAGGCTGCAGGCTGAGCCACCACCAATGTTAGTTCAGTTTTAAGGTGAGAGACTCCATCAGAGTAAATGGTTTACAACCTTTCTTCTGAAGACAAGAGTTCTTCTCTTCTCCAAAACAAACAGACCCCAGATTTTATGAAGTTGTGTTGCTTCCAAAATCCTCTCAAGGATCTTTGGGGGGCTGCAAGCTGAGCTGTCACAAATAACCATAGACTGTATACAGAATGGACGCCATCTGCCTCCTCACTGGGTAAAGCCACCCTGAGAACAGCATCCTCTGGTGACATGCTGCCTCCTCCAGCACTCCGGATGGAGCTGTGGACAACCTTCAGAATTTATGACACAGAATATACATTTTTCTCACCCCTACTTGCAATGTTGCCATGTAGTTATTGTAAGACTGGTTTGTGCTCAAGTCCTCTTTTTCTGTACAGCTCCATTTTTAAAAGTTATTGCGGGGTTCATGTTTTCTATGATTGACACTTGATTCGACCTATGGGTGTACAAAGTTTGCTTAGCTCACCCGGGGGATACGCTGTTTGAGCTGAGCATCAACACAGCGACTTTTGGCAATTCTCCCGCCGAATGCGTACAATGTTACTGCTCAAGTGGTGGAGTGTGTACAACGCTACTGCACAATGTTGGTTTCAGGAAGTGGAGAAAAAATGCAGAATTACCAAGAGCTTTAGGGCTTCAAATCCGCATACTGGCAAGTTGGCCATAGTATATATATATATGCTAATAACTCAATTTAAGGTGAGTATTCCTGCGTTGTTACATGTTTACAATCCTTTTTTCTGGTCATCAAATTATCCACATATTTCTCCTCCAAAACAAATGGACCACTAGCTATAGCGATAGAGTAGTTTTGCCTCTTACATGTTCTGAGGCTTTGGGGGCTGCAAGCTGAGCTGTCACAAGAATTTTCTGATCCCTCTTCTTTCTTGACTCATAGCCTTTGACTGTAACTTCAAATTCCCACAGATTCCTTGTCCAGCAAAGATAAACAACTTCTAGAAAGTGCGAGAACATGTGCTGCACAGTAAACATTTTTTCAGTTGTAAAAGTTTTGATGTTTGCTATGAGCTATAATCTTCACTCTGACAAGTTGTTGTCATGTGTTGGCTGTGTGATTGGCTGTGTAATCTATGGGTACTGTGTGAAAATGTGTGGATGTGGAAGAACACACATTCACACGAGTGGTTTAAATATCAGCCGCCATGTCTTGAGACTGTGGAAGCCCCTGTAAGAAGCTCATTTTCTGGTTGTGATGTCGAATCATATGTCTGTGTGCATCAGCACTGTGAGTGTTATTAAGGCCAGCTCCCCCACACCCTGTCTCCAGTTTTGGCAGCTTCACACTGCAGCCTCTCAGGGATATGGTAATGATGGGGCTTTACCATCCTGGAAGCCGCCTATAATACAGCAGCAGAGCACTTCAAAGACAGCCTGCTGTGTTTGTGACTGACTGTGAGCAGAAATAGAAACCCCCCAGCGAAGACACAGCAGAGACATGTTCTCACACACAAATCCACGTCCACACGTGTTCAAATGCAGACAGTACAAAACACTAGCTGCATTTAATGACACTGTGGTAGTAACATAGTCATTCATATTTCTTATGTTTAAAACAGCTAAATGTAAACATCTAAATATGTCTGTTTCTTTTTAAATCGGACATTGTATCTTCACATGAAGACTTCAAAATTATAATTAGAATTTCCTTCTAGAATTAATAAATTATCTATCTATCTATCTATCTATCTATCTATCTATCTATCTATCTATCTATCTATCTATCTATCTATCTATCTATCTATCTATCTATCTATCCATCCATCCATCCATCCATCCATGTGGTAAGCCAAAAACAACCCTGTTTATGATCAGTCAATCAAGTTATTTTAATGTTCGATCATTGCATACATATTTTTAAGATAAGATGAGATGTTCCTTTAAAAGTTCCATGGGGGGAAAATTCCAAAAATGTATTTATGAAATTTATTACAAAAACCGTTGTATCGCAGTATGTTATGTATGCAGTATGTTGTATCGTTGTATTCTGAGAGCCCAAAGTGACACCTATAAAGTGCCTCTTGGTCCAACTAACTGTCCATAACCAAAGACTGTTTTGAAGTCACATAACTGCCTAATTTTTTTAACTATAAGACATAAAGACAAAAAATGTTTCCCAGAAGTCTTAGTGGCAATCTGTGCATCTTCATACGGTCTTCATCCCGCTGGATCTCATCAATATTTTTGGAAAAAGACAGAATACGAACTGTCTTTAAAGCCTTTGACATGTCCTTTAATAAATTCTGACACTATCAGTAGTAATTCTTATCAAATACAAACCACCAGTATATTATCAAAAGCAGAGATGTGTTACATTAAAGTGCATATTATAGCAGAGTTGATGAAAACTTGCATCACTCTGAATAATGAGGGCACACTTCATAAGAGTAAGAATATAATTACAACACCATGTCTGACATAGAAAAGTGCTATAAATTTTAAAGTTCAAAAGTAAAGATGACACCAAAGTTCATCATAGAGTTTAAGCAGCATAAATGTTGAGTATTTGTCAAGGAAAGCCAAATCTGTCTGATTTTAAGCCTCAGAAGTTTAATATTTTTGGGTCCCCTCCACCTGCTTTACTCAGTTTTTGAGTTGTGAACAAAACAGAACATTTGGGTACATATGCTTTGAGAAACTCACATCGATACTTTCCACTGTTTCCAAAGTGTCTTCCAATAAAGTCAACAGCCTTCAAACTCTGGTGTCATTTCCAAAATTACCCTTACACAGATGAGCGTATTTTAATGTTATTTGAATGACTGCTACTTAACTCTCACTTAGTTTCTGTCCTCAAGAGAAGAAGAAAACAGCCTTTAAAATGTTTGTTGAATGGAGGTCAAATTCATAAAATTCTTGCGCTGATTGTCTTTTGTGACATAGTGCCAAGAAGATTTAGAGCGCAAGTGTAAATGTTTGATCTAGAACAGATTGTTGGCTGATAGCTCATGCAGATATCTGTTCATAGAGAGAAATAAATCCTCCTCAGATTACCAATGATGGGAGCTGGGATGTCATTACAGTGGATTATGTTCCTCCTGCTTTTACTCTCCATACTGTTTTTCCTGCAGACACCAAACCTGCTAATACCTGGTAGGAGATTGAATGTAAGAATAGAGATTACACAAAGTCACATTAAAACATCCCAGATCCTTGGCCTGGCTGTAGTGCCCCTCACTTCATCTTGCCTTCAATTTTTGACTTACTCTGTGACTACAAATCAATGGACATTAAAATCTGCAGAAAGAACAGTGAGTCAGACGCTCTGATTAAAATCACAGCCGTAGCTGCAGCCATGTCCGAGGTCAGGCAGTGATAAATGACTCAGGAAAAATGGACGCTGTCTGGGAATTCACAGATGTCGGAAAACATGTTCATCAGTCACCAGTAGGGTGTTAATAACTCTGTCACATTTCTGTTTACTGTGAGAGGATAATACAAAACGTAGCTCTAGACAGTGAGATTACAATGCTAATCTCACAATCTCTCAGTAGTAGAGAGCACGAGGGAGAGACATGCAGCAAATGATCGAGGCTGGAAAACCAGTGATTGCTGTCACAAGGGCTGAAGCCTTGTAGAGCAAATGCTTAAACCTTGGGATCAACTGGCACTCAATGTATGACAACTTTCAGTTGACAAGTTTTGGAAATTTTCAAGAAAAAAAAAAAGATTAATAAATTTTTAACCAAAATGTTGAGAAATTCCTTCAGGAATTGTCACCAAAAAAATTTAAATTCTTTCTTTAAGAACTATTTGATAATTTGACGGAACCTTTGATGAATGAATGGAAAATTTTCATTGGAGTTTTCATTCCTGACATTTGTCTGAAACTTTCCTCTTAAAAACTTTAAATTTTTTATTGGAAACGTACTCAGATCTTGTCATAACAAAGTAACTGAAGACGTTTCTGTGAAACTCATTTTTTCATTCAAAAATATTCTGATACTGTGAAACTTCACTACATTGTCATGGGATATGCCCTGGCATTTTTTGGGGACTTAACCATGCAAAGTTTTGAAAATTACCACGGTTTTCACTGTTGAAACTTTCAAGAAAATTTCAAGAAATTTTTCTAGGTTTTCTGTGAGAAAACTTAAAATTTTTGCTTCAAACTTTCAAAGAATTTCTTCTTAAGATTTAAAAGTTTTTATTAGAAATACCCAGATATTTTTGGGCATTTTGGTGGGAGTCGTTTTTTATAAATTTCATTCAGAGGATTCAGGGAATTATCAGTGCAAATATCTCAGATACCGTCATTATACTTATCAGAGCATACTCAGGAGAGAATTTGAGAATTTGCTAAAATTTTGCCTCAATATTTTCAGAGATTTCTGGCATTTTTATTGGAAACCTTCATAGAGTTTAAGAATTTTTAATCATAAGGATTTGACCGATGTTTGTGGAAATATGTTAAAATAAATTTGAGGGAATTTTTTTTTTTTTACAGAAATCATTGGTGAAAACTTTGTTTTTCTTATTAGAAACTACTTCTCTTCTTACTGCCAATATTTATGTAAATTTTATTGCTACAATAACTTTTTTCTGCTAGCTTATTAACATTTTTAACCAATGCAATCTTTCTTTGATGGACCACCTTTTTATGCACCTTCACACACTTGACACACTTTATACCTCACTTACACCTGATTCTCTGTTTAGTTTTTCTTATTTTTTAGCCAGAGCATTACATTTCCTTGTTTTCGTCAATGTCAATCTTATCAGAGATGAGAGTCTGAATTGAATATTGCAGCACTTTTTTAATAAATCAAACTGACATTTTTCTCTTATTTGTTCTGCAAAGTCTCAATATGTTCTGACTAAACCATCACACACCTTCTGTTCGCAGCCTCACTTACACCAATCTGTCAGTAGGTGCATGTAACTCAGCAGCCAACCCAGTCCACTACAGCGGCAACAAACCCACCAGTACAACCAGCAATACCACCATCACCATCATCAGCACCAGCAGCAGCACCATGAGCAGCAGTAAGTGCATCCATCCCTGGCTCTGTGCCATCTGCTCTGCCTCCTCTCTGTCTCCGCTCACACACTCCGCTGACGATGACAGTAATGCAGCATTGATTTAAAAGCCTTTAAATGACGCGTGGAAAAATAAATCAATCATTTCATTTTTTCCTTCCCGCACATGCAGGCCCGCAGCATATGGCCTGTGCGTGGATTTCCAGCTGACACAGACACAGAGAGAGAGAGCATCGTGACATTTCTCAGGCTGATGGTGTGTCGGCTCGGATCTGTGTATTGAAAGGGTGCATGCACACACAGGGCTGAGGCGCAGATCAATACGGCACCGTTAATGGCAGATTAGCGGACGCTGGCACACTGGGATTACGCTCTGTTAATTGCGGAGTAGAAGGCGCACGAGAACAAAGAATATGGCCTTTTGCTTTCCCTCATATTGTCACACATAAAACCAAAAAGGCGCCTCAAAGATTGGCATCGGTTGAGGCTCGATCAGATATGACGATTAATCGCTTCTTGGCCTGTTGACATCAGCGTTTGCGCATTTCAAGTCGGATGAAATTGCAAGTCCTAGCCCGTAGACATACACACACTTCAACACACACACATACACACGAGGATGGATGTGAGCGGGTCAATGAGGAATGAGAGGTGGGAATCAGAGACAAGGTCATCAGCGTGGTGAAAATGGACACAGATCAGCAGAAAGACAAACAATCGAAGAGACAGAAAAGCAGAAAAATGTCTCCACCTTGCTCCTTCACGCTCAGCTCCAGCGGCTCCGACCCTTTTGTGTGGCTGATGCTGCGGGTGCCCGACAGGGAGACGCACGCACCGTCAGTCCAGCACAGCTGCACGCTTTACAGCGATGGGAGGGTGTGGCTGCGAGAGGAAGAGGAGCGGAGCGGCGCGAGGCGGCGGCGCAGTGCCAACATACGAGCACGTTACTGGGACGTAAGCTCGTGCGTTTTCGGAAGTAGGCTGAATAAAGGAGCGAGCAGCTGAGTCGAGGAGTGGAATAAACAAACAAACAGAGAGTCTGTGTCACTGAAAGGGTTAATCTGCAGAGAGGTGGATGTTAATGCTTTAATGTCCCTCCATCTCTCTGCCTCTGCCTGAGTCTGATACACAGCAGCTGCTTTCTTTAACATTGTATAATGATTCACCTGCGTGAAAGTCAGGGATTTTGCTGCTGGTTAGCAGAAGAATATATATATATGCAGTCAAAAATATCTCAAGTTAAGCTGAAAAAACAAACAAAGGGGCATTAAAATATTCAAAATAGGTCTATTTATGTATTTGTGATCCAAATGTGAGCTTGGCTTTCCTTCCTTAGTATTCTTTTTAGTGACTATTTATAAACCAAAAAAATAACCGAGAAAGAATCATTGTTTTGGGCTTTGAGATGAAACTTTGCACAAAAATTATGCTTGGATTTTTTTTTTCATAACCTAAAGCTATAGTGTATAACCTCTATGTGTCTGTATCATAGACTGTATATAGAATAGACAGCGTCTGCCGCCTCGCTGGGTGAAGCCAGTCCAAGAACAGCACACCCTGGTGATGGGCTACAGTATAGGCCATAAATCCCGCCTCCGCCAGCAAAGCTTATGGGTCTGTGGACAAACATTAAATTTTTTTTTACACAGAATACAAATTTTTCTCCCCTCTGCTTGCAATGTTGACATGTAGTTATTGTAAGACTGGTTTGTGCTCAAGTCCTCTTTTTTCTGTACAGCTCCATTTTTAAAAGTAATTAGGGGGTTCATGTTTTCTGTGATTGACACCTGATACAGCCTATGGGCGTACAATGATTGCATAGCTCACCCGGGGGATACACTGTTTGAGTTGAGTGTCATCACAGTGACTCTCGGCGACTCTCCCGCCGAATGTGTACAACGCTACTGCGCAAGTTGTGGAGTGCATACAACCATACTGCTCAATGTTGGTTTCAGGAAGTGGAGAAAAAAATGCAGAATTACAGAGAGCTTTTTGGCTTTAAATCCGCATACTGGCAGTGGGCAGAACCAAGTTGTCCATAGTATGTACAGTCTATGATAAATAAACATTTCACCCAAGCCACCACAAGAACAGATGATACATTGCTTATTAGGTTGTTCAGCTCCTCTAACACCTCACAGTATTTTTTAGTATTTGTTCTTTTTGTATTTGGTGTCTTTGGCGACATTCCCATGCTGGCGACAGTTAATGATGTGTTCAACTTGGTTTCTCCTGACAACTAGAAGGGAGAGGGGAGGAAACCGATGCTAGAAGCAACGCGGCAGAGAACCGTAAGAAGCAACCGAGGGGTTCAGATGTGGATCTTTCTAAAAAGAAAAACCCTTCCCATTCAGCAGAAGAAAGTGACAAATGGAGCCCAGACTTGAAATTGAATATTCCTGGAGAGATCTGAAAAATGGCTGTGTGCACCAATGCTCCCCATCTAACTTGATGGAGCTTGAGAGGTTCTGCAAAGAAGAGTGGGAGAACCTAGCCAGAATAGGTGTTCCGAGCTTGTAGCATCAGACTCAAAAGACCAGAAGCTGTAACTGCTGCCAAGAGTGCATCTGGATTGGCTTTCACTCTCCAGTCTGTGGAGAAAGCAGAGGTGTTGCTGGGCTGGGCTTTCTTCGCCAGTGATGTGCAGTTGGCTATCCAGGATAGGTCCTCAATGATGTGCACCTCTAGGAATTTGGTGCTGAATGCCCTCTCCACAGCAGCACCATTGATTGTCAGTCTGGGGTGTTGGGTAAGGCCTCTTCTGAAGTCCAGAACAACCTGTCCACGTTTAGGAGATTGTTATTACTGCACCACATGGGCAGATGGCTGACCTCCTTCCTGTAGTTTGTATTGCTGTTGTTGGAGAGGAGAAACACCACAGTTGTATCATCCACAAACTTCACTATGTGGTTGGTGCTTAATGTTGGTATGCAGTCATGGGTCAGCGGGGGACAGAACACACATTCCTGCAGAGCTCCTGTGCTCAGAGTGATAGTGCTTGAGGTGTTATTGTCGATAACACCTGTACTGCTTGTAGCTTCTCACTGAAGAAGTCCAGTAACCAGTTGCACAGTGAGATGTTGAGTTAGCTGGTTCAATTTGATGATGAGCTGATGTGGGATGATAGTTTTGAATGCTGAACTGAAATCTATGAACAGCATTTGTACATATGAGTCCTTAGTGTCCAGGTTGGTAAGAGCAGGGTGGAGGGCACCACAGATTGCATACTCAGTCAACTGGTTGGCTCTGTATGCAAACTGGAATGGGTCCAGTGGCGGTAGCCATTGAAGGAGGTTGGAGTGGATTACCATCAGGGATGATGATGGTATATTTGGAGCATGCTGGAGCAACAGCCTGGCTCAGGGAAGTATTAATGATGTCTGTGACGTCTTTGAGATCCTCTGCACAGTCCTTCAGCATAAGTCCAGGAATGTTGTCTGGACCTGCAGCCTTGGGGGTGTTGATGGTGAAGAGTGTCCTCTTCACATTGGCTGCAGACAGACAGAGCCTGGTTATGGGGTGGGAGTGGAGTCATCAGTGGACACATGCTGTTCTGTGCTTCAAAGAAGCAAAGAAGGTGTTGAGGTTGTTCAGCAGAGGGATGTTGCTGTTGCAGACCTATGGGGAGGGTTTCTAGTCTGTGATGGTCTGTATGCCCCACCACAGGCTCCATGTGTCTCTTCTGACTTCAAAGTGTCCAGTTATCCTCTTTGTAAAGTCCTGTTTAGCTTTCTGGATATACTGGGACAGGTTGGCTCTCAGTCTGCCCTCAACAGCCTGCAGACCTCTTCTGGCGGCCGAGGCTTCTGGTTATGATGGCCCATGTGTGGGTTACATCAACCATGCAAGTCTTGATGATGGAAGTGACACTGTCTGTGTACTCCTCAATGTCCTTGTGTCTGTTGTGTTTCCTCTGGTTGGGAAATCAGCATCCTAGCACTGATACCTCCATTCTTGCCTCTCTTCTGCTTCCTCTCACACCCCTTCCGGCTTCTCCTCTCTGGTAGGGGGGCAGCGGTCAAGTCCAGCGCAGCTGCAGGCTGGCAGTGTCGTTCAAATTCGCTCAGAGTCTACACAAGTGTGTTGGACGAAGGGTTGTCCAGCACACATCTGCAAATGTCTAACAAAACCTGGCGATTGTACTTGTGTTTAGACACTGTTTAACGAGATGAAAACTTAAAACTTCTTTGCAAGAAACAGTCATACGATGAAAACACCAAGCTATCAGGACAGAGAGGGGCTGCTTCTGCGTGTGCCATCATCTTGGAGGTGCCTCCTCAAAGAGGGCTATGAGGCTGTGACTATAGTAAGACCTCACAGAGGCTTTACCTATGCTGCATTCGAGTTACCTTGGAAGTCAGATGTCGGAGCTGAAAATGACGTCACACATGAGTTACCAGTGTTTCAGTTACCAAGTCGGAAAAAAGCAAAATCAGAGGCCTGAAACAAGATGGCTGCATCTACAAAAGTTGTTTTTGCATTTGCCTTATATTCGGACAAGGCAAGCACTAAAATAACATTTGTAGATGTAGCCATCTTGATTCCGCCTCTGATTTTTCTTTTTTCGGACTTGGTTACTGAAACACTGGTAACTCGTGTGTGTGATGTCATTTTCAGCTCCGACATCTGACTTCCAAGATAACTCGAATGCAGCATTAGCATGACTTTCTTCTATTAACACTTTATTACAGCTGTATTTTCACAATATTGTAAATTTATTCTCACACTTTTTGGCTTTTATGTTTTATCTTTGATCTTGCGGTATAACTTTATTACAACTCTATTCTCCTAATATTATGACTTCATTTTTGTACCATAAAATCTTTAATGTCTTACAACTTTATTCCAGTACCATAATTAATGTATTATCATTTTTATTATCATTAGTCAGTTTTTCCCCTACATTTCGCCACTGCTAAATTATATGCACCCCTACTGAAATTTCACATGATAATTAATTTCGATGTGCCACTAATAATTTCTATTTGCACTGTTTGAGCACAACAACACACATTATTTTCAATTTGTTTTTAGTCATCGACGAGCGCATCAAATCCTTTTTCAGACCCTCTTCCATCAACGTGAAGGGTAATGTTCAAGCTTATAAATGGTCTATATAGCAAGAAAAAATAATAGCATTAGTAACCTTAATATCAATGCGCCACAAATGATTTCTACTTGCACTGTTTAAGCACAACAACACACAACGTTATTTTTTACTTCTTTTGAGTCATCAACAAGCGCGCCAATCCTCTTTTGGACCCTCTTTCATAAATGTGAAGGGTAACGTTCAAGCCTATACATGGTCTATTTCAGCAGCGCCACTGCTAAAAAAAGATTCTAGGCAAACACTGTTAGTGTAAAAAAAAAGATTTTATTCTAGCAAAATTGTGGTTCTATTCTTACAAGGAAAATAGCAGTTCAGTCATGCCCCTGCTAAATTTACCCAGAAGAGATTGTTTTGAAGAATTACTTTACTTTGAAAATCTTAACCGGGTGTTTTCATATTACTCGTGGATTCGATATGCTAATCTATATTTGGACATTCAAAAGTTAACAAGACATAATGAGGTACACCGAATACTGAATTATTTTGTTAATTTGTTAAACTTACCTTGTATCATAGTCGTCCGAAGGCTTTTAATTTGAAAGCTCATGCGGAAGTCAATACTGCCACTCCAGACTTGACGCACTTTGGAAGTTAGCTATGGGTACGTGGTAGGCACACAGCGATTGTTTTCTTACGTAAATGAGAGTTCAACTTTGCTTAAATAACAGTTTCAGTCCCTCCGGCCACTCAGGATGGTTCCTCGCAGGCAGGACTCCGGGGTCAAAAGGCCCGGAGCAGGACGCAGCGGCTCGGTTATCAACTTCAGGACGACCGTGAGCTCGAGCTCGGTCCGCCGCAGCTCCGCCGTGTTACCGTCTCTGCTGACGTTCCTGGTGATCGTCGCGTCCGGAGGCCTGTTGCTCATGATAGAGAAAGGAATGCTGAGCGGTGTGGAGACACCTCCTCCGAGGGGAAGCGGTCGGAGGATGGACCTCACCAGGCAGGACGCGAAGCACAGCCCGGCCGCTGTGGACGTGGACTCCCAGGTACGGTACTGCCAGGCAGGGACTATGGAGTTCTGCAGGGTAGTTTTACCAAGTGAACAGGTCCAGGGCAGAATTAGGTCGGGATTTGTGTCGTGACCTGTTTTTTGCTCCAAAGTATCTCCAAACCTATGTGGTAAACGGTAAGATTAAAGGCTGATTGTAGGGGATCATTAAAAGGGTCAACAACTAAACCAGAACTTACTTCCTGACAAGTTCCGGTCATTTATTACGTCTCCTCTGCAAGGCTTTGAAACTGCAACAAAAAGCATCTAGACTGAGGCAGTCCATAACAACTTTTTATGTACTGAATGATACGACTTAATGGTCAGCCAAAGTCTTAAAGTTAGCCTGGCATCACATAAAAAGCTCCATTTACAATGTACAGTATAAGATAACATGCAAACCCAGTCCCCAAAATCTTTGCAGTCTGTGTGAAATATCAAGAAGGACGGATTTATAGTTTGTAGGGCTGGGATGATATGATTCTTCTATAATCTTTTTGGATGCCCATTCGATTTAAATTGTGATTCTATGATATTGTCGATTTTCTTGATGTTGAGTATGCATTTGTAACACCAATGAAGCAGTTGAATGATTATGACTGTCTACTGACTATTCCAGAAACCACATTTCCCCAAAAATGAAACATCAAATGTAAGTCATAATTTAAGATTTAAGGTCCTTACACATGGGGAATGATGCAAATACACAACGCGAAATTACGAAATATGTGGAGGCGAATTCTGATGCGCCTGACTACACACATCAAGCGCAATGCGATTTTGTGACTTTCGGGGGGGAAAAAGAGGCATCCTGGGTGGAAGAGAGAAGACTGACACAACACCAGACTGACGGTTTTTCAATTCTGATGATACACTAGCGTTAAGATGGCTGTCTGTCATAATAGCATGTATTGAGTCGGGGCCAGTACCAGATAAGCACATTAAACTATAATCCATAAATGTAAGGTAACAACCGAGACCTAATGGTGCTGTAACAGCAACGCGATTGAGTTTGAGACTGTGAAAATACATATGGTATGTTGTATCTTAACAGGTTAGCTTACGAGCTGAATCTGACGTCGCAACAACACGCAATCTGATTGGTCAGAAGTGGACACACAGTACGCAAAACTTCAGAAAATTTGAGTGTGATACAAAAAAAAAAAAGGCGCAATATTGCAGGAGGGGAAAATGTCGCTGATGTGAACGCTTGTATTGACAGGATACAGGTTCGAAAAAAAATATTAGCGTCCAAAATAATCGCACGGTGTGTGAGGACTTTTATTCTTACATTAGAAAAAGAGAATCGATTTTTGAACAAAAAAATCAATTTAAAAATTGTAAAACAAAAAATTGTGATACTTATGTGAATCAATTTTGTCTCCCACCCCTAATAGTTTGTAAGTAATTTCCATGCTTCATCTGAAAAAAGTGCAAAGGCAACATATTAAATGCTCAAAACGACTAACAGTTTTAGATTTGATCCGGCAGCTTGGTTTAAAAAAGTCTAGACAAGGACCAAATGTTGTGTAATGATTGGAGGACCATCTCCCTCAAGTAAGTAGTGGAGGATACAACAGGTTAATAACATGACAGGATTTAAAAAGGACACTCAGGTTCACCACTCTGTGAGAGACTGAGTGAGCTAATAGTTGAACAGTTTTGGAATAATGTTGCTGTGTGTAAAATGACCAAGAATGAGAGGAATTTTAGAAATTCAGAGAATCAGGACAAATTGCTGTTCAAAGGGGGCAAGGTTCATAACTGAGTGCTGTGATTTCTGGGCCCTCAGGTGGCAGTGCATCAAAAACCAGAGATGGAGTGGAAGTCACTGCATGAGCTCAAAATGACTTGCAATAACCACTGTTAGTGAGCACAGTTCATCACTGCATCCACAAATTAAGGTTAAAACTGAACCATGCAAAGATTAATCCAGATATAAACATGATCCAGAAACACCAGAGACTTCTCTGGTTCTGAGCCTGTTTGAAATGGACGTTCTTTTTGGAAATCATGGCCACCACATCCTCAGCTCTATAGAGGAATAGTAAAATATAATTAGGAATAGCAATCTATGCTGCTATCCAGATAAAGACAAACCACATTCTGTAGGGATTACAACAGCATGGCTCTGTAGTAGAGGAGTCCTGCTGATAAACCGGCCTGCCTGCAGTCCTAACTTGTCACCCATTGAAAACATTTGGAGACCCTGAAGTGTTGAGCAGCTGAAATCCTCTATCAGACAAGACTGGGACAACATTTCACTTTCTAAGCTCCAGAAACTGGTCTGCTGGGTTCACTAACGTTTACAAAGTATTGATCAAAGAAGAGCTGTAGCGTCACACAGTGAACATGTCACTGCAACAACTTATAAGAAACATGTTGCTGGCGTAGATTTAACATGAGTAAATATTTTTATTGCTCCTAAAATTTTTCAGCATTTATACACTATCTTTGCACTATTTTTTAGGGTTTGAATCATTTGTGAACTATCAAAGTCAGTTATTGCCTGCAGTTTACAAACTTCTGGTATCAGGGTTATGAAAACAAAGCGCAGAGACTATCTAATTAAAATGTCATATTGAACAACAGGGGACAAAAGAGTCAGAACAAGTGTTTAAGAACACAAAACATTTGAGACATGTCAAAATAAAGGAGTGAAATTACATGGGGAAAAGAAAGGAGCAAATCAAAGGGAGTTTGACAGCTAGTTGGGGACAGTCAGTGTCCACAAATGTCTTCTACTCAGGTTTAAAAATATTTAGAGTTTGCATGTCTCATAACCCTGTGTTTAGAAGCCCCACTGCTGAGGATCTCAGAGGCCGTGAAGGATTATGGAACAAAAGAACAAGAATTAGTAATGTAGGCCGGTCTCAAACCACTAAGAAGCTTGTAAACAAGAAAATCAATCCTGAAAGAGATGGAGGGAGAGTGCAGGTTTGCTTATACAGAGCTGATGTGCTCTCCTTTTTGCTTCTGGTCTAAAATCAACATTAGATTTCTGAATTACTTACCAGTCTAAGAGCAATTTGATGGACTTTGAAAAGTGTACTCAGAGGGGCAGCAAGGGTGATGGTCACCCCCCTGGTGACCATATGTCTGAAAAAATGTTACAAACGTGCTCTTTTCAGTCACTTCATAATTGATAAAGAATTGTAAAAAGGCACACCTCTGGTGCCCTTGCAATGAAAATCACATGAGAGAGATCAATGAGATGCCCTTCCAGTGAATATAATGTCAACAAAGTGCCTTCAGGTTGTTGTTCGCATTTTATAGTATACATTAGGTTCTCTTTTTATTCTTTTAGTCCCTGCCACTCAAACATCCTGAATACACCACTGCTTGTTATACACTTATAGATAAGTACCGATATTTGAATCTAGAAGTATGGCACTCTGAACAGATTTCTCTGACAATTTGTCTCACTATTTTATAACCTCTTGTGGTGGCGTTTATGACATTGCCAGTGCTCTTAACAGTGAAGAGGCCATGAATGCTTGATCAATGGCAGAGGAAACTGACAGCTGCATAATACAGAAAACAAGAGCAGGGTGTGGGGCAGCGGTGAGTCACTTTTAAAAGAAAAAAGAAAATGAGTTTTTCTCCTCACCACTTAAACTAATCCAGTGCAGCAGTAGGCACTCGTTCTGTTCATTCTTTCCAAACGTAAGAAGTTTATACAATTGTGGACTGATATATTGATTATATGGACTGCACCTTTAAGTCTCTGTTTGGATTCACATCTAGATCGTCCAGGAGATCCGGAACAGGACCATCAGGACTGTCTGCAGCCAGAAGAACATGCCCCACAGTATCTGGACCCTCAGCCCTCTGCAGAGGAAGACTCTGCTGCAGCACATCCTGGTCAACGACGAGTACCGCTTCTTGTATTGCTATATCCCCAAGGTGGCGTGTTCCAACTGGAAGAGGGTCCTCAAAGTTCTAGGCGGCACCCTGGAGAACGTGGAGGTCAACATTAAGATGGACCACCGCAATGACCTGCTGTTTCTGTCTTCTCTGAAACCTGAGGAGATCCGGTATCGCCTCAAACATTATTTCAAGTTCATGTTTGTACGAGAGCCGATGGAGCGGCTGCTGTCTGCGTACAGGAACAAGTTTGGAGAGATCGAGTCGTACCAGAAGAAGTACGGCGTGGAGATCATAAAGAGGTACAGGAAAGGTCGAGCTAAAGACGCCTCTGTAACTGGTGATGATGTCACCTTTGCAGAATTTGTGCGTTACTTGCTGGACGAGGATGTGGAGCGCATGAATGAGCACTGGATGCCAGTGTACAACCTGTGCCAACCCTGCGCCGTTTCCTACGACTTCATCGGCTCTTATGAGCGCCTGGAAAGTGATTCAGAGTTTGTGCTGCAGCGAATTGGAGCACCCCCTTCTGTTCACTTCCCAGAGAGACAAACGTGGTACAAGCCGGTCACCACGGAGACGTTACACTATTACTTATGCAGCTTACCTCAGAAGCTGCTGAGGGAACTGCTGCCAAAGTACATTTTAGACTTTTCCCTCTTCACGTACCCTCTCCCCAACACAACCACTCAACACTGTCGGCATTAAACATGCAATCTTTTAAAGGTTATTTTTTATAGAGAATCATTTGGACTATTTTTATTCCTAGAGAACAAGCAGTGCTTTTTATAGCAGTTACATATTTTTACTTTTGGTGTTCAGATATTATCTGAAAAAATGCTGATTTTATTGTTACTCTTGGAAGAGATCAATATTTTTCCTTAAAACCACTGCAAACAAGAGAGAGCAAAAATTGTGTAAATCACAGAGATGCACTGACATTAACGTCCACCATCGGTCTTAAACTGACTGAGATGGATCATCAATCCCTGACTGATCCATTCAACTTGAACTTCTGCCTAGTCCTTTACCTGCAGCATTTTAGTCCAAGAAAGAACAGATCAGCCCTGCCTTTCGGGAGGAGGTCAAATATTGGTCATTTGGAGGCATTTCATTTATGTAACGCCAGAATTTTCCAGCTTTTTGCCAAGTTGTTACAGGTTGACGCAGGAAGTCTTAATGGGGTATGGTCCTAATTTTTCAAAGACAAAACCTTAACTATTTTTACACACTTTAAGTCTTACTGAGTTATTGTTACAGAAAGCTTTGGAAATGCTGAAACAGCACAAACAAACTACTAGGTCTGAGCAGCATCTGATCAGAATCTCCTGTTCAGGACTGTGAAATCTCCATTTTTCTGATTGGCTCGTAGCTTGAGAGAGGCTGATCTAAAAGTTTTTTCTCTTTAGTAAAAAAAAGGTTTATCTCTCCTGAGCCTGTCAGGAACAAAAACAAGAACTTAAGCAGATTGATTTTAATGTACCGTTCAGTCTTATTGAGAAATGACAGCTGTTATCTGACTTTATAGTTTCACTTTGTTAAGGTCCAATATAGTATTCAGAAATCACTTTGTGGTGTCAAAAAGTTCAGACTGAAAAGGCCAGTTAAGGTCAGGGCCTTTTGCATTGACTTAGATTTCACATCCTTTTCAATCTAGGAATAATCTTGCAATCAGGCACTAAAGACTGTCATGCAATTACAGCAATGAACTCTCTGTCAGTCCTCTGAAGGAGGGACTTCGACAGTCTCTCAGGGCTTCTGTTTTATTCCAAGAACCTCCAGGGTGGCTGGTTCTTATTCCGATGTTTGTTTTATGAGGAAGTCCAACTTAGTTTGGACCTAAAAAAAGATGTTAAATTCCCCAAGGCCCTGACCTATCTAGGCCTGTTGGTTCAGACCTTCTTAAACATGATGATTGGAAAAAAGCCTCAATATTGTCTCATTGCAAAGCCTTTGTGATGTGCACAAATGTACCAAATCAGTATGAAATTCTGCGTCTGTACTGAAGGTTAGAGGACCAAACTGTGTATGTTGCTTGTTTTGAAGAGGGTAAAGGGTTGTTGTTGTTTTTTACTGCAGGCAAAGACAAAAACCATGTCCATAACGTGTTTCTCAGTCCTCTGCCCAACTTTCCTCTGACTTTGTAATAAAACCCAACTTTTCTTTTTGAGACAAATTTCACTCTTGTATTTCCATTTTTTGGCTTTATTTTGTGAATAATTTAATAACTTAAACATTATTCAAAACATGAATAAAAAGCATCAAAATTGATGTAACCACAGGACTGGATGAATACTTCATTTGCTACATTTTTGAGGTTACTGTTAGTGCTGAGAACCACATTCATATCAGGAGTGCTTTGTCTGACCCCTATTTTATCAGTAGCTGTGTAACATATTGAAAGAGTGTGGACCTAACTAATAAGAAGTCTGAAAACATGACTGCTGACATGTTTTCATGACTCAAGCTTTAGTGAAGCTCCGGGCAAGATTTCATCCTGATGTGTTGAGTGGCTCAGAGTCAGACAAAAGGTTTATTAACACTGAAGTGTGAAGACGTCGTCACTGTTCATGTCCAGACTTGTGAAAAGTAGAAAAGGCTTCTGGATGTTTCTGACTCACTGAACTGATCAACACCTTCATTTGAGTTTCTCCATTTTAATCCTTAAAGCTCACACTCCTGAGGAGAGAAAGAAAAAGGATTTGAACTTTATAACACAGGAAAGAGGAAGTTTTTGAAAAAGATCAAGCTGAACCTTTATTTTAAAGGTCAAATTCAAAAACTTAGACACATTTTTAGTAGAAAAAAAAGCTTGAGTCTTAAATTTGAAATATAAACCAAACTAAAAGCCCTAAAAAAGTGGTGTCAGAGTCCTCCTGTCCAGTCTTACCTGTCTGTTGATTTGTCTGATGACCTGTTGAGGGTCCGGAGGATGGAGCGTTCAGGGGACGAGTGATGAGGACTGATGGAGCTGCTGAGAGGCAACGAACTCTGCAGAGACGAGAAGGACAGACCCTGTCTGCGCATCTCTTGAACCGCCCGCTCACTGAGGATGGAGAGACAAAATATCATTTTCCGCATTGATGTGGTAACCCTGTTTCCTACAAAAGAGGATAAGGGCCACAAAAAGAGAAAAAAATAATTACAGGAAGGAGATTAAAGTCGAAATGTTGGGATTCAAAATTGGAATCACAAGATTCAAGTCGAAATTTCAAGATTACAAAATGTCGTGAATAAATCAAAATGGAAATAAAAAAAAATCTCCCTCCTGTAATTATTTTTTTCTCTTCTTGTGGCCCTACTCCTCTTTTGTAGTTTTCACATCACTGATGAGTTCAGTCAGTTTTGATGCAGAAAATGTCCGTTAATCCTGTTGCAAAAATATTTGTGTATGCCTTCTCGGTCAACAATGTTCAGTCTGAAGGCAGAGCAACAATTTACCATCAATTTGATTTGAACTGATCTCATAAATCTCAGGGATTAGATTGGATAATGTGTAAAATATCAAACATACATGAAAGATTGCTAACACACTCTTCACACTCTTAAAGTGTTCCAGACTTAGGAGAAAATAATATGATGATGAATCTTGTTTCCATGCAGCTTTTGTTCCTTCTTTTAAACTGTTCTGCTCTGTAGTTCATGTTTCTCTAAGTGTAAAGACTGGCAGATGTCGAGCTCACCGTTCAAAGCGTTCAGATGTCAGCTGTCTTTTCAGGACGTCCATCTCTGTCTGCAGCTGAGAGACTTTACCTCGGAGCTGAGACACCTCCCTGCTGTGCTCCACACTGAGTACATTTACACACACATAAAAAATAAAACATGATTTAAGATTTTTACTGAAACCCCCCATGTGGATAAATAAAGCATGCTGGTTTGATTCTGATTGACTTGAAGGATGGAAAAAGTCTTTTATTAAACCAGATTATTGTAATCTTTGGTGTACGTTTTGCTGTCGGCTAGGCTCAGTCTGTCTCGTAGGACCTTCAGCTCTGACTCTCTCTCGCTGGCGGTCAGGTGCGTCTGGAACTCTTTGTGCCGATTGGAGGAGAGAAGCGTCTCCAGGTTGCGGACGGTCAGTCGTTCACTGGCCAGCTGTTTTTTCAGCAGCTCGGCCTCTGAGCGAACGTCCTCGAGCTCTCCGGTCACCTTCAGAACATATCCAGAGAGCGGTAACTGCCTGCGCTCACCCACATATGTGAACTATGACTGATGTAACTACTAAGTGGAAGTAAGAGATGACGCATGCCTCACCCGCTCCAGATCCATGCTCCTGGAGGTGAGCTGACGGGAGGTGAGCTCTTTGCTGGAGTCTAGTTTGACACAGAGTTCCCTCACAGAGGCCAGATCTGAGAGGAGGGACGTCCTCTCCCCTTGTACTTTGTGTAACTCCTGCTCCAGTTTGGACATCCCGCGAACCAGAGATGATACCTGGGCCTCGTACGCCTGCAGAGCCTGAGTGTGCTAGGACCAAAGAAACATTCGTCACTCGCTGAGATAAAGACAAATGAAGTAAATCTCACATTTACAGCCTAACATCTGAAGCACTCTTAACAACTATGTCCCTGAATGTTCATGCATTAGCTGCTCCCCTCTTCTGTGGTCTCACCTGCTGGATTTCTCTCTCCTGTTGGCCCACAGTGTCCCTGAGGTGTCTGCGCTCAGTATCTGAAGAGAGCAGCTCCAGCCGGATGGAGTTATTCAGACCTTCAGCTTGCTGTATCTTCTGTTCCTGCTGCTCCACCTCAGAGTGAGCCATCCTGAAACGCTCCAGCAGGTCCCTGTTCTCCTGCTCCTGTAGGTTGACACCGTAGAGTCAGCCAAGAACAGATGGTACTGCTTTGACTCAGTGAAAAGCTTTCTCTTGCCTTTGTGGCCATCAGTTTCTCTATTCTGGACACTTCAGAGATGTAGGAGTGGATCCTCAGCTTCAGTTCATCCCTCTCATGCAGAGCCTCCTCCATCTCCACATGAACAGCCTGAACAGAGATCACATTATGGGCTTCTGCTCAGACCACGAGGAAAACGTCACTCAGATGTATCCCACTTTACCTGGTTCTCTCTGGTCATTGTAGCCAGGTCGTCCTGCAGCCTCCTGTTCTCTCTGATGGTGATTTCTTTGTCCCTCCTGAGTCCGCTTAGCTCCTCCTGATTGGCCTCCAGCTGCCTCCTCAGGCTGCCTATCTCCCTCTCACGGCTGTTTAACGCCCCCTGCAGCTGGCTGAAAGATCACACATGAACCAAAACCGACCAGCTTTGTTTATGCTGACATTTTTTGATTTACTGAAAACCAGTGTGCAGGTTTCCGATCACTGTACTCACGCTAAAGCAGTGTCCATGTTTGTGACTGTGAGTCTTACGTCTTCAACTGTCTTCCCCTGTGAATTAAACCACATTAGAGCTCTTTATGATTTACCCACAATACAACACTCCTTTGACTTTAAGTTAAAGAAGAAATTGTTACTAAAACCATTTCTTTTGATCACACTGGGCATGGAGTCATCCTTTACCAGCAGTCAGGATCATAGGTGTTAGAGAAAATCCCACAGTCCTTGTCAAGTAACACAGTCGTAAAATCTGCACTGAGATTAGCTCCAGTAATACAGCAGCATTTAGGGTTACTCTTAGGTGATTTTGCTCTGCACATACTAAAGATTAGATAAGATTAGATTCTCTAATCAAAAAAATCACTCTGCTGTCTTTTTCAGACAGGTATAACACTGGCTTTGTGAATACTTGCTGCAGACAATAGATAACAAGGCCATTTCATTTGGCATGGTGTCAATCATCTCATCTGACATTTAGTCCATGACAGAGAAACACAAGCATTAAAGGTTTAAAGTAAGAAGAGTGTTTATATAGGTCTGTCCCTGGTCTTCTGATCTCTCAAAGCCCTTCTGTGAAACATCATACAGAGAAAAAAACAGAGTTCAAGAATCAAGTAAAAACATAATTAAAAAATAGTCATAATTTTACAAGAATATGGAGAAAAGGTAGTCAATTAACATGAATATCCGCTGAACTGAAGAAAATAAACCCATAAATTAACAAGGATTAAGCTGAAATGATTTCCATTAATATAAAATACCATTTTCAGTTTTATAACATTGAAACTCTCGTAAAGAGAAATTCTTGTGTAGAGTGGAAAACGGTGACTGTGCATGAGGACAAGAAGTGCGTAAAGACTAGGAAGTGACCAACACGTCTGCATGGACAAACCACTCTTCTGACCTACTGCACTCCATTTTCAAAATCCTTTTGGGCGTATAAGTTTTGATTTAATAAAAAGTGCCTTTTCTTTATGTGAAAAGTGTGGCAAATGTTAATTTTTTAGTTCTGTTACCTTCTTCGATAACTCCTCCTGGAGCACAACCAGTCTCTCAGTCTTTTGATCCACCTCATCCTGCAGAGCATCTTTTTCTCTATCCAGGGCAGAGATGGATTTCTGCAGAGCAAACACCTCCTCCTTGTGTCTTGAGCCAAGCTGACTCAGCTCGTCTGTCAGACCAAACAAAAATCAAACAAACAGATATGCAGCTAGAGAGAGAAAAAATACTGAAAAACAACTCTACATCAAATACAGCAGTCCTGTGAATATTAACCTATTCTCCTCTCCAGTGTGTCGATCTTCTCATGAGCAGCATGAAGCTCGTTCATCTTTACTGACAGCCTGTGTTGGTTGTCAGACAGTGACTGCTCCATCTGCTCCTGGAGCAGCCTACAGACACACACAGGTAGAAATCCATCAGCCTCCAGACATACTGACAAACAGCTGATCATACGCACTTCGTCAACAGAAAGGATATATGTCAGGAGAAACAGCTGAGGGATAACATATCATAGGACAACTACTGAACTTTGTAGCTGTACCATGCATTGTGTATTGACCTCACAGGATCCAAAATGCACTTAATACATGTTTAATATGGAGGGAAATCTTCAGCACATTAAATGACATCCTTTTTAGCTCATACCTCAGAGCGTTAGTCTCTGCCCTCTGCTGTGTGACCTCCTCGGAGCTCTGGATCAGAGCAGCAGACTGAACCTTCAGTTCCTCCTCTGCGGCCTCCTTGTTCTCCTTCAGCAGACACACGTGGGACTGCAGATCTGACCTCTCACGCTCCAACTGCACACCAAAACACACAGAAAGCAGGTAACAGACATCGCATTACAAACCCAAAGATGAAACAAGAACTAGGAGGACATCCATGGAGGTTTAAATGTGTCCTTAACAAGAGAAATTCAGCTCTTTGTTTAAATACTTTATCAGGGGGGATACCAGCCATTTTGAAATGAAGGAAAAGAGTAGTTACCAAGGCCACACCCCCACACATGTCACATCATATTAAAACATCAGGACTTAACAGAGTGGCATGTATTGTGTGAGAGATGCAAGCAAACACTCAATGTGCACTACAGTGCACAAAAGTGAATTACTGGGTCTCAGGAGGATATGAGCGCTTAAACACCAGATAATTCAAAATACGTTGTTTGAATGGTGCTCATCCTGGACCCGAGCTTTATCTTTATAGGAACAGATCCAATGTGAAAGAGTTTATGAGTAGTAATACCAATCTGGTGTCAATCAAATGCATTAAGAGATACAGAATCTATTTTCATACACTCATGATCATCAAAATACAAGCATGGCCCCCGTAGACTCATGTCCTCCTGTTGGACTGACACCAGTCTCTTTGTGTTCATTATATTAGTATTTTTGATCTGCTTGTGTTCACTTTTACACTTTTCTCTCATAACAAATAGTAAATATATGATTTTAGCAACTTCTCAAGAAGTAAAGTTAAACTGTTTTTAAAGCTCATTCCCAAACCTCTCCTCCCTCTCCTACCCCACCTCTCCTTCCCAAACCTCTCCTCCTCCTCCTCTTCCTCCTCCCAACCCATTCAAAAAAATAAATCGATAAATAAATAATAATAATAAAAAAACATCTGCCTATGAAGTTGAACTCTATGGTAACTTTGGTTGAACAGAAAGGTTTTCAAAAACAAACTTGGTGTCATTGGTCAGCTGACTTTTTGAAGAGTGTTTTTGCCTCCACAGGTTTATTTATTCATGTTTTCAGATGTCTGAGAGAAGGAATGGGGGAAAAAAAACACTTTGTATCCTGCCAAATCAAATAAAGATATCCTCAAAGAATTCTCTCTTTTTCATGTGTGAGCTAGTTGTGATCCCACAAAACAAACTTCATTGTTTTCCATCTTTGTGGAGCCATTATGGTGAATTCCCCTCCTTAGGCATGTGTAAGTTAAAATACAAGAATACCTGCAGCTGCCTAATCCCTCCATGTGTGCATAAGGTACTGCTGAAAGGTAGTTAACCAGCCATAAAAATCCCATTTACTCCATTTGTCAACATGAAAAGACGCAACATGTCACTGAAGACTATTGAGTTTAAAAAGCTTTGACATTACAGTTCAGCAAAAGCTCTCTGACCATGGCCAGACTTACACTCTTGATGGCATTTTCCAGGTCCAGAATCCTCCTCTCCTCCCCGTGTCTGTCTACGAGAGCTGAAGTCTGAGAAACCTGCGGGACATTTATCAGATTAGTTAAAGTATGTCAGTCTGACTTTTTTTTAAGGTTTCAGTAGCGCTTCAATTAGAATTTATTAATAATAACTACAAACAATCAACTGATCTGGAAATTAATTCATCACACCATAAAAATGCACAATAATACAGAAAACTTGCTTTAATTCAGGTTATCAGGTGACTTTTTTTTGATCAGTCGATAGTTGAAAGTTCAGCTGCTTTTTCTTTAAAAAGTTGACTGACGGGTTATCCAAGTTGTGAAAGATCGTTTTTCCATCAGATGAAATGCAACACTTAAAATAATTACTGTAGGTTATTTACAATGTACAAAATGAGAAAAATATTAACAAATCAAATCAATATCAGAATATCCGGAGTGTCTGAAGATTTACATACCTCCATATCTCTTTTTTTCCCCACTGTTGAAATGTACATTTCCTGAAAGCGTGGATTTTGATCTATTTTTTTTTACTTACTTAACCAATTTTTATGTTGTTATTGACAGTTTCGAACAATTAAACCTATGTCTGATTTTTGAATCTGATTTTATTTATGGTTAATCAAAGACTTAAAGACAGACTGATTCATTAGTCGGCCAAGTCATGGCATTTTGAAATGATCGGCACACATCAGCATCTGCGCTTACAAGGCCAGTATCACCATCATCCTTTCTAAATAATCATGTTTTTTTTTTCCTGCACTAAGTGACAGCATCTACAATCTTCAACAGCGATAAGATTTTTTGTTTCCTATGAATCTGTTGGGATATGTGAATAAAGCCATTTGAACATACCACTCATTTTCGAAAATCTAAAGCCCACAAGGCAACTGGCCTCTTGGAAAAGTTAAGGAGATTCTTTAAGACAGAAAAGGGCAAAAGCATGCACTCAGCATGTTTCCAGACCAAGTCTAATGTCATTGAGAGGTCTGTGACTAGTAGGGGTGGGAATCACTAGTGGCTCCACGATACGATATTATCGCGATACTTGGGCCGATATTATTGCGATTTTTAACATTTTGCGATACAGTGAGTATTGCGATACAATATAGTGCAATTTATATAATTTTTTCAACTGTTAAGCTAATTCAGCATTTGTCTTTTCTACTCTGTTCTTCATTTTAACGGAGCATATCATGCAAACCTTACATACATATATTTGTTGTATTAACTTTTTCATGCTCTACGATGTCACCTCTGCCAGTTGATTTTATTTTTCCATTATCATAGATTTGAATTCATATTAACAATTAATTTGAAAAATCGATACTTGGTAAATGAAAAGATACGATATATCACCAGACACAATACTGTGATACTATGCTGTATTGATTTTTTTTCTCCCACCTCTAGTGACAAGGCTTTGTATGCCACAGGAAGCTGGAGATTAACAGGCTATGTATCACATGGATTAATGGAAGAACAGTGACTAGTGATTGTCTTTGAATTCTGTGGTCGGCTCTTCCGTATGTAAATGTTTCATTTGTCATGTCTGTCAGGCATCACAATCAAGGACTGGTATGCAGAAGCCACAACAGGATTAAAAACAGTGTAAAACACAACTTATCCAGTAGGTGTCACTCTCAGACTCAGTTGCGCTTTACAGGAACTTTCACTGAGGTGTGAGGCGTGGCAAGACAGAGGAAGGCACGTAGTTTTCTACAGGATAAGTTGCGCTCTACACCTTTTGATTTGGCTCTTTGACATCAACATTATATATCAGCAATTGGTCAACCCACTCTCTAATTGAAAAATTGAAAAACTGGTCGACCACTTCTGATAATGCCCTGTTACTGACATTCTGTTATCCCCTGTGGTACGATAAAGACATTCTGAACCTGATAATGCAGGTTGAAAGTGTAACTAAGGATTTAAATCTATGTTATGGACCATAATTGTGATGAGAAATCCAGCACATCCTAAAAAGCAAACTCAGACTAACCTTCAGCCTCTCCACCAGTGAGTCTTTTTCTGACGTCACCTGCTGAATCTTGATTTCTGCCTGTTTGATCACCTCCTTTAGGTTCAGGAGATCAGCAGAAAAATCTGAGGAACGGGCCAGCTTTAGCTCATCTTGAGCCTGAGAGAGTAAAATATCAGTTAAGAGTGGAGAAAAAAAAAAGATTACAGCTGGTGGAGGACTGAGTTGATAACTCACCTGTCTGAAAAGTGACTTAAAGTGGTCTCTCTCTGTGCTGAGGGCCTTCACATTGCTCTGGATGTTCTCCGCGTGCTTCTCAAAGTCCAGCAGAGCAGCTTTCAGCTCATCTCTCTCTTTCAACACATGGAGCAGCTCTGACTCTGCAGGACCGCCCTGAAAATTGAAGACTGTCAGATACTCACACTTGTGAAGAAGACAACCAGAAACCACCTTTTTTGACTTCAGTCATATCTTACCCTCTGCACTTTGGAGCGTGGACTTCTGCCTCTGCCTGGACTACGACTGGGACTTGAATCCAGGCCTCCACCTCCTCTGGCTCTCTTGTAGCGCTCAGCCTCCTGGCGGTAGTGATTCCTCTCCTCCTCCAGACTCTTGACAAATGCATCCAGACGTGACGGGGAGTGCTCCCTTCCACAGACGCCGTATTTTGCTCGCATGGCTTCTAACTCCAGAACCAGGTCTTTGTCTTTAAAAAGTTGGTGATAAATTCATGTCAACAATATAATGATGCTACAAAAAGAGAGATTTAAACAGAACCAAACTACCTCCTACCTGCTGCCATTGTTTTTTCCATTTTGTCCTGAAGCCGGATTTTCTCTTCCTCCAGGAAATTCACAAGTCCCTCCATTTTCTCATTCTGCCCTTTGAGCTCCACCAGCTGGTCTCTCAAACGGTCTTTTTCAAAGTCGCCCTCAGACTGCTCCTGTAGTCAGTTTTTTTTTTTTACACCAAGTTATGTTTTAATACAACACAGGACACAATGATTCATGTTTTCATAAGATTATCAATTATATGCTTCCAGTGAGAGGTAAAAAGAGGTCGTTTTTTGTACTTACTCTTCTTGTTTTTGTGATTATATCCTCCAAGTCTTCAATGATTTTCTGCTGCCTCAGGATTTCTTTCTGTTGGCAAGAGATTAAAACAAGAAAAAGGTTCACAACCACTGGAATGACACACAATATGACGCCTGACAAAGTCCATAAATCCACCATCAAAACAGATCAGTCCAATTACACTATGCATACAAATAAGAGGATCCATTCTTACAGTTCTCTGTAAGATACATCAACTTAGACTGTTTGACCTCAACTGTACAACAACCCTGATTCAGGGTTTCTGCAGGTTTCAACAAGTCAAATTTAAGACTTTTTCAGACTTTTTAAAGACCATAATGAAAACAATTTAAGATCCATTTTACATCCATACTGGCAAAAAAGTACAAAAGACATGAAGGGAAATCAGAACATTTTAAACTGACTTCAAATCAATCTTTATACATTTTAAGAGCTTTCAAATTTGTATTTAAGACATTTTATAAGGTTTTAAGAGAAGTTTAGACATTTTAGGGCCTTAAATTTAAATTATTGGATTCTAGACTTTGTAAGACCCAGCAGAAACCCTGCTGATTCTAAGATAATCATGTTTATAATGATAATTTATGTATTTATGTGGCACATTTAAAGACACGGGTTTACCATAAGTGCATTGACACATAAGCATAAAAACCCAAAACATGAAATAACCCAGAAAACTACTTTAACAGAGTAACATAAGAAACCAAAACCAGAATCACAACCAGAACAACACCACAAGGACCCTGCAGCAGAGGAACCAAACAACATATCCACCGAACAACATAAGAAGAACACACAAGAATCTAAGCTAAACAAGAACAGAGCAGCATAAAGTGAAACTGAGTGGGGTTAGATCAAAACAAGGATTAATAGATGCAGAAGAAAGATTTAGTAAAAGAGAGAAGCAGTAAAAAGGTAAGAGTAATAAAATACACTGAGGCCTGCAAGTCTATCAAAACAATATAAAACACAATAACAAGGTTACGGCATTAAAATAAATGAACAACTGCAGAATAAAGAGATAAAAGCAATCAAATACGCAAGTGCAATAAAAGCAAAATCAACCATTAAACAGCCAGGAAATCAGAGCACTGCAGGGGAAAAGGGGAAGAGAGGTGAAATGAGGTTGATAAAAGCAAAAGACCAGGAGTAGAGTAAGAATGCAATAAAAGGCAGTAAGAGAACGACATGATATGAAGACGAGTCCATAAAGCTGGGTTACTTTGAAGAAGTGATTTAAAAGATGTAATTGATTCTGCAGCCATATCTCCCCAGGCAAGTTCTTCCACAGACTGGTGGTCCTGACAGAAAAAGCCTCAGTCACTCTTTCTTTCACTCTTAGATGGGCTCTGTTGTTTTTGAAGAGGACTTTCATGATTTTAAGAAGACAGCTACTTCAGTGGGTAATACTGATACAACAAATACAATAAGGTAAGCTACTTTTGACATCTTACCAATAAAATCAAGTCTCAGTGTCTTTTAAAGAGTTGAGTCTATGATAAACAGAACAAAACAAGATCATGTGCATTCATTAAACGCTCTCAGTATCAGTCTAGAAAAACCGTTAATAGTAAACACATCAGCTAGTAGAGGCTATCTGACTGGTGACTGGTCTGGTGATGAGCAAACCTTAGTGTGGGTTTTCAGAAACTTAATCACACACTTCAAGATGGCCTTTGTGAGACCACTGAGATCTAGATCTCTCTCATGAGGGTGATTCGACCAGGCCTGCAGCACACCTCTAAAAAAATCTCACATGATTGACAAACAGCGCACAGACATGGAGGTAAAAATACAATTTTAAAGGTGCAAACCTAATAGCAAATAAAGTTCAGAGGCTGTTTAATCTAGGAACACAGGCACCACTCATTGGTCTCCTATCATCTGTCATTTTTGATAGACATACTTTGTGGTTTCTTGACAGTTGTTTAATGTCTCTGCTGCAGTGATAACCATGATCTTTAAGCATCTTTACTCTGCCTCAGTCAGTACTTGAAGAACTTCTCCTACTTTTCTGTTCTTTTGCTCTTGTCGCTGTGTCTCTCCATCTTCTATCCCTTGGCGCCGTTTAACCACCAATTATCAAAACTTAAATACAACATGACCCCATTTTTTTTGGATATATCTTAAGGGAAAACATATCTTTTATTTGTGTCTTTACAGAACACTGTGGGGATCTCTTTATACATCTTTTTTTTCTAAAATAAGAATGGAGGATTGTTACGCGTTGACAAAGCATCTAAGAAGGCCAGTGATATCAGACTAAAGAGCCTGATTTTGATTCATGTGAGCACATGATCTAAAAGTGTCCTCTTTCTTTTTGTTCTACTTTTGCAAGTGACTTAAAAATTCTAAAAAAGAAAAACTCATGAATTGTCTTTCATTTTAACAAGTCACATCACTTGTTGCTTATCTCTAACAAACGTAAGGGGTAAGTAATAAAAGTTCTGAGTCATATTTTTGCTGTTTCAGGTACATGTATGTAATGGGAATTGTTTGTTTGCTCTTGAATTGAACCTTAATTGTACCGTGACAAACTCTGGGACACAAACAAACTGCTGGTGTAGATTTGATAATAGATGAGTGATCAGATCATAATTTAATTTTTCGTCTCCACCCTGCTTTAAGTGCCTGCGCCCTTGCTGTCTCTTGTTCTTACTTTGGCTTCTTGCAGTTCCATGTCAGCTGTCTCTATCACTCGCTCCTTGTCCATCTCCAGCCGCTTGGCGAGGTCGTCGATGTGCGTCAGCTCCTCACATAGTTCCAGGTTTTTCAGTGACAGGTTGGCCACTTCAGAGGAGGCGTCCTTCTTCTTCTGCTGAAGCCCCTCTACTCTCTGCTCTAGAGTCCTGTTGGCCTCCTGCAGATATTCAATCTGTAAAACAAACAGGAGCAACAAAGCGTGAAAAGACGGAAAGATAGTGTGGGGCCACATGTTTTAACCGTTTAGCACTGCTTTCCCCTGAATGGGGCAAATGATAGGTAAAATAGATTACAGCTCCTGCGAGGAACTTCTGAATGGTGTGATTTTTGCACCTCCCTGTGGATAAAGTCGTACATCATATCTCCTTGTAGACCAGGCCCTGTATTTTTATTTTTCTTACAGAAAATCTCTTCCTGTTACCTGAATACAGTAAAACCAATCAGTCATTGTGAATATTCACTCTAATAGCAGTTAACTTCACAACAAAAAAATGTAGAATTTTTTTTTTCTCAGTGGTATTACATATCTGCAACCTTGTGAAGTCAGTGAGTGTATAATAATTGTAAAACCATGATTATACTAAGACCAAATCATACCATCTAAACCTATAATCTTTAGTTGATGTCCTTTGTGATTGCTTTGTTTACCTGCAAGTTAAGATGAGAGATCAGTTTTTCGTTGCTGGTGTTCTGAGCCTCAAGGGAAATGACATCATGAGGTCTTCCTCCATGAAGAGCATGATTCAGGCGGTTGATCTCTTTGTCTCGCTCCTCCACCTTAAACACAGTAAACCAACATTTACTTCATTTCTATTTACCAACAAAGTAAATAAAGAACAACCTCAAGTTAATGCACACTTTACCTGAGTATTTAAGTGTTTGATGCATTCTTGGGCATTTTCTAGGTCTAGTTTGAGCTTTATGATGTCCTCCTGAAGCTCATGAATTCTGCAAATAAAGACGGAAACAGTTAAGGAGTTTCGGCAAGAAACTCATAAAACAAGCCTGCAGATCGGCTGTTACCAACCTTTCATCCGCCAGCTGCAGCATGTCAGCGACATATGGATCATCGGGCTGAGACACAGGATAGGATGAGGAAGAGGAGGGCACGAGCTCATCAATCTGCATCCTCTGACGTCTGAAAGGGATGCTGCGCTTCTTCCCACCTGTTGAATTGTGTCAGAGGAGAGCGGGATTAAATGATCTAATAATACTTTTGATTCCTTAGAAAGGTCAGATCTCTCTTTCTGAAGAAGTGAAATGTTTCTAAAGAAAAAATCTGACAGCTTAGGGGAGACCTTGCTGAGTGTTACCTGGCGTCTGCACCACAGCCTGCATGTTCTTCTCCTGCAACTGTTGGATGCGCTCGGCTTTAACTTTGCTGTCTTTCTCCAAGCAGCGAACTTTGTGCACATACTGATTATTCAAAAACTTCAGGTCAGATGTCTCATGGTCAAGTTTTCGGATTTGGGTCTTAAGCTCTAAAAAAAGAACAAGAATGTGTGAATTTGAATTTATGCAAAAATATGTGTTTTCTCTCCCAGTCCCTTGACACTTAAACCCATGTTTAAACTTGAAAAACAAATGGAAGGTCTATACGAATGATCAGTTTTACAAGCTTTAGATCTGGATTACATCGCCAGCATGCAACAAGTGTAACAAAGACTGGCATGAGATGGAGCAGGTATGTATCACTAGCTATCCATGCTTTCAGACAGTCAGCTAACCTCCTCTAGACAGTAGAGAGAGTCCATGAAGCGTAACAGTACAACATATTTTAGGTCCTTGTTTAGGATGATTCCCTGAGACACATGGCACCAGAAGGGAACCTCAGTGTAGTACCAAAATATCTGAGGTATTTAAGTTACTCAACTCAACCATCATGAATTGTTACATCAATGATAAAAAAAAACATCCTAATAGAATCTCTATTTACAGATATTTTTCTCTCTGTTAGAAAAAGCTTCCATGGTGTCAGCTGATTTCTTCCTGTTGTCATTTGTTTGACATGTGACTGTTCTGGCATGAATGTCCAGGATGTGGGAAATACTTGAGGTTTTTCCACAGAGAAAGAGGGTGATGTGGGTTGTACCTCTAGTGACTTGGTCCTTCTCTTCCCTCAGCTTTAGGAGCTCAAGGTGCAGTTCGTTGTTCTCTCTGACAGCTCGAGCATTTTCCGCCCTGTACGGCTCCAGAAGAGCGTCTAAGTTTCTGCTCTCTTTCTCAGTTTTACCCGCTGACAGTTTGGCATTGCGCAGGCTTTCAGTAGTGTGGACCAGGTCACTGTAACACAGAGTAAAGACAGATTCTCAACACAGTAAGGAGGGAATAAAATGGATTAAAAATGTTTAGTATTAAAAAGATATCTCTGAATATCAGCAGGGTTTGGCAAATCAAAGTTCAAGATAAACTTAAGTTTACTGACATTTCAATGAAAATTATGTATAAAAAGGTGTGTCAGCATAATTTATTACTAACTTTATTGTATACCTAATATAAATAATGTTAAAACTAAAATTTAAGATACTTTTGTCATACTATTTATATACTAAATCGGATGTCACTTCACATTGATTTACATTTTTGAAAAGATGAGGGCTTTGCTTTGTTTATATCTAACATGTTTGATCCATAAGGTTCAAACTCTCAGTTTTGCTTGGTATTTTTCCTTTGTATAACATTTTTGAGACCACATGCCATTTAGTTTTGGTATCACTCTCACCATCAGTTAACCTGCTTTGTACATATCAGCATCAGTATCACTGTTAAACCCCATACTGATCAACCACTAATTCAAAATCCCTATAATTGGACGTGCCAAATCCAAAACTATTTCCCCCCCCAAGTCTGTTGCCTCTCTGGGGTCCTTCAGTCCAGTTCTTACAAGTCTAGATACAGTAGGGGAAAGTGGGGTAAGTTGAGCCACCCCTGTTGCTTGGAAATGGTAAAAGAAATTGATCATGTGACCAAATATTTAGGAGATGGGAATCAATTCATAGAGTCTGTGAAGGTTAGAAGCACATGGATAAAGGGGTTAGACATTTATTTCTAAAAAACATTTTTCACTCTTGAAAGTGAATTTAGTCTGCCATTAGTTTTATTAGAATTGTGTTCAGACCAAAAAAGATCATTTTAAATTTGTTTTATACACTAATTGTGGTATCTATGAGCTATAACATGAGCTCAAAAAACTCACATAAAAGTCCACCATTTTAGCTTAGAGGACTAATAAAGTCATCATAGTAGTTCTGGGGTAAGTTGATCCAGTAAAGTAAAGAAGTCTGATGAGAGGATCAGAGTTTCAGTTCACATTGTTGAAATGTGTTACTTTTTATTTTCAAAACTACAGCTGTGAATATCCTGAATCACTTAAAGGCATTCTCACTTTAAAATGACTTTTTTACTAAACAGCTTTTTAGCAGGTATATGCAATAGTAATAACAAGAATTATTGTACCAGTTGAATAGTGTATGATAGATAAAAATACAAAAGAATGTGAAGAAGTGACTGTTATTTAGGGAGAGAGACGGTCAGGTAGGGCTGGGGTGGAGAGTGAGGGATAGTAGGGATACGGCTCAACTTACCCCGCTCCTATGGTCAACTTATCCCATACACCGGGTAAGTTGACCAAAGGATGAATGCATGCTATATTATCAAGACAGTTATGTTTACACTCTTTCTGTTGGTTTGCAGGGATGAACAACATCTTGAAATATATGCAGATACACTAGTTAGAGACAAAAGTGTGATTGCCTTGATGTAGTGATCCGAAATATGAAAAATGGCTCATCTTACCTCACTCTACCCTAAAGTGGTTCTGGATCAGTACCATGGTTAATGTGGTCTAAAAGTGGGGGGGGGGAATCAACTAAATTACGACTAAAACTAAAAAACAAACAAAATCATAAACTATTACTGCTCCTGGACTACATATGATGAGTCACAGTTGAGGGGGAAAGGCAGGTGCAGCAGGCGGACTCGGGGTCTCACCTGAACAGTTTCTCCACCAGCGGTAGAGACTCGATCCCCAGTGGCTGTCTGTAACCCAGCTGGTCCAGACGCTTTCTCAGATTGACGAACTTTCTCTCTGCGCTGCTGGTCATGGCTGTGATTTGGCACTAAAAAGTTACCAGCAGGTGTATCAAATACTTACAATGATATAAAACAAAATAGAAGGATAGTTTGACACTTGGTGAGTCGCTTGAAAGAGGGTCCCAGTCAAAGTGTAAGCTACATCTGCAGACTGCACACATAATCGGCTCTATCTGATAATGACAGTACTGTAGCTAGCTTTCAGGCTAATGAACTAATGATAGCATTACACGGGTTTGTTAAGTTTGCTAAGGGTGTAACTAAACATTAGCAGACAATTCAGCAGCATTTGGTCTCAAATGACAGTTAGCTACCTCTTATTAAACCTCACAGATAGCGTCCACTTACCTTGCTTGTTAAGAGCCTGATTTCCTGATAGCTAGCTAACGTTAGCTTAACTAACGTCAACTTCCCTCATCGTTACCGGAATGAATGTCTTCTTTAAATCCATCAACTACCTTTAGATATGTACATTGCGGCTTTAGGTTTTGTTAGTTGTGAATTTTTAATGGATGAACAGGTCAGGAGTTAACTTGTTTCCGCGGTAAAGAGGTTTGAAAAGAGCGCCGATGAGCTCCGGTTTGCATTCGTCACCATGGACACTGTGGAGCAGCGGGGTAAGTTAGCTTTGGGAACCGGCGTCGACCGCTTTTTGGAAGAAGGAGGGCGGGGTGAGCACAGATACATTAAAGTTTCGTTTGTCAACTGCATTTACTCACAATAACTGATACAGGTTTGGATTGGTCGTCAGGTGTGTATTTATTATGTACATATGGCGAGAAAGATGACAACAATATCGCACAAACAAAATCTAGAGCAGTGTTTGGATCTTAAAGGAACAGGCACATACATGATGCAGGTAAGTTTGCACCACCTTCAGCAAAAGACACATACAAATGAAATGTTTAACATCCAAATAACATGATAAAGTAGTTTTAGGAGTAGTATGAGAATCTCCAGCCAGTGTGAGGCAGCAGATAATCAAAGTGCAGAGCATTTAGACTAGTGAGACTGAGCAATGCTGGAGAAATACTCCAACATGTCCTGGATGGTGAACTCCATGGTGATTCCTGATCCAGGGTAACACCTGCCGATCAGGTCCTCAAAGTGCTTGTACTGACGGATGAACTCGTCCTGCATGGAGTGCCACACCACCTGGTGGAGTCAGACAAGAAGTGCAAAGTGAGGAGGAATCTATCAATGTAAAAATCAGTAGATGTAACCTGTTCTTGTGTTTTACTCAATACAAATTTAATTATTTAGTATATATCTCACCTAAGTCAGGTTTTACTCTAGCTAATAATTACAGACCAGAGTAAAAGAGGCTACTGCTGTCTTTAAATTCTTCACTGATGCTTTAACCCCTAACACAGGATCAACAACTGCCTTACTCATCTTGACCACTATATTCTAACATCTTAATTCAAAACTACTAGCTGACAAGTAGCATGGCAAAGATTACAGATATTTAGTTGTCATAACATATTATTATTATTATGACATATTTTGACACGCAATGATAAATATTGTAGATATTTTTTTTCCACTTAGTCTGTTCTATATATCTAAACACAAAGTATGTTTTCTCTATGTACTGTATTTCAGTTTGTATTTTTGGAGGGTTTCTTTATTCTTTTATCTTCTATCTTTAGTTGTATCCCTCTACTCAAAAGCTCAAAATATTCCTCCAAAAGAGTCTATACTGATTTTCAGGAGGTGACACCATCGAGTCTGGTCCGTGGTTTGCTTTTTTAAATCAATAATTTGATGATGCAGTGTTATACTTGTGATCCTGCTGATGTCAAGCAACTGTAAGCATTACCAAAATATGACAACAGACAACAATACCTCTGACATATGTTGTCGTTTGTGTAACTTTGTGTTAAGTTTTAACTCCTCACCTGTAGGAGACTTTCCTCCTCACACAGATGTTTGTCCACCTTCTTGTAAAGGTTATCAAGTCCCTTCTTCACCTCTTTTCCAGGATATTCTTTGATGACTTTTCGCAGCTCTTGTTTGTTGAAGGCAAGCTGGTAGCTCACCTCCTCCTCCCTAACACCCTGAGCTACACGAGCCTCGACTCCTTCAAAGAAATGCTGCAAGAGAGGGAGTAAAAGTCAAAGCATAGTCACACCCTGAAGGAACATAACCAACTATTGTGATAGCTCTGACTTACATTGAGTTTTTCCAGAGGCTGTCCCAGAGAGTTGATGACATAGGACTGCAGGTGGTCGGTGTATTTGTGTTTGGCCTCTCGTCTCTCTGCGTCCAGGCAAGAGATCTTTAATCGAGACAGTGTGGAGTAGATATGATGGAAATTCTCCATCATCACAACATCCCGTGGAGTCTTCTGGCTCTCACTGGCTACTTTCTCCACTGAAAATAAAAACAGTATTCAGAACTTTGTTTTCAGCCGTCTCATGGGAGGAGGGAGCTTTTGGTTTGGTGGAGGTCTCACCATTCATAAAAACCGCCCTGATGAGTTTGACATAGGCTTTATCCAGGTCTCCTCGCCGCTCTGCATTACGGAAGATTGTTTCAGCCAGCTCAGCAAACTCCTCAAAGTTGGTGACAAAAGGCAGGATTCCCACTTTGCTCTTCTTGGAAATCTTTATTTCCTCCATCTGTCTGATCTGACCAGACTGTTGAAGAAAGAAGGGTTGTGTCATGCCAGCAGCATAAATTAAATCAGACCAACATTTAACTGAGGAATATAACAAGAAGAATATATGTTTGGCGCTGCACAACATCCACCTTTTTTTCTGAGGGCAGCGCAACTCTCTACAGCATACAGCATATTGAAATTTATAAACAGCAGGAGACGTCCACATCCATTAAACTTCCCAAAGCCACTGACAATAAAATCTTTAGGACACGTTATATAAAATTAATAACTTCATGTCATACAAAACAGTTTGCACAGAGCCCAACTCCTGATTTTCTCTCCTCTATCTTGACTATACAGAGATATTGTTTTAAAGCCTCTGGGTGGGTGATTTGGTTGCCAAGCAACTAAAAAAGTGCTACTCCCGTTTAATTCTATGATAGGGAACATGATTCATCTTGCATTTTGCGGCCAACATTGCCTTAATGATCACATACTTTTAGCACTACAAAGGCCATCAATCCACGTGAAGGTTAGAAACTAGAAACTCAAGAACAAGCTGCTGTATCCTGTGGAAGCTTGAAAATTTAGGACATCGGGTTTTTCCATGTGTTTTGGAGCCATGTTCTTTTTGGAAAATTTACTGGGTGTTGATTGATGCCTTTTTTTGGGCAAGCTGTCAGTGTTGAGTGTGATGCTGCTCCCAGAGTTAAGGTGGATGTCGTGCAGCACCTCGGGGTTGAGATGTCAGTACACCTCGGTAAATCACAGTCTTTGCTTATTCAGTGTGAATGCACCACAGCAAACACTGACATCAGGGAGTTAATCACATATAATCACAAGTCCTGAGGTATACTAATCCTGTGCAGAAAATGTTTAAAACTGCAATTTATAGTGACATTTTATATTGAATTTCCCTTCAGGGATCGATAAAGTTCTACTTCTTATAGTCACTTAACCACTTAGTGTGTGGATTTACTTTGCCCTTAAGCAGGGTTCTCCGCAGGTGGGAGGACAGTATGGCTGATGATTAATGCACTTGATGCATTGTGGCATTAAAGTGATGTGGTCCAACTGTGCAACAACCAACAGAGAAGGATCAGATCATGTTCAAAACAGCTCCATCCTGCAAACAACGATCAGTAAAAAATGTCTTGATCTCTTGTGAAACTCATGGGCACATTTTTCTTCTACTCACAATACATTTGTCAAAGTTCCTCTTGACAGTGACCAGCACATTTCCCAGAGTGGTGCTGAGGTACGAGGCCGGGTCGACATTCTCAGCTGTCCACACGTGGTGACTCATCTTCACCAGCATGTACAGAGAGTTAAAGCTGTCAATCTTGTCACCCAGAGCAATGAGACTGTTGAGCTCTGTCTCGATGCTCTGGAAGATTTTATTCATCATCAGCCTCACCAGGTCTTTCCTTCACACACAAACACAAAGAAAAACCATCAAGATAGAAAGTTCGGTGACGAATGAAACAAGGTGACAACATGAATAATGTTTCTGGCAGTGATAATGTGACACTACTCACTCTGATGACAAAGAGTGTCTGTGCTCAGCCTGGGGGGGCACTCTGGATGGCGTGCCTCCGTCTGATTCCTCAGTTTCAGGCTGACAAGAGATGAGACATAAAACATGGCGAAACCAAACAAACATTTGCTGACTTATATCTCTGTGATGCAGCAACTAAAAACACACCAACGCCTGTTGTTTTGACAAATGACACTCCAAGGTAAGAGAAATACTGTCACTTTAAATGTCATCATAGAAGTATAGACACTGTGGAGACATTTTATGACCCTTCTGATGAATTTTCTAGCACCTGATCACGGATTTACCTGAGCGAGAGGAGGTGTAACTGTCGGGTGCTGCTGCAGCTTAAAGAACTTGCTGATAAAATCTTGTTCTGCGAGACACAGTGGTTCCAGCTCACTGAGGACCTGCTCAAATATCTGCAAAGACCAAAAAAAAACTTCAGCTCGTTTAAGTCACTAATAACTCCTCTAGAGGCAAGTAGTTTTGAGCTGCATACAAAATACAGCTTTGTATCAATGTATCACACGAAAGAGAACAAATTGAAATACGATCTTTAGTGAGTACTGATATAAAGAACATGAATTCAAGGAAACAGGAGTAAATACAGACAGATGTGAATATTTAGGATTATAGCAAAGTTTATGCTGATTAATGACCAAACATATTCAACATGTGAAGATCTGCCATTCTATTACACAACAGGGGAATCAGCTGGATGTGTGGAAGAGGACAGGGGCCACAAAAAGAAACTTTAGGATTAAATTTATCTTTTCGTTGTTTTATGAAATGTGATGTAACATGAAGACCTCACAAGTTGACCACGACAAGAGCGGTGAGAAAGAAAAAAATGGAGATGTGATCAAAAAACAAAGACAAAACTCAGGCAGTAAATATAAATATGAAATATAATCAATCTTTGTTGTTTTGAAAAAATCTATTTTGTAATCTCAGACAATAATTTTTTATTTCCATCACAAAGATGTTAGGAAACAAAGAGAAAAATACAAAATTCTGGATTCAAACTGAGAATTCAGCCTTTAATAACAAAATCCTGACTTTGATCTCAGGTCAAAAAAAAACCCAAATTCAGATTTTTATCTATGAATTCTAAAAAAGAAAGAGATTTCTGACCTCAATCTCAGAATTTTGACATTTAAGTCAAACATCTCATGATAAAGTTGGGTAAATTTAAAATTCTTAGAATAAAGTCAGAATTTTAAATTAAAGTCAGAATTCTGGGGTATGAGCCAGACTCTAAGAATAAAGTCATAATTCTTATCATGAGCCCTACATGACATGACATGGTTTGACTAAATCTCTGCCGGAGTCACCTTGTCAAACTTGGTCCTGTCGGCCACATCCAGGTCTGAGGCAGACATGTTTCCCATGTCCAGCAGAGAGGAGGACTGGGAGCGTCTGCTGTTTGAGCCCTGCACAGTCAGCTTGTTCAGACTCGAGGTGGAGCCTGTCAGCTTCCCAGAGCTGCCATGAAGGCCTGATGATGGATACAGTGGATGCAGTTTCATATGTTTAGCATAGGAGAATAAGTTTTTTTTTTTTTAATAAAACAAACATTTGAATACTGCAAATTTAATAGTTAGCTTTTGTAAGTGTGTAATAGAGTATGTGATGATGCACTGAGCTGCAGTGTGAAGACTTAGCACTGACCAACATGCTACATTATGAGGTAATGGTTGGCAGAGCGTAAAAAGGTGTGCATCAGAGTAGTGCAGGGATTCCTTTTAGTGCACCTATGTGAGACACGCTGGTAAAAAGCAGAGAGGGTAATTGACAGAACAACAGCTCTGTCCAATTGTCATACTTACTTTCTGTTTCCTGTTTGAGTGCACTCTCTTTCCGAGGAAGCGTGGCTGCAGCCAGTTAGAAAGGCAGGCATCAAAGACAGAGACAGGTTAGGCTTAAAACATGCAGCATGAGGAGGGGAGAGGGGGTGAGGCAAGATGTTAGACGTACAGAGCTACATATACGCTGACGTGCACTGCAGCGGCTGAGGTATGTATGTAGCTCAGACAAAACTTCAGAAAACAAAAACTTGATTTGTTTTCAGCAGGAGAAGCTAACATAGAGTGCAGAAAGCAGAGTTTTCTAAACCAAAGCTCAACCAGGAGTCTTTCTTAAGCGTTTCAATAGTCAAAAGAGTCAGGACTTGAATATTAGAGATCTGGAAAAAGAGTCATCATGGGAGGACGAAACAACAAACGCGACTTAAGCAAACATTAGTGGAGAAAAATGCTTGTTTGGTTGATGTAATACAGTAAAAACTAAGAGAACCCTTGTGCTTATATTTCACATCATTATACATTAAGTTCAGTGGTACAAAACAGTCCAAGAAATTTGCAGTTAAATAAAAAAAGAGAAAAGTACAACCCTTTCACACTCAGTCAAATAAAGTACAGAAGATGGACATGCCACTATTTTGGTTAATAATCATCTTACCAAACTTGCCCTTTGCCTCCTTTGTTGTTCCCGCCATTTTTATCTTTGCAACCTCAAAGAAGTCTTTGATTTCTCGTTCATATAATCTGCTCATGTAGTCAACGTAGGTCTGAACAAAGAGGAAAAGATAGATGACATTTATCATTGATTTTTAGATGATAAGCACCAAGCTTTCAACATGAAATATTAGAAAATTATTGAACTATTACACTCCAAAACATTTAGATGCAATACAGTTAAGCCATAAAGCTAGAACATACATTTTAAGTAACACCTAATATAAACCCACTACTTATAGTGCATCATTAGCACATTTGTAAAGCTTTGTAAATGCATTAATAAGGTTTTATAACAATCCTTAAAAGTGAGTTTAAGCATTCACAACAGCTTATAGCAATGTTTATGTAGTGTTTTAAGCACTGAACATCCTGTCTAATAAAGGTATAATTAATAATTATGCCATATAGTTAATTTATTTGCATTATATCTTAATGCGAAACCAAGATCTCAAGGAATTATTACATTTATAAGGCTTTTTTTAAGGTGCTTATGATGCATCCCAAGTGGTGAGTTTGTATAAAGTGTTCCAATCATTTCTATCACAATAATTCTATATTGTGGGTCAGTATTTGGTCAATATTTTGAATATCAAGGAATAGAAGCTTTACACATTAAAAAAACAACAACACCATTTTCAACTCATCATTCTTTTGCATGTCCCGTGTTTAGAAATATTTATATATTATATTCATGTTATGTGCTGTGTAATTCTCCCTTTGTTTGTCTTGGTACTGTTAAAAAACAGACTTGAGGATAAATCTTTTTCTGCATGACGAACTGATGAATAATTGCATTATTCTCTTCTCTCTCTGAATTAACAACAAATGACACAAGCTATCAAAATTGTTTCATGTTGAGATAATCATTACTGTCGTTACACTGCAGATGCTTTTTTGGACTAAGGCAGTTTTAACACTTCCTATGTTGCAGCTCCAGATCAAAAGAATTAGTTTTGATTGAACTTCACAGATGGTTTGTTTGTGGGAAAAGAAGCTGCTCATAGATTCCCTGCTGCATTACTACTTGCTCTTACTGTTATCACATTAACCAGGGTTTGTGCAGAATCTAAATCACAACTTTTCGAACAGAGTGGTGCTAATCTGTTAAAAAAAACGGACATTCAATTCTTGCTAGAAAGCATCACTGACCCTGGATAGGCCCTCGTACTTTTCCCTGTGGGTGTTCTTCAGCCACTCCATGAGCTTGGCATAGCGCAGCAGGTCCCTGTGGAGGGGGCTGTGTTTGGGCAGTGTCAGCTCGGCCGTGTGCTGTGACAGAGTGGAGCTTTGATCGTGGCCCTGAGTGATAAAAATGAGGAATGAGAGTTACAAAAGTATTCAATGAAAGAGTTAAAATAAATAAATCCAATGTCAAGCCCAAAAAAAACACACACAACACTTGCAGAATATTGATCACACCTCTTTTCACAAACATCTGCAGGTGGATACATTACCTGTATGACCATAAAACCAGATGTTTCAAAGTAAGAAACTCATTTTTAAACCTCATATTCAGCTCATCTGGAGGCAGAACTGACTTTCTGCTCTCTGTTCAGTATCTACTGTTTGTGCAGTGAGACATGCACGCAGAGCAGACAGGCACAGGAGTCAATGGCATGAGTTCTTTAGCAACAAAGCCAGGATAGCACCCAAACACAAAGAGAGCCGTCAGCTGAGTGCAGAACACCGATGAAGGACAAGGAAGATGAGCACCGCCTCTTCAGCGCTGACATCAGGTGTTAAAAAGTTAGAAACATTTCCCATGCATCCAGATTAAGCTATGGGGGGGTCATGAGATGTAAATTGGTGTGAGGCCAGAGGTCAAACATCAGCAGAGAGGGGGGCAGCTGTGAGGGTACTCACTGGAAGCGACAGACAGGAGGACCTATAGAACTGAGGGATGGTCATTTTGAAGTGACTGAAGTGGTTGAACTGACACAGAGACAGAAAGCAGAGTGGGATGATTCAAAGAGTGACACACACATAAAGACAAGAACAGGAGGGACACAAAAAGAAGGACACAAGACACACAAGCCCAGGAAGAGAGTCAGGGCTGAACAAGAAGTCTGTGAAGGCAGCAGAGAGAGAGAGAGAGAGACTGCAGCAACAAATCTGTGCCCTCCTCATTGCAGCTCATTTGATGATTAGTCTGTGGAAAGCAAACTTCCTTAAATCCTTAAAAGCAGATAAAACCCACCTGTTCAACAAGGCCTTTAGACTTTGGAACCTGATTAATTCCCCTTTTTGCCCCTCTTGTAAACTATTCTTGGATCTCTTGCATTTCATTACATGAAGTTATCATTGTTTTATCTCTTTCAGTTCCTGTGCATTGCTGAAAATTAAACTCTCCCATCACAAGAAAAAGTCCTGCATTTAAAACACATCGTTTAAAAAATAAAATGTATTCAAAGTACAAAGTCAGTGTTTTTTTCCAACCTAGGTGTCCTTGCATCCAAGATTCACTGGGTAACCCCCCACCCCCCCTTCTTTGTTTTTTCTTTTATTCCTCGAATGTTTTTCTGTCTGTATTTTCTTTCCCTTTACTTGCCTGCATTTATTTAAAGGTCCCATATAATGAAAAATATGTTCTTCCTTGCCACGCTGAGAGTGTGGAAGTGAAAAAGTCCCGGCACTTCCTATGATTTGAATTCACTCCTGTGGTGATGTAAGGACAGGAGTGATTTGTAAATGCATGCATGCAAAAGTGATTCTGTTTCAACCAAGCTGCAGCTGCAGTTTTGCTTCAATGTTGCAGAGTCAAAACATCAAAGGTTAGCCAGACATTGCTGGTTGCACAAACCAACAGAAGAACCAAAGCAAGCGAAGACTTTTTGTGCAAGCCACTGCTGACAATCATGATGACCTGAGAAAGCTGCAATTCATAGGCTACATTTAGCCCAATAAAACAATTAAAAGAGATTTTAACAATAGACAGATCTTAAAGTGTGCCTTGGCTTTTTAACAACATGCCAGTCACAGCCAGTGTGTTTACATGCACAGCTTAGTCGGAGTAAGCTCATAATCTTTCTTTTTTCGACGAATCAGACTTGTCTGCGTATACATGCAGCTGAGAAAATGAAATTATTAACATGAACATGTTCTCCTCCCCAAAACTAGGGGGCGATATGGTTCTTTTCAGTGGCGCTGTTTCCAACCCCATACAACCGTCAACAACAGCAGGTCCGTGCCAGACGTCAGAAGTGGCTACTACTGCTGCTGGGCATTTTCGAGCAAGAAGATGGAGCATCGTACAGCGTTGTTTTTGTCGTACATGATGAACGCACTACTTTTTCTGCAGATGAAATGCACGCCACTCCTCTTCTCTGTTTTTTTTTTTTTTTGTTTCAGGGTAATGGGGGCATGGTACATGCGCACATGCAATGTCCAATCATACTCCGACTACACTGGTTACATGGTGGAGAAAATCAAATTCCAATCGCATTATCTGGGTGTCTTAATCTGAGTTCTTTGACTCCAATCGGAATTCTCTGACTCTGATTTTAGTCGGACTAGGGTGTTTACATGCACTTCGGTTGTCGGTCTTAATCGGAGTAAGGCAATAATTTGTTTTTCTCGAGTGTCATTTAAATGTACTGACTGAGTGCTAATTTGTACATTTGTAAAGACCACTTCATCAAAAAAGGAATAACCCTCAAATTTAGTGTAACACTCAGAAGCATGCTGTTGTGACTGCAGCTGCAACATTTTCAGTTTTCTCCTCTTGTTCGGGTCATGTGAAGAGTACTGGCACGAGTTCTTCAGGGGCACTTGCCAAATTTTTTCTGATGTTTTTCCACATCTGCATCTGTCTGCACTAGTTTCACCCTTCCCTTCATACATCATTCAGGCAGCCAAACAGCACAGTGCCTTATCACTATAACATAGGATGTGGGCTGGGAAAACCAATTATATGAGACCTTTAAGGTTTTTCCCCTCTTTAACTGCCCTCTCCCTATATCCACCCCTTCCTTTCTGTCTCGACCATTTTCCCTTGTGTTAATGGCGAACAGACCAGCACATTTAATGAAAATTATTCTCCCAAGCTCTGCACACTGCTGCTGCTGATAGTGGCTACACAAAGACCTGAGAAAGTAGCAAAGCATTGGCTTTTGTTTGCTGAGTAAAATGAGTGTTGACCTGGTTAACTTTTACAGATACAACCACTCCTTCCCTATAAAAAATTAGGTTACAAGATAGTTTAACATCACCATGAGATGATTAATTGAACAGGAGAGAAGAAGAAACCTCTTGCACTCTTTATGATGTATTATGTTTCCTATAATAATCCCCGTCTGTTGAGTAATACTTAATTCAGGCCACGTAGTTGCAAAACTGCTGTCATATAAAATAAGTAAACGTAAATAGAAAAAGGTCCTCTGGCATGTAAGACAAGTATTTTTTTTAGCTTAACAACCCCAGATTTGTACTCAGGTATCTCTATGTTAGCTGAATATTTATGTTGCTGACATGAAATATCTTTTCTGTCAGTACTGAGCTTGTTACCTGGTGAACAAACACGTTGTTGAGGTGATTTGTGAGGCGGCGGGCAAAGGTGTCTCTCAGTTCTGCAAACAGGAGCTGCTGCTGTGTCACAGCCATCAGCTTCTCGTGGCCTACAAGGCAAGGCAAGGCAAGTTTATTTGTATAGCACCATTCATACACAAGGCAATTCAAAGTGCTTTACAGATGCAGGGAAAATGATTTAAAATCAGTAAGACCAACAGATAACTTTATTTATTTATTTTTTCGTCTGTTCCATGTTTGCCCTGAACACCATGAAAACCATTGTTTCCCAGAAAAACAAAGTAAGTCACAAGCTTTCAGATGGTTATTATTTTTCTCTTCATCTCTCTCGGCTCTCATGAGATCGAAAATTGGAGAGTCATGGTTTTCCGGACCCTTCTTGCTCCCACTTGACCCCATTTTGTCTTCACGCCTGGGTCTTTGTTTTTTTTTTTTTCTTTCTCTCCTCTCAGGACGTCTCCAGCACAGGTGTGTAACTTCAACCTTACACTGGTTTTATCCAATGTCTCAGTCAGGGACTTTAACCCTTTTGGACACTTGTTGGGGGTTGAACCCTCTTGACAGGACTGTAACAGTACAGAAGGTGAAAAACTATGCTTTTGTTTATATTTGACTTTCAAAAGCGATTTTAAGCTTAAGAAAGTAGTGCACACCAGAATCTTTTTAAAAGCTTTAAGAATAATCTGCAAACTAACCTGGTCTGAGATTCACGTTCATGCACTGCAGAAGAGCTTCAGAGGCATTAATGCATGCCTCGATTCCTTTAGGGGACATGAGATCTCCTTCCTGCAGGGCTCTGATGTGTCCCTTTGATAGGTCCATGTAGTTCTGCATAAGAAAGATAAATAAAGCACAGTTAGACTGAGTGTCAAAATCTACTACTTATTAGGATGATGTGGTTTTTATATTTTTCCCTATTCACAGGAACCACAGAGCTTGTATGCCCTCCTCACCACTAAGAACTGGATCTCATCCAGCAGCTTCCCATTGTTGGTGTTACTGATCTGGATCAGGCGGTTGCTCTGGGAGATCTGGTCCATCTGATCCTTGACACTCTGCAGCATCTCCTCGTAGCTGCTCAGCTTCCCCTCAATGGTGTCCACCTCAGACAGAGCCTCATCCAGCAGCTGCATCAGGATGTTCACCTGCTTTTCTGAAGCCATGATGGACTGGATGTTGGCCTTTAAGCACAGAACAATGAAAGAGTTTTTACAGCTTTTAATTAGGGACAACACGTGTTATCTTGCACATTTGAGAAATGCTATCCTCGAGTGCGCTCTTAGTAGATTAACTTTCACATCTATTTGTGGATGCTTTGAAGTTTAAATACATTTTTTAACACTCAAGTCTTTCATGCCCTCAGGATATAGTTTTTCAGCACAAACAATTTGTTTTGATCTTGCATGAAGGTGATGCATCAACAGAGAGGGGTGTAAAATTATGACTGTAACAAAATCAGAGCTGACAGGCTTTGATCTTTTATAAGCTCAGTGGAAAAAATGCTTGAACACAGAGATGTCTTCTCCCACTCTTGGTAGCAGAGAAAAAGTCAGAGAAAAGTCCCTTCTTTTCATGTTCGATAATGTTCGATTCCTTGTTTTTGCTGCTTCACTCACCCCATCCAGGACCTGCAGCTCCCTGGAGAGCTGCTCTGCAAAGGCCTCAGCATTGGAGATGGCGTACTCGCACATCTCCATCATGCTCTCGATGTCCTGCTCTTCTCTGGTGCTCAGCTCCTGGTACTCGTCCAGAGCATCCTCATCGCCCCCTGCGACACTCTGACTTTCACCGCTTGGCACTGACTCTGATACCGCAAAGACAGATGGAAATGCACATTAGAGACATGAGAGAAAGTTCAAGATACAGCCCGGTATCCAACATTTCAGGCTTTACACCAAAAGCTAAAGTGACAGTTAGATGTAATTTTAAAGGAAATAAAATCATGATGAAGCCCAAAAACCTAAAAGCCCAAATTCAAAATGAACTGAACTCAGCTACTCACAGTTGCTCTCATTCTATCAGAGCAATGCAAGGAGTAGACCTGCCATCTAAAAGAGCCCCTATAAACAAAAATACTTCTCTGTAAGTGAAACACAGGGCTTTGGATGTATTTGTGAAGAACAACAAATGAATTCAGAGCTGCTCTTTACTATTGAAATTATCTAGAAACAATATGGACTACAAGCCCTAAATAAATCAATGAACATGTGTCATTAAATAGTCCTATTTAAGGTGGAATGAACAATTAAGACAGCTAAAAGTGAAACAGAAACATGAGCTAAATGTGTGTTATGGTTGTTGGAAAAACATAAATCATGCCAGTCCATATTTAGTGTGAAATAATTCAAACAAAAGGAGCTTTAAAGAGGTGAGAGTGTCTATCAAGAATGATGGTTTGAGATCATGAGATACAAATGGAGAGAGGGGGTGAGGAGAGGGAAGTTAAGTCCTACCAACCTTCCGCTTTAGGAAGTTCTGGCCAGAGAAAGTTTAAGAGAGAAAAGTGAGAATAAAGAAGAATTTAACACAGAAAGCCACAAACCAAGATACAAAGAAGAGGCTGAAGCTCTTTCTCAACATGCTTTTAATAAATCATATCAAACAAAATCGAGCAGGGATTCAAACTCAGGCTGGGCGATAACATTATCTTGATATTTATGTCCATATCACTTATTAAGTTTGTAAATCACAAAACAGAAATTCAGCAAATCAGTGTGCTGTTTTTTTCTTTGCCTGCATAAAATTACACTGACTCATTCCACTGTTGTCAGGGTAGAAGTGGATCTCTTCTGCTGCACTGAGAGGAAGAGGTCTATTTCTTCTTTCGGATGCAGCTCAGCTTGTAGTCCCTTACCCAACGTTGTCTATTTTCTTCAGAGAGTGCAGCTTTTTAACTTAAAACTGCTTTGTTCTACTGTTTTCTTATTCAGAGAGAAAGGAGAAGATCTCTACCTGAGAAATATGGCAGTTGAGGGAGTGTTATCAGCATCCCTGTGTAGATACCACTGACCTCATTTGTCTTGCCAAAAGTGTTGGAGAAATGCTTTTAACATCAGACTGCTAAATAGCATGCTGTGTTTGTACTGGTGTAAAGGTACAGTGTGTAGAAATAGAAGTATCTTGTTAATTCTAATAGCAAAATTCTGGATTAAAACGCTCCCATGCTCACCCCTACAGTCGGTGAAGTGGCTGGTGGCCTTCGAAGACAACAGGAACATAAGAGTGACTCCTCTTTTTTTCTTTTTCTATGTCTTTCTATTAGTGCGTTTGATACAACCACTTATAAAGTCTAAAAAAACTCCTATGATACTTGAAACCCCACCACTATGAAACTAGATACTGTTTTATTCCAGTATTATTACATGAATAAGAGCCCTCTGGTGTCTAACATTCTTGAGACACCACTCAGAAGTGTGGCATTACCAAATGTATTGTAGTAGTTTTGATTTTCTTGAGGGAACTCAAAGGATGAAAAAAGTTGTATCTAATCTAACAAGTATAATTTAGAATTTGGGAAAAAGAACTGCAAGTAAGTTTTTAGTCGTATCGCCCAGCCCTACCTCAAACATAACTAGCACACAACTATATTGGTCCAACAGTGAGAGAGAGAAAGAGAGAGAGAGAGAGAGACAGAAAGAGAGGGAGAGAAAGAGAGAGAGACAGGCCTTTTAACAAATATAATCAAATCATGGACATGCGCTCACAGGGGGGAGTCTGCAGAATGACAAAGAGTTTCTAACCTTCCAGCAGCTGAGCACTGACATTCACAAACTCCACCTTCTTCCTCAGGTATCTCTGATTCAGTTTCCAGATACAGGAGATGAAGGAGTTTTTCTCCGCTGTGCTGCTGGCCACCCAGCGGTACACCTTCTCAAAGTGCAGGTCAAATTCAGGATTCTCCTAAAGCAGAGAGGAGACCATGAGAACAGGATGATGGAGAAAGCAGCTTCAAAAACAAGTGAATGAGGCCAGGGTGGACCTTTCTCTGACCTTGCTCGCATCTTTGGCGTCGACTTCAGTCAGATCTCTAAGCTCCCATGTCAGCTGTCTTTTGTAAAAGTCTCCTTTGTCTGATTTCTTCACTTTAACCACTTTCACCTGGACAGGCCTTTCTGTAGTTACTGGAAGACAAAAGCACATCACTTCATAAACACATCGTTTTATTATTTACATGAATGTGCAGCTGTCTGTGAGGTGAGTTTACGCTTACCTGTTGCACATAGGAAGCAGTTCTTTTTCTTCTTTCCTGCCTTGCAAACGTTCACGATGCCAAGGAGACGCTCATCGTTGGGGGTGAAGATGTCCCTCTGCAGAGCATGCTTGATGGCTGTCATGGTGGAAGCTGTCAAACAGAACAAAATTATTAATTTACACACCTGTTAGCCCTAAGTGCTTTTTCTTTCATTTTTACACAGATAATACTAGGATCTTCTTGAAAAAAAAATTGATATTTATCAGGCTTGACTTATACCTTTACAGTATTGGGTAAGTGTCAATAATTTGAATTTTGCATCCCAATGTCCATTTTCACTGAAATAAACTAGTTAAATCTCTTTGTGGGGGCTATCATGAAGCAACCAATGCACTTTTCATTAGTTTAAAAGCTTTCAAATCTTATGATTTAGTCAAACTTAAAACTGCACAGCTAATGTACAAAGCACAAAATGATGTACTTCCATGTTGTGTTCAGAGGCTATCTGAAATCAAAGAGAGCAGGTGTAGAGAGAGCAGAGTATTTGCAGCAGTGGCAGTTCTCGGCTACCGTACAAAGCCCTAAAATATATTGAAATGAATGTGACTTCTTGGTCCAGAGTTTTACATTACATACAAACTGTTATGTGCCAGAATTACACTAAACCAAGTGAATATAATGATTTAGCATGTGTAGAATAATCTGATAATAATCAGTCTTTTGATCATCTCTAAATAATGTCTTACAAAAACACATCATCAAACCCAACATTCAATCCTGTAAACTTTATAGATGAGACATATTGAGCACACATAATTTAACGGTCATCCTCAACGTCACCCGCTTCTAACTCAAAGCTAACTCCAGTTTTGGCCCATAATCCAGCTTTATCTATTTAGATCGATGTATTGTTAATCTAATTGTTATAATTCTTTGACTGTGTTTATGTCTTTTTAATCTCTCCTCACGGTGACTGTTGTCAGCTGACAGTGTAACACAGGATGGTACATCAACTAAAACAACACGTAAAAACACACAAAAACACATTTGAAGGTTAAAATTAAGGTGTGTAAGGAGAGTCATGGATCTGGACACTTTTCTTCAATCAAAGCTCTGATGTCCTTTTTCTCTGTTAGCTTCCTGGCTAAACATGTCCTGTTACACTGAGGAAGAAACTGTTAGCATCTGTGACGTTAGCTGCACTAGACTGGCAAGTGCGTGACTACATCAGCTGAATAATATTCTAATACACTATGTATTGTTTCATAGAGTGCACACAAACTGTATTTTGACAGTATAAGTTTAAGAAAGGACCTATTACCTTGTTTTGTCAGCCCACCAAGCAGAGCACCGCCCTTCCCCTTCCGGGTTTACCAGTCATGTGATAGTGACGTCGTCAGCATCCGCATCTGCGATCCCATCACAGCGACAGGATATGTTTTATATTTTGTCCTATATCCTTCAAATCTTCCAAACAAAAGATGCTGAGAAAGTATTCAATACCCCCATTACAGATAAGGCAGCTTCAAAAATACTATAGTCTACATTTAAATGCTGCGGACGTTACTACAACATTTGATTTGAAAAATATACTTTTACCTATTTTAGGGTGCACATCTTATTCCCCTATGCCCAGAGGTAATGCTGTAGGTTAAAAGTAAACACTCTGTACTTAAAGTACGATTCAGATTATGCAATTTTTACTTCATTAAGACTATCTGACTGATAATATTACCCTGACCCTAACCCTTTTTTGTATTTTTGTATTATTATTTTTTTCTTTATATCTTGATCAAATTTATAGTCTTGTCTTGTGTAATGTACACTGGTCTAACATGTACCTGTTGCATTTACAGGAATCAGGACACCAGGTGGCATTGTTAATCCACATAATAATAATAATAATAATAATAATAATAATAATAATAATAACTGCTGTCAACACAATTTACCTTTGCTTTTGTAACTTCCTTGCTGTAATAATAAAAGTGACACTCCATGTTTGGCAGCCACTCACAGAGACGGTACAGTCTGAATGTCAGCACTAAGAGAGGACGGTCAGAGATTAACAGCTGATCTGCAGTCATCACCCTGAGGTTACCACAACACTGCTGAAGTTATTGTGCAGAGACAGACGTGGCTGTTCCAGCTGGTGGATGCAGTGTGTGCTGTCATCAACAGTTACATTCAGACTTTACTGCAGCTACAGGTGCATGTCCCCACATGCCTAGAAAAATGTCAATATTTCAAAATATAGATGAGATACATTTCATCATATCTCCAAATTCATCATTTCATCTGAAGAAAACCAGAGTAATAGCATGGTATTTTCTGTACAGGACTGACCCTGAATCATACTGCAGTGTGCGGGGTTAGAAATACTGCCAGTCTCTGTGGTCTCTTCTTGAATGTTGCAGTCATGTTTATGTTGGTTTGGATGTAAATGTTCCTGAAAATCACTGTTTCCTCAAGAGGCTGGAAAAGATTCACATCTTTGATAACAGCTCTGAGGATAACTGACTGTATGTAGCATAAATTTACTTAACTGTGCCCTGATGTAGAAATTGTATGGATAAATAACACTGGGTTGTTTGGGAACATTCACTGAGTTCATATTATGGACATTTTTTCAAAATCAGAGCAATTTACTTTGGATTTTTACTACATTTATATGTTTTGTGTCCTTTTGAGGCAGGGGCTATGATTGGCTGTAGGTGTTTCTGAGTAAAGCTCAGTAATGGATAGTATTTTTTTTTTCTAAACACTTTATAAGGTAAAAAGTAAAGACACTTGTAAACTATAATTGTCAACTTGTGCTCCAAAAGAACATAAAATGTTTCTGTGTTTTGCTCAAGAAATGAAGAATTACTATCTATTAACCTAAAGGTAAATTTTGTTACATTTTATATTACATTATTTACAATAACCATTATTTTATTACCAATAATACTTAGTACATTGAGAACATCCCATATTTAAGTAAGTACACTGTTACAGTATGACAGTGAGAACAAAATTTATCTGAGTCTCTCCATCATTTAAGTTGCTTCTCCCTCATTTATTTGCATATTTGTATGGGTTTAAATGTTTTCAAAGGAGTCTATAATGTATCATAACAATAACACAACAAATTACTAATACAACATAAAGAATTAAATGAAATTTAAATTATTGACGATATCTCAACTTATACACCTGAACTACACCGGAAAATTGAGTTTCAGAAGTGATTTTGGTCAAGCATCAGTTACTCTGTTGTGCAGACCAGAGATTTCATAACCTTAATAAATGACCATATCAAGCTGCACTTGAAATAAAAACACTAATAATGAAAAGAAAATGATTTAACCTGTAGACACAATTGTTTCGAGTGTGCGTAATGCTTAAACAGATATACATTTGCAAGGAAAAAAAGGAAAAATAAAACAAAAATAAAAATAAGAAAAAAACTTTAAACATCATAAAAAATTCAAATATTTGACCCCAGACATTAAAAAAGAGAAAAAAAGAAAAAGAAAAAGATTGAGTGTAGAGAAAGTTATTGTTTGAATTTCTATATATTTTACTCCGGAATATTTTAATTGGGGAGTCTTCATCTTTTACTGAACTGTTTGTAGAGGTTTCACTTATATTTGAACAGTTTTCAAGTTGTTTTACTTCTTTCAAATTTGTCTTTGTGAGCACTTTGTTGACTTTACAGTCTGTTATCCATCTATTTTTTTGTGTGTGGATTTTGGGGCACAACGCTTTGTGTCATATTTATGATAATGTGATAACCAGAAAGTCCTGTTTTAATCACCAAAATACACAACTTTATCAATGTTAATTTACTGTTTAATGTGAACGCTTCACCAGTTTTTTTTATGTTATATCATCTAAAAAGGACTGAATATGTGAGTCATCTTATCTGTAAACACAGTGTATTTTTCAGCCCAATGTGTGTAGCATGCATTAAAACACCACACACATTCTCCGCGCATACACAGACACAGACATAGACACACACACACATACACACACACACACACACACACGCACATTACATGTGATTATTTTTTTGTTTTCTTTCCTCATTGCGTGCTTTCCTATAGTCATGATTCACTCAGCATTTGCTCCTTTCCGGCTCTTACTGACTGGAGGTTTTCTGAATGTCAAAGGTCTGTGGACAGTGCTGACATCTATGTTCCCATAACAAGCAACACCCTGTTTGCTTGTTGAGTTGTTAAAAAAAAATGTGTTTATTTTTAACAATAGAGTATCTGTCAATGCTCTGTGAACGTAATAACCCGATGAGCCAACATAAAAAAATAAATAAATAAAAAAAATGGAGCAAGTCATTAAAAGACAACCCAAATGAAAAGAAAACTTCAGTTAGTTGTGATGTTTGATAAAGTTGTGGTTTCTTTTAGTGGTTGAGTTGTATTTTTTGGGTTGATTGTTACTTTATGAAGTTACTTTATGTTTTATTGATTGTGAAATTTTTCAGGTTGTTGTTTTGTTATTGTTTTGGTTGTATTTGGTGGTGTTGTGAAGAGGTTTTCATTGGTAGTTTTGGAGTTATTTGTTTGTGGTGTTGCATTTGATTGTGGTGTTATTGGTGGGTTGTGGAATTTGGTTGTATTTTGTTGGTTTTTAAGTTTCCCCTTTAAAGCACTTTGTAACTTGGTTTTGAAAAGTGCTCTACAAAAAAAGTATTATTATCATTATTGTATTTGTGAACCTTGAATTTAAATTGTGTTGTTGTATTAAATTGTGTTGAGTGTAGAGTTTGGTTTACCAGTTGTGTTTTTTTTTTTTTTTATGTTCAGGGATTATATTTTGGGTTGCAGTATTTGGTTGTTTTTTCAGCAGTATGGTTTGTTGGTTCTGTTGAGTTAACTGTTTTTATTGCTCTGCTTGGTTGTGATATTTGGTTTGATGTTTTGCTGTGTTTGGTGTTTGTGTTTGATTGTGTTGTGGTAAGTGTATGTATTTTCAGCCATGTGTTGCATGTCTTATCAGATCTGTAGTGCTCTTTTCTCTACTTGATGTGTGTTGAGCTCTCAGGTTGGCTTCAGTGTTGATTGTTTAATAAGGGAAGGTTGTTGCAGTGCCCCCTGCAGGTGAGAGGTGTTGCTGACTGACTGACCTGTCAGGAGTAGACCTGAAAACAGTTAAAGACATGAAGATGTGACTTACAGACAAAAGGCTCCAGAGCACGTCAGTGGAACAGTGATTACATCTCTGTGATCTACATTTGACATTCACCGCAGTGATTAAAGGCTCATAGCCTTTTCTTTTCTGTTAGAAATCTGAAACATTTGAGTTGCTATCTGGATGGCATTTAGTGCAGCCCTTTCATATGCTGGGCTGTTGTTTTAGATCCACAGTTGTTGTATTGTCGGTGCAGAAAACAAACACTGCATGAAAAATATGTATTTTTGCAGGATGACTTATGATACACTACTATCTTTTAATGTTTTTTCTCTTCTTATTGAGGTCATATCTTTTCTATGAGTGACACAGGATCTAAATCAAAATAAAGAATCTGTACATAAGGGCCTGTCTTGGTGCTATGGGGAGTTTTCTGGTCACCATTTGAGGTACATCTTTTATTTCTAGTAACACTGACCAATCGGGTATCAGCAGGCATTGGTGTTTGCAGGAAAAACTGCCTGTATGGAGAACAAAAGCAGGCAGGACCTAGCCCCCATAATGACGTCACATTCCCATAGTTAGTAATCTGAGCAGGATTCCTTTCTCTCTATGAACAGATATCTGCATGACGGTCAGCTGACACTGGATCAAACATTCACACCGAGAAACTTATCTGCTCAACGCTGAGCCATTAAAAACAATTAGTGTTTAGATTTCCTGGCTTTCTTGAATGCATCAGAAATTCTGGATTAGACCTCCATTCCAAAAATGTTTACAAAGTTGTCTTCTTCTCTTCTTGAGGACAGAGCTGACAGAGTTTGACTTTCGACCTTTTGACTAATCTGCATCATGATGTTATTTCAGTCATCCTAAAACCCATTAATCACAAGAAAATCAGTTTCTTTTTCAAGTTCACACATTGATAGTAAGTCAGAGTGAAGCATCTGTGTAATGTACCATTTACTTGCCATGAACAGATGAATGGCACTTTTAGGGGAAACATTAAACCTAAAAAGGTCAGTTTTTACTCCTTCAATCAAAGTCTAGTAAAGCATTTCATGCAAACACATTGTATCCATAAAGAGCCACATATCACTTCAAATCTAAAAGTTTTAACATCTTTTCCAAATCCTCTCTTGTCCATGATTGTTAAAGGAAAATTTTGAATAGAGGTGTTTGCACATCCAGTAGTCTTGTAGATGCATGGGATGTAAATCTGGATGCAAATCTAGATCTCTGGACCATTT